AATGCCACCCCCAAACAAAACGTGTTGCGGCGTTGCGATGGGATCCACAATTTGAATACAGATCCGTGTCTACTGACAGCGAGAAGGGGTATGAAAACCGTGATTCTCAACACAACATCAAATAGAGAAGTCTTGAACTTGACACAGATATTGAAATCAACACCCCCATTCCAAAAAACAATAAAATTGACAAGTAATTGAGCTCTAGTTTCTTAAGTTTATTAGGAGTCAATCCTGTCCTATCTTGGCGTTGCTAAAACTGATTGTCACAGGGTGGATCCGGCGGGTCTTCCGACAATAAGCCCAATGATTTTGCCCCCCTAAGCGTGAACATATTAATGACTGGTATATAAAGGGCTTTGATTGGAGAAAATCACGGAAAAGTTGCTGAAAACAAATTAGCTCATCGATGGTTTATGATAGATTTCAATAGTTCCATGGGGAATTTTAGGCATCACCTTCGTCTGCTTTCTCCTGCTCATCACTTGAGCAGTCAAAACGCAATTCCATGACAGGTAAAAAAAAGGGATGCCCATCATGGATGATAAACATTAGGCAACAGGCTTTGATTCTTCGCAATTCACATGTTGCAAACAGATGGTTCCCTTCGGAAATCATCTACACATGCTGGATGTATTGATACCTATGTGAAAGTTTACTAGATGGTAATTCAGTGGTTTAATGCGTTTTGTTGTGTTATCTGTGAATGTTATTCCCAATTTCTCCGGCGATTTTGCTGAGGTGCTACCGTCTGCCAAATGCTGCAGGGCGGATTGCAATACCTGAATTCAGCAAGGGGCCTGAGGTCGGAGCCCAAAATAACCTCGTTGAACATAGCTATGGAAGCCATGGCCCATGTTCGGATCCCTACCAAAAATGGAGATGCTCCATAGCAAAACGGTGAAAAATTACCCAAGGGTAGGATGTTTGTTTCAAGTTCGGAGGGTGAACCAACATGTTTATGATTTTTCATGTGGTAAACGCTATATGAAAGCCTAGGGCCTAGATTTTAATGCTGGTAATTTCACGGGGTAAACCCCAAAACAATAAACCATCACCAAATGGAGGTGTCCGCCTTCGATGGTGACTATGGTTGCGCAATGCCTCATGGAGGGTAAACCCAACAATCAACATCCAATTTCGGAGGGATTATACATTCTATACATCTTCTAGCAGACATTTTCTGGTGATGCTGGGCATGGCGGCATGACTTATGATTGGCTTTACCACATTTACATTGCCAAAGCTCAGGGGACAAAGCCTACCATCCACCGTATGTGACTCGCTGGACGGTTGCGAAATCCGATAAACCACCAACCTTGGATGGTTGAAACCTGAAAAAAACATGGGATGTTTACCATCTATCGATTCGTGGATTTCGCAACCATTCACCGTATGTTGCTATATGTTGCTGTTTTTTTTCTGAACGTCCAAGTTTTTGAAGTATTTCGTGATGCTTGGCCTACAGATTGCCCCAACAGTTTCCACAGATTTGCAGATGCTTTATAGGAACCTCCAAAGATAGAAACGTGAATTATCACTATTTCTGCAATTTCAGTAGGAATTTACTTTTCTATTGTTTGTGGATATGTATATATATATACTTTTAGTATCCCTTCCCAAGATGTTTTATGGTCAAAAACACATGTGGAGATGAAGCCTAGCTCCAAAAGAGGTGTGCCAATATGAATGGTTAGCAACATCAAATTTTGTACAGTTATGGCCCTTAACAGTTGTAAATGGGATTACAACTCCTAGGTTAAATATCAAATTCCAGTTATAACTGTTGAGGCCTATAACTGGCTATAACTGTAGGTCCTATACCCAAGACATTCTCAGGATTTCCGTGCTACAGATTTTAAAAATATCAGGCGTAGTTGGCTATCTAAAAACTATATGTTTTTTGCTGATCATGTGAGAAACTGTTTGCTTCCATAAAACCATTGCAATCATTGTTGCAGAGTCATGATTTCAACATTCATTGGGTTGCAGAGCCATGACCTTTGCTTGCGCATCCCAATTGGCCCGAAGTTCAACATCAAATAGACCCGTGTTTTCATTGTTCAATAAGTAAAAACCCAAGCCATATATGTTGAACATTGTTGAACCACAATACACATTAATTATTATGAAAAATATGCTTCGATATTGTTCACACCACTGATGACTCCTGGTCTGCCAATCTCCAAGGGGGTTGCTACATCCCAGTTAAAAGGATATAATATATATTTATATACACTGTATATATATATCCACAAAAACAATCACCCCAAATTGCTAATTCTACATGTCAATGGACAACCCACTATTTAGTTTGATGTCTTTTTTCCCATCGAACTAAACCACCAAGTTCGGGGATTTCCCAGCCTCCTTTCTTTACAGAAGGATCAATACCCAAGTTGGTTAAATCCAATATATACTGTACATATGTCATTTCTATTGCCATTACATTCCCATTACATTCCGATGATATTCCCATTATATCAGTTATTCTATTTCCTACATATATATTATATATATATATACATATATATATATATATACTACATATATTCCCTGAAAAATGGGGCCTTTCTTTTGTTGCTGAACAAAAACAGTAAGTCCCACCGCGAAAACATCACCCGCGCTTCACCATGCCCAGCATCTCTGAACTGGGCAAATTCAGGATCTGGATGATCACCTTGGATCCATGATGAATTGTGAATCAACGTGAGATCCCCCCGTTGTGACGTTGTATGATTCGTGTTGAAACTCCATGAAAACCCGTTACCCCCCAAAAAAAACATAGTTTCTGTATACAGTAATAAACCTCATTAACTTCATAAACAATACTTATATATATATATATATATATGTATACATATACAGCCTATACAGCGATTTAATATAGTTATATCTACATATATTCTTATAAACCTTAGTTGACCAAGGTATGTTTACCAATTATAGCGGCCCCAACTTGTAACTTGTTTCATAAAGATTCAGCTGGCACGCCATACGACAACTTACGAATGACTTGGCGCTGGGTTTACTACAGTACTTAGTACTAAGACATCTCACAAATCCACTAATCATATCATATATCTAATCATCATGTTCCCTCTACTATAGGATGGCATATATATATAGAGGTTTCCTAAGTCATGGGGCTACCCCCACATCATCCAAAATTCGACCATTTTCTTGAATTGAGACCTATGGTGACTCACTCGACAATTCACCATTTTGAGAAAACCCATGAAAGCCCAAAATGCTCCGGCTATAAATTCCCCTTTAATTTCCACAAAGTTACAGGGATCATATCTTCACCATTCACCATTCACGCCCAAAACGCCAGGACACGTCCAGCCCATTGATGGGACACGAACATGGTTCGCCCCATGCCAGGTCTATAGCGCTGCAGTTGACCTGAGGCTCGGAGCCAGATTGTGGGAGAAACTCCGAGAAACCATGGAGCTGTTGAGGTGGTACGCTCTGGTAAACATACAAAAAGCTATTGAAAATGGCCATAGAAATAGTGGATTTATCCATTGTGTAAAAATGGTGATTGTCCATAGTTAGGTTAGTTTACTACGTTTATATAGTCAACGTCTGGCAAAAATGGGTGTATCATGTGAAGGTGTGTGCTTGAAGATCTTGAAGCTTCCTACTGTATCACTAGAATTTGCCCAGGAATCCAGGAAAAATCCCGAAACTTTCCCAGAACTTGGCCACGAACGTGTTGTTTTCCAGAGAATTTCACCAGTGACATGATGACATCGGCCACCATCACAGCATGGGAACGTGGCATGGGCGAGCATCAACCAACAAACGTAACCCTGGTAAATTTCCAACTTTTTATCCATTTGGAATCCATTTATACATTGGCAGTGACTGGTTGGTGGTTGACCTACCCCTCTGAAAAATATGAAAGTCAAATGGGATTATGACATTCCCAATATATGGAAAAATAAAGAATGTTCCAAACTTGACATGTTGGTTTACCCATTTAGTTATATTCCCCAGGAAGCTTCGCCAACTTGATGTCTTATTCACAACAAACATAGACTTATCAACCAGCAACCATAAAGGTGAAATAACTATAAGTTGGCTTCTGAGTCGGCTCAAACCGTCATGTTTTGTATGGATATGTCATATGTCATGATATGTCATGATATGTCTACCGAACCCCAATGAAATATGAGTTCAAAACCCAATTTCGCCAACATAAACCAATTCAAAATCCCTGGTTTTGGTGGTGATATCCTGGTTTTCACTGGAGAAATCTTGGCTCGTTGATTCTCTAGCTGTTTTTTCACATCCACACGAAACATTCCATGAAAAAAAACATAAAATGGTTGAATCCTCGTTGATTTTCCAATTTTTAGTGGGTGAACTTTCATAAACAAAATAGTATCACCTATACAAAGCAGCAAAACTATGGGGGGCACCACCACGAATCCAGCCTTTTTCTGTCCAAGTCGCCTTTGCGTAGCAGCTCTTCGTGGCATTCCACCACAGTCATCGTCATCAAAAGCTTCAGTGACACCACGTACCTGCGGCGTCTAGTTTGGGGGCAGCAGCAGGTGATTCACGAGGGACGATTTAAGCAGCGACAAATCAATATTTATATTATACCTTCCAGTAGGTTGGAAGATTAGTGAAACCACTAAACATGGGTTATTTTCAGGGTCTATGTTGATTTACCAGAGGGTAAACCACCAAAAAATGGAACAATAATCCCAGTTGCAATAATTACAACAAAAGGTATAAGACTTAGTAAACACGTATATTACAAGATGGTGTCCACCAGATGTGATTAGGTTTATAACCCCAACAAATACAATGTTTATAATTACAATAAACCCTAGTTATTGGAGTTGCAAATCAACTTAGTATAACTTAGCTACCTAGGGGACCCCACCTTGCAGAAACCCCCAAACAGATACAGTAGAACAATAATTCATCACTATTTTAGTAGGATCAATGACTTGACTCTGCATCGTTACTGTAACCAACAAAGACTAGTTTTGAGTGATTTGTAATGGGCAAGTTGGTTTATAACTAACTTACCGGAGGATACCGGAGGTTGGAATGGATATAGCTACAGTTGGGGGTGAAGATGCACCAAAATATACGGTGGGGGGGGCACAATATTGGAAAATGGTTTGATAAAGTCATATCATATGTGTATATATATAATATTATATAATATATAAAAAGAGAGCAACCCAAAAAGAAGAGAAAAGTAAACCACATTTGCTGCTTTTTTCATTTTTGATATGGGGACTTGTTCACCCAAGAGACATGGGGAAATCCTGGGTTGAACCGTTCGGTGACGTGGGAGACTGGGCTATGTCCGCTCGAGAATGCCATGCACGAATATCGCAACACAGTTGTAGGACTCGTTGATACACCTCAAGTGAGATAGCACCAGAAACATGCCCTAAGGCAAATGAACATGGAAGTAGGAACAAAATATGAAAATCCACCTGGTTGCTGCTTTCAATCCATACCCCATACCCAATATATTGCTGCAATGTGAGGCCCCCCCCCAGTTATCTTTGTTGGTTCTTCACCCCTTTAGCCATCCTTACTGTATATCTTCCGTAAACGGAAAACTATATCATCGGAAAACTATATCCACCGTTTGCAGCGTTTGGATATTCTGACTTTGAATGTTCACCAACAGAATCCCAGGAGCTGTGCTAAACATAGGGGTGAACTTCCAGTGGTGACCTGAGTTTCCCGCTTTTTTTGGGGGGTTGAGGTCAAACCACCAACAAAATGAAGTCCCCGAGTGGTGGCTGCGGGATCTTGCAAGGTCACAGAAAAATCACCTGGGGCAAACCCCAGTTTGACATCTTCTTTGCTGCTTGAATCCCAATCTTACTTGCTTAAATTCACCATATGTTGCTTAAAATTATCCAGGCTTTGCTCGGAAATAAGCAAACTCAAACCAGTTGTGGTTTCGGTCTTGAAATAGAGTGCCCCAATCCCATCACTAATCATCATTTTGCCTATCAAAATTGCCATATCTTGGGGTAAACCATGGCCAAGCATATTTTCAGACTCACCCAAGTATCTATAGTATTTAAAGTATATCCCATGACATATCGCATACATTCCTATATCATATGAATTCCCCATCTTTCTCTACCATTCATGGTGCCCTCAAAAATCACCTCCTCTTTGATCAGCTGGGCGCATCGGAAAGCTGAGGGATTCGTCACTGGTGGCGGCCTGCGTGGGACCGTCGTGTGGGGCGAAGTTGGTATAACTCAAAGAAAATAGGCTCTATACCAACTATACAGCTAAATATTAGTGTATATACCGTACCTATATAATCCTATATATATACCATGGTTGGATCTTCAATATATCAACTGTATATATGAATAGTATATCCAACTAAGTTGTTATATTGGTATAATATGAATACAGCTCATGGGTGGTTATATACACCTATATATATATAACTAGAAGGTACCACCTTGTATGTTGCAACATGGGGAAAAAAAACCTTCCGATGCAAGATTCTTAGACGGATGACCGTGAAATGATCGAAGAACGGCGGAGTTTCATCGTGCCCAGCCACCAATGGGGTCATCTTTTGGACTGAACCATCCATTTTTTGAGTAATATTATGACAGTCCCAGCAGGATACTCATACTTCAAGGGTCCAAACATGTTATCTCCAAGAAGTAAATTTAAATACTTACTGATCTTACTGGTGCTAAACGCAGGGAGTGGATGGGAATGGGGGTTGCTGGGATGATTATTGATAATTATTGTGGATCATTCCCTCATTCCCTGCTAAGCTGAGCCAAATGCTCTGTGCAACGATGTGCCGCCACAGCCAGGTTTTTACAGGACGCAGTCGCGGCTGTCACAGCGTTGTGAAGTCCGGAGGGTCTGGGCCTCTGGGCCCTGAACTCTCCGAAATCAGCTCGAAATCCCCTGCTATCATAGATGATCATAAATTATCATAGATGATCATAGATTCCATCAAGATTCTCAAGTCCAACAGATCATCCGAAAACATCAAGGATTTTTGTCTGGTTCCTGAGCTAGGGCTTATATACATAGGGGATCCTGGGGGGGTGGAAATATATACCTAGTTTTTTGTTGCCCTCAATTTGGGTTGATCCGTTGAAAATTCCGTTGCAAACAGCTCGAACTCCATCCTTTTTGTCCTGCCTGTGATCGCCAGTCTTTGCGCACGCGTTCGGCATACTGCTCCAGGCCACTGGCTGTGCTGGCCTTGCTGTCCGAGCGACGCAGGGAAGCACCTCAGCGACGTTGTTTTCTCACGGATTGTAACAATTATGGCCCAACTAACAGCATCTAACAACTATAAAGGGATATAAATGGGATGAATTATAACTCAGTTGGTTACCCTCTGGTAAACTAACATAGCTATGGAAAATGGCCATTTATAGTGAGTTTTCCCATGAAAAATTGTGATTTTCCATAGCTATGTTGGTTTACCAGAGGGTATATATCATGAAATAATCCCATAACTGTTTTCTGGGCCATAACTGAGGATCGTGTCACTGGGCTAAGTTCACCCACTGTTTTTGTTGTTGGAGCCCAGTTAGAGGACTTACGATCACCATGGTTATTAACCACTTACTATATGGGATAATCCTCCAAATAACCACCAAATGGGATCATCCTCCAAGTAACGTTGCTTTTGAACTCTGAAATTGTTGTATGTTTCATTTTTGAGGGCTTATTAGGTGATAACTATATATATATATATTTAGATCTGTGGGTAATAAATAACTAGCTATTCTGGCTAGGATTTAGGATATTTATGGTGGAGATTGGAGATTGATGTAGATGTTGTTAGATGGTAGATGGAGTACTATAGGACACTCACTATTTATCCTATTGGTTCCACGTTGGGGCCCCATTTCACACCTAGAAAATACAACATCATTGCCTCACATTGTGGAAGTTGCTACCTGGCCTTGTCTAAATGGATCCACTCTGCTCAAACCACCTGTGGAATTTTCACCATTGCCTGACCATTGCCATGTTTCATTGCGGGAGGTGCGGGAGGACTCACTTGGCGGAGCAGTTCCAGTTTGGATTGGATATCTATCCATAGTTACACGGAGTACATCTCAATTTATGTGGAGTTATTACATGTTATTACCTTGAATATAACTTTGAACCATATTTTTTTTATTACCCACTTTATTATATGGCAATTACATGTTATTAGTTATTACCATTATAATTCTACCAGAGTCATACCTATCAGACTTCTGCACCCCCGGATCACGTTGGATCCCAGGCGCCATTCATGGCCGCGGCCCTCGCCTGTGCCCGAACGTGCTCAACTCACAGCCTCGCCTCGCCCTAAGTCAAAACGCTGGTTTTGTATAGCTGTATGGTGATTCCCCCATGCAGTATCCAGTCATGACTGGTAAGTTCAGGATGGCAACTTGACAAAAAAAAAGATGTTTTTTCACAACCAGTCGTGTTTCTTGTTTTGGACGAAAAAATAACTGCAACTTTGGAGCCAATGGGTGCTGTATGGCCGACCACAGCTTGAGCCAACGTGGCGGTTTTGGTGGGGTTGGCAAGTGGGGCTTCCATGTTTGCCACAAGAAACAAACGAAATAGTATGACAACACTGCACATACCCACAGACGTACATATTAGGGGGTATTCCGGGGGATGGTATCATATTTACAATGTGGGCCCCCCTAGTTATAAATTGGTTTATAAACCCCATTAACTATAGATATATCTACAAGAAACCACAGTTATTGAAGCTATTGGCACCAACTTAGCTAACGAACTGGGGCACCACATTGTAGTATATATGATGTACCATTATCCAGAACCAGGTTAGCCTAGCACGGAACCACGAAAAACCAGGATTCCGACGGAGTTTTGTGAACTTGGCTTCCGCTGAAAATAGATCAAAATTAGCAAGAAAAATATGGGAAAATGGTGATTGATGGTGATTAATGGTGATTTAATGATGGTTAATGATGATTAATGATGGTGAATATCTACTGGTTGATGGTTTCAACATGTTTCAACCTACCCCTGTGAAAAAAAGAAAAAACGTCAGTTGTTCACCTTCTTCCCATATGGAAAGTCAGAAAATTCCATGGTTCCAGTCACCACTCAACCGGGCCTTCCAGGTCTCTGAAAAGCTGTAGGGATGGCAAGCAATGCATAGTTGGAGCATGTTGAAACCATACAGTTTCAGAGGTGGTGATCATCTCATTTTCCTGGTAAAATCAAGTAAAATCTCCATGCTATGGCTTGCTCAACCAACCAAAGCAATTTATTATCATTGTTCGTCCTATAGTTCGACAAATTTTGGAATGAATGATCCCCAAAATCGTCATTTAACATTTCAAGGGGGCGACCAAATAGAGTCAGAACTCGATACCCGCTACGACGGCCCTGGTAGCACCTCAGACCCTTGGTCATCGTCTCTCCATCTGGCACCTCTACGGTGCTGCTTTGCGTTGGACGTTTGGTTGAAAATACGCCAGGAAAATGTCAGACCTATCTACAAAAAACATCCAAAAAACCTAGTTACTCTAAACTAAACCAACCGAGCGATTCCGATCACGGTCCTAATCCATCCAACACCGAGTTATGGTAGGTTTCTGGTATAGGGTCTGCAATCAACATCAATCAACTAGATTACAACCCAGGTAGCACCTATGATCTATGCCTATATTTAGCAAGCCCCCAAAGCCAAATGTAGAAAAGTAGTTGATCGAATCCTAAACTAGTGACAAATTGAACCCTGTCTGCCTGCATCTAACTTTGGGATACATTTGGGGGTACTGTACTGCTTAAACCACAATGTGGTGCCCCCGGTTGTTACACTTCCATTTGTTGGCTTGTGCTATCCGATAAATGCCACTTGGTAGCGAACTACCCACGGCTCATAAGTAGATTGGTTCACCCTGGTTACAAGTGGGATAGGTAGGATTCATCCACTGTTAACTAGGGTTATAAGGTACTTACGATCCGTGAGATGAGCCGCCAAGCATATAGATGTATCATCCAGCAAAGCTCTGTCACGTATGGATGATTTTCCCAGCTGTAAACCACCATTTCTAGGGACGTGTTGATTGCCACGTACCACAGGGATCCACTGGGCATATGATCTTAATTGATCTTATATGTGGGTTGTATGTGGGTTATAATAAGGCAAATTTAAAACATCACACCCACACCTGAAAATAACTGTTTCCTAGCCACCAGTTGGGGATACTAACCACATCTATATAATATCTAACCATATCTAACCATCATTCCAGTGACGTCACAGTGTACATGGGATATAGGTCACCCCAGCCGTTTCCCACCTTCTCCGCCACTTGCTTTGCCGCCTCCACAACCGCCACAGCAGCCCTGGCGAGCCAGGCACCGAACTGGGGACGAACTGGGATGAAACTGGGGGCTGATTTCGGTTCGATGGGTTTTTGCAACCACAAACTTCGATGAAAAGTTAAAAACCTGGAAATATGATGCTTCTATGCAATATGTGTAAATCTATGTAACCCGTGCACATGTTCACCCCAGTTTTGTTGGGAACAATTTCCACATTCTGCACGTCAAAGAGTCTTGGTCAAATTCCCACGTTTGCTAGTCATGGCGGCTGCTAATCCCTTGCTGCGAGTCAGCCTCCACGTCCAACTCAGTTCCATCCCTACCACTAAAAACCGTTCAAACAAAAAAACCTTACAAATGCGGCTACCATCCACAGGTTTCCATCTGGTTGCCATCTGGTTGCCATCTGGGAATCCAACATGGCCATGGAACATTGCCATAATGTGAAGGCTTACTCAATAAAATCTATCAAATATTGCATTTGTTCATGGCAAACCGATTGATTACCAGAAGCTATCCCATTTAAAAAAAAACACATCATCAACTTCTATCCCATGAAAAAGTCCCAGAAAGCGTACTTTTCCTGGCGATATGCCCACGATGTATCGTAATTAACATGGTGAATCTTAGATACCTGCCAACAAAAACAGCCTTTTTAGCTGGTATAGTACATATTTCACCATTGATAGCAAAAAATTAAACTACTAAACTGTCTAACAGTGGGGTTGAAGGGAAAATCTAAGCCAGAAACCATGCTTTTCCACATGAAAAAGTCCACGGTCGACTCTGCAGCGCCTCTGGAGATATCTCTGGACAGTTTTCGCAACTTCGGCCTGGGCCGTGGAAGATGGGGGAAAAAACGTGAGGATTGGGTGGAAAAATGTTACATATTCCTGAAACAAATTTAGCCTGTGGTGAACATATGAACCTATAGCAATAATTGACAAAAATGAGGATAGAACTTCATTGAAATACAAGCAGCAAGAGTGTGGTGATTTCATGTGGATTTAGTCAGTAAAAACTGCGTATAATCATTATAATCATCCTATCCCTTTGATCAGGTAAATCACGTTAAATCAGGTGAAATCAAGTAACATCATTTCAAATGGAGCCCATGAACAGATCAAATCACATCACCAATCTGCCATGGTTTCATCCCCTACTGTTTACTCTAGTTTCTGGTGGGTGTTAAATATCAGATGCAAGGTGGTGCCCCCAGTGATGTGAATGTTGGTTTATAAACCATAATAAGCATGGATATATCTACCATAAACCATAGTTATTGGAGTTACAAACCAACTTAGCTAAGTATGGGGAACCACCTTGTGCTTCATATTTAATTAATTAGCATATTCCCCCCATCTTTTCCCATTGGCTCAAACGTATTAAAATTGTGATACCTTAATTCGAAGTTCCATAGTTCCTCCATAGCCAACAAGAATGCCTGCAACCTCCTCAACCAAGGTTTACCACGCACTTAGCTTACCAGCGCTTGGCGCTTACCACCTATCATTGTTTTCCCCAGTGAAATCCTAGGCAAGACGGCAAGACCCCCGTTGTTTGCAGGCTTGATCTCGACCCCCGAATAAACATCTGGTTTTTGGTGGAGCTGGCACATGAAATTACCGGAAAAATAGATGTGAATTCAATGTTTTGTTTTTCCATTTTTGTTTGCATGTTCGTGTTCTGTGCGTGAAAATTCCTTTATGCTTATGATCAACTGACTTGGAGGATTGACCTCTGGTAATTTGTCAGTATATCATCCTTCAATCCCATTGAGATTGAGATCAATGCAAATCCCATGAAAATCTATAAACATTATTGGGTACGAGTAAGGTTTCTTTTCAGCACCAAAGAATGTCAATCCAATAAAATCCCCGTCGAATCATGTCGATTCTCATCTAAATAAACATAAATCCCATTAAAACCCATTGGAATGCGTCACGTGTTAGGCCCATAGTTTTCCACTATAAATAGAAAAAAACATTAAATCCCAACAAATCCTATGTATTCACCAAATGTAAAATCATGAAAAATCTAAAAACATGCCATGGCATGCTTACATTATTTCTTACTTCGAATTGTTATGCATAAATTTCCTCTAAGTGGTGAATCTTTGGCGTCTAGAAGCCTAGTAGATGGGTTGCGAAGCATACACCCTCTGAACATTCCCAAAAGACGTCCTTTCAAAATCTAGAGGCATGTATGCTATGGTATGTTTCCACTTGATATTTTGACGTTTTAGCAAGGCTCACAGCCGTGCAATGGCTTCTAGGAGCCTCTTGGTTGCCAGATATTGGAAGAAACCCATGTTTCAGATTGGTACGGAAAATAAATTAAAATAACTTACCCATATGCGAACCATCGTGCTGGTATATTTACCTACAAAACTTGGTGATTTCGTTCGGGCAAATGTTGGGATTCATATTCCAGCACCATGGTTCGCATATGGACAGAATTCTTGCCCCGGACCTCTTCAGGTCCAGACATCTCACCGCAAGTTCAGGAAGCTACTATATATATAAACATCATCTTTTAATATATATATATATATAATATATATATACATATACAAATGATGTAATATGTATATAATATGTATAATATAAATATATACATATATATATATGCAAACATATTATATATATATATGTATAATATAATATCTAGTACCGAATGTTAATCGTAAACAAACGTGGATATTGTTGAGTATGATACTTGCTGAATCGGCATTGACTTTCAGAGGCATCCTGACTGCCTCGTGCTCCGGCCTTTGAGCTGGCTTGCAAACCCGCCGGAGCATGCCGGAGCATCCTCCATCATCATCCCCTCTCAGTTGCAGGTGCTTGCTTAGAACTTCGTGCAAGTGGCGGATGCGCGCGTCTTTCTGCCCAGCGGTTGGGTTTGCCGAGCTGACGGAGCTCGCGGAGGACGGTGCGTTTGTTGATGAAGTGAAGGCCTCCAAGGACAGACGACCAAATGAACATGGAGGCCTTCGCCAAAATTGTCGATTGCAGCGTCAATCCCCTTCGATTCTCCATGATATGGAGGTTTCCTAAAGACGGGGTACCCCATGGTACCCCCAGTCATCATCCATTTTAGATTGGGATGTTCCATGAAATAAACCATCCAGCTATTGGGGTACCTCCATTTTAGGAAACCTTTATTTCTTTTTACCATGCCTCAAGCCCCCGTTCAACCAAGGTGCCATATCTTGTAGCGGGGGGGCCGCCATGGTGAAGCCGCTTCAGGCACCAAAGGTTATAACTATATTTTTTTCTATCGATCCATTGATTTTGAAGGTTACCCTTTGGTAATTTAGCAGTTTATCATCTTTACGGGAATGTATGGAATATATACATTTTTTGGGTTAGCATAACTGGTTGAAATCTATAGATACAACAACATAATAACTAAATGTTTATCTACATAATGATTTGAGTTTTATTTGTGGCTTTCAAATATCATAAATCTATGGGCATTTCTATGGGTACCCAGAACTTATAGAAGAACCAGGAAGTCACAAACAGGCTATTTAGTTCTTGGTGAAAGTATTTGAATTATACAGGCTATAGGACCATTTTATGGGGTAGTAATTCATTTTGGATTCGGCTAAACAATTTCATGGAATGCTTTTTTGGTGCAGATCTTGCTTCTCACATGTCCATTCAAACGAGTTTCAAAGCTGTTGAACCATGATTCTGAGACAAAACCTTTCAATAAATCCCAATCCAAAGTCAAGGCCATTCTTATATCATTATGAGATGTGTCCCCAATCCTGACCATCAGATTCCTCGAGCAATTCTGGGCTCGGCGGTCGCTAGAATTCGATATGGGAATGGCTCAAGATCGTATACCTTGTTTTTTTTTGATGTGGTAAACCCAACAATAAACCATCCCCAAGTCATCACAATGATAAAACGGGTGCTAAGAAGCATAATTTATATCATTGGGTTTCCAACCATTACGACATTAAATTACTACGAATAACACCCCATCAGTATGCCATTTGTGCGGGCCCATTGGTAAGCCATTGGTAGCACCGCCCCGCGATTCACGAGCTTGTCCAGTCCGATTTCCAAGTTACATTTGGTGCTGCTCCAGCTCGTTAGCTAAGTTGGTCTAGAATTCCAATAACTATTTGGTGAATGGTAGAAATATCTATACTGACATAACTATGGTGAATGGTAGAAATATCTATACTGACATAACTATGGTGAATGGTAGAAATATCTATACTGACATAACTATGGTGAATGGTAGAAATATCTATACTGACATAACTCTGGTGAATGGTAGAAATATCTATACTGACATAACTATGGTGAATGGTAGAAATATCTATACTGACATAACTATGGTGAATGGTAGAAATATCTATACTGACATAACTATGGTGAATGGTAGAAATATCTATACTGACATAACTATGGTGAATGGTAGAAATATCTATACTGACATAACTATGGTGAATGGTAGAAATATCTATACTGACATAACTCTGGTGAATGGTAGAAATATCTATACTGACATAACTATGGTGAATGGTAGAAATATCTATACTGACATAACTATGGTGAATGGTAGAAATATCTATACTGACATAACTATGGTGAATGGTAGAAATATCTATACTGACATAACTATGGTGAATGGTAGAAATATCTATACTGACATAACTATGGTGAATGGTAGAAATATCTATACTGACACAACTATGGTGAATGGTACATAGATGTATATATATATACACTGACTTACTATGGTTTATAAACTAACAAACATCACTGGGGGGCACAACCTTGTATGCCTCAACAGATGCAAGGTGTTGCCACCACTAGAGCTAAGTTGGTTTATAAAAGCCCATCAACTCTGGATATATCATTTATATCTACCGTAAACTTAAACCTGAATGGTGGTAACGCGCTGGGTCACCACCTTTTACCTTGACCCCCAAGTTAACGAATATGACAATGTAATCCATGAAGAAACTGTGTTTACTCTGCTATCAAGCTATGGCAGCTGTGGAACTACATGGATCCAGGGACAGCTACGTTCCACCTGCCGAAATAACACCGACACAACAACCCAAAATGACAGGAATGTATAAGAAAGATTAAGAACGTAGGTATCAATCAATATTCGGTACTGATCCAATCTACTTGAAAATTCGTGCGTTAATTAGAACATATTAGAACCATATCCACATCCAAAATTGGTTCCCAAGAACCGCTCGCAAGAATATTGGTTCCCAATTCACCACTGTCCGTGTCCCCGTGTCCCCGGTCAGACGTCTTTTTCGCTCCGATACCTCGCACCGATTCAGAGACAGCTGCAATTTGGCGCCGGCATGTTTTCAGGCATCCAAACTCACAGCGCCCAGCCTATCCATACCCGGCTCTATGAAAACACACGAACTAAGGAGCAGCAACTTCACTGCCAGTTGGTGCAAACTGGTTGGTGGCACCACTTCAGTAGACATGATTTTTCTTACTCAAGATGCCTCTGATTTTTCCACTCCCATATTCAGATGCAACGTTAGTTGCACAGTTATGGCCCAAAATACCAGAGTTGTAAGCCAGCTAGTCATCCCATTCAAAACCCCCAAAAAAAACAATTCAGTGAATGGCTATAAATATGGCTACAATAATGTACCTAGTGTACCCAGTGCCGAACACCAACCAGCCTGACATAGTCTCAACTAAAGAGATGTCCGGCCGGGCCCACCGGGCCCACCGGGCCCGGGCCAGGCGGCCCCGGCGCACGATCGAAGCGATTCGGCCAGTCGGCGATGCGCGTTGGAATCGCGCGGTGCTCTTCACCGGTGCCTTGAAAAAGTGACCGAGGAAAGATTGGGCCGGGGGAAACTATAAGTACATGTGAATTATATAATCAATTATAATTATAATCATATAAAATATAGAACTTATATAAAAGTTATGTAACAGTTATATGTAAAAGTTATATAATAGTATAAAATAATATAGTATATACTATAATATACAATAGTATTTGGTATGATAATAGAAATAATCTTAACACATGTTGGATGATGCATCGTCCCGTGTTGTCAATCATGGCTATATAGTTGAAACATCCACAAACTCAATGGTGGGATTCAATGGAAAAATAATCAAACTATAAATGGGTGGTTTTCCAGCCAAGCATGTTTCATTGCCAAAGGGTCTTCAACCCCGGATAAACTGTGTTAAACATGTTGATTCAACATAAATTGGAAATCAATCAACAAAAGTATGTGCAAATTAAATCTGGGTTGGTTATTATGTTCTAATATTATTGTTTGGTTCCACATCCGATGAATTTTACGGAAGCAAAATACGAAGGTTGGTAACTTAGCTTACATCTTTTTATATGGGTTAAACAACAAACTATCACCCAGAGGTGCCCTATTGTAGCATATAAAAATATTGTGCCTTTTATGTGCCAGCTTCTCTGAGTCGCCACCTGGAACTCAGTACATGCTTCCGAATGCTTCCTAGTTGTGAAAAAAAATGACACAAAAGTTACCCGTTGGAACATGGCAATGGGAAATCCGTATATTTGATAGATCCCCACGTTGCGTGGGGACCCTAGGTAGCCAAGTTGGTTTATGATTCGCTAAAATATAGGGTTTTATGGTGGTTGGAAATATCAGATTGGTAACAAAACAACAGAAATAACTGCAAGGTGGGCCCCCCGCTTACGAAATCGCTAAGTTGGTCCCAAGAACTCCAATAACGAGGCGTTATATGGGTTTATGGCAATGGTCACCACAGTATTCATGGGGGTTGTAAACCAACAAACATACAAGGTGGTGCCCCGTCAGTTCCAAGTTGATTTATAAGTCCCATTAACTATATAGATATATCTACATACCATACACCATAAACATCCATAAACCATATAGATGACTTAGTTATGTTCACCAACTTAGCTATCATAAATCAGCTATAAATCCCATGAAATCCCAAATTTTCCTTGTTAAATGCCAATTTTCCCAAGGGTTTCCTTGGTTGTTTGCCGATTGGGGCAGCCATCCCATCTCCATGGCTCCGCACCTAGCGCACCCAGCCCCAGCTGCCCAAAGCCGCCGCAGGGCACGTGCTGCGGCAACCCCGGCGCCGGGGGCGGCGGCCCCACAGGCGGCGCCATCGGCGCCGCGCGTGCCGCAGCATCGCCCATGGGATGGGCCGGGGGTGGGAAGCCGCCGGGCGGCTCCAACCCGAGGCCAGGGCCTGGCAGGGATGGCAGGGCTGAATCAAAAACATGGGGGAAAAACGCAATTTTTCTGGGGAAAAAACCTTCAAATCCCACCCATTCCGCTTCAGCAATGTGGTGGCGAAGGCACAAGGGTGCCAGCTCCGCCATTCCAGTTTCGGCGCTTCATGACCTTGACTCCAATTGCCATCATCTGGCTCAACCACGCCAGGACACCACGGCTGAAATTGTCGGATCCGTCCCACTGGCTCACTTCAGGGAACTTGTAGCTGAACAGCTCTGCTACCGTCGGTGGCATGCTGCCCCGCACCAAAAACCCATGTCAGCATTGCAGCTGCCATATGTCAACTTTCGGCGATGGAGGCTCTCCAGCTACTATCTCCGTTGCTGCTAAGCTGCAGCTGAAATCTGAGAGGCGACCGACAACAATGGCAACCTTACTGGGTAAAACATGGTAAAACATTTTTTTTGGAGGTACTGGCAGGATCTAGGAAAATGTTTTTTTGGTTCCCAAAAACCATGATGAATCTATGGTTTCCCTGCCTCCTATGGAAAAAAAACGTATGGAAATCAGCTTTGATTCACAGTGCAAACGTAGCTGGCGCGGAGTCTCTTTTAGCTGGCTAGAGCTCAACAAATGTGTCCGAAAAGCGATCTTTCGAAGTAGCGATCTCTGAAAAGCTATGATTCAGCGAGAAATTAGCAACTAGACACCTAGCTACGCAGAGTCGTTAGACACCACCCTTTAGCGCAAAATCATGCAATCTTTTGGGGATTTCCAGGCCATGGGATGGTTCCCATTTCCCCCTTGGAGGTGCAGTTTCACTAATATCAAGAAACTATATGAAGGGGTTATATCCCAACATATATGGGATGGAGATTATATAATGATGATGACAGGTTATATGTAATATATATGTAATATTATATCTAATAATTCCCATATGTTGGGATATAACATGATAACCCTTATTGCCATTACATGCCATTACCTTAAAATATCGTCCCGCCTCTTGCCCCAGCCGGGTGGCCGTGCTGGCCTGAATCAGCTGCGAAAAACACAGGCCGGGTGGAACTTGGAAAGCACAAAACCCCTGGAGAGTGATTGAAATTCAAGCCTCTAAGCCCTTTCCCATGGTTATATAGGTTATGAATGGGGTTATGTTATAATTCCATATTATAAATGGGGTGACTTACTGACTTATAACTGGTAAAACCCTTTACCAGGTATTTTCATGATCATAAATGGGGGTATCGGGTATCGTTCCACAAATGGGGGCGACTTACTGACTCATGACTGGTATTTCGGGCCATAGCTGTATTTCGTACCCACGGACACGGAGATTAAACCAACCAACATAATCGAAGCAGAACAAGTTGGGACCATATATGATCTAAACCAGAGAAATGATGATTGGATCAACCAAAACGATGGTTCACCAATCGAAAGAAGGATTTGAGAATGATATAGAATGATTATATATTCGCCCCTTCAGCCCAGTTTAGCAAGGCTCGTATACTGGCCTGTAGTTGATTTCAAGATATTTCAAGGCTGTTTACGGTGGTTGTTAATGATTCCGTAAGTTGGCTTTCTTTCATCTACATATCCAATTGTGGATATTTATCCGTGAACAATCTTTAGCTACTATAGAAACATCGAAACGTCAAGAAACAGGTTTGAACAGCAACGGGTTTTACCCCCCCAACATTGCCCAACTACAGCTTGTATGGCGTATGGCCTACAAAACGATGATGGGGTCCCTGTACTTTCCGCATGAATGGGTTGTATAACCAAACAAGGTCCGTAGTTATGGTAGAGAGATCAAACATGAAACCCCCATACGCCACATTATTTTTGTGCAGCACCCTGGTCCAAGCACAAAGATCCCCCTAGAGTTAAAGCCATTTACCAGTTATAAGTATATAAGTTATAAGTCGCCCCATTTATGGAATGATAACCACATGATAACCAGATGTATAACCATTTAAAACTCATTTATAGCCGGTAGAAGGGCCATAACTGTAGATATCAAGGTGTTTATTGCCACGCTTTGGTTTCCGCTGAAAAATCGTCATCCGTTGGTCCCTGTTCAACCACCTGGTGACCCCCCAAAAATCGCCGGTGGATCGGTGGATGGACAAATTCACAGCACCAAAGCGATATGATCAAAAAAAGGCGCATCCCAACCCAATGACCTCAAAATGATAGAAAGTTAGATTGTGTACCAAATCTTAACAGAAAAGACTTGAGACAATCTTTTGTGATTTCTAAATATTTCTATGACTTGAATTGACTAAAAGGATAAGACTACAGTACTGTATGACTTTCAGGGGGACTACCGGACCATTTTCAGTCACAGCTTAAGGCTCCGTTTGTCTGAAGAGACTTGGAAACACGTGTCTCAATGGCCATAAATTACATGAACATCCTCCATTTTCATCCATTATCGGGTTCGCTCCACCCAACAAATGCCTAAATCATGTGAAATCAATGTGAAATCAAATTGGGTTCAATCCCAAATATCATTTGGTGAACATTGCCGCCAATTTTTTGGACCCCTTCGGCTGGGGCGCAAACCGCCACCAGGTTGTAACCTTGACAGCGACAGTGGTGGTGCCCCCCAGTTGTGTGAGTTGATTTACAAAGTCCATGAATAGTATAGATAAATCTTCCATAACCATAGATAAACATAGATAAACCATAGCTAGTGGAGTTTGTATCATAAGTTTTTATTGGAGTTGTAAACCTTAGCTATCTAAGGGGCACCACCTTGTAAAGTAAACTTGGGTATGTCTGAACATGGGAAGTACCAACCAACTGCAATGTGAAGAGGGAAAATGATTGCCGAGCCCAAGGAAAAATCAAATCTAATCTGCTGAAGCAAAATGCGGTTCGTAACCTATCAGGATATTGGAGTAGTTACCCTCCGGTCAGCAAACATATCCTGATCAGGTTTTAGTATCCAATATTATCAATGGTAATTAATGGAGTCTGTTAATACATATCCTGATATCAGTAGTTACCTCCAATGACAAATCCACTGATTTAATGGGAAAATCATCGGACAGAAATGGTGGAGCAAATTCATTGCCATGGTTGCCAGAGCGTAAGCCTGACATTCCATTGCCAAACTTTAAAACTCAATATTAGTGTAATCAAACCGGGCACGGGTTTGAATCACACATGATTTTCCCATTGAACATTTTGGAAGTTCCCGCCGCCACGTTTGATCGCCGAATGAAACACCCAGCTGTGCAACAAAATACCCATCGAAACATTCCATTGTTTCAATGGGGTGAAAACTACCGTTACTAGGGATAACGCTCGTTACTAGGGCTGGCTGTTGGGGTTCCATTGCAATAACACTGGATGATCATGTGTATGAGTGATCATCTTTACTGTGGATGGAAGAAATTTGGGGATGGATAACCAGGATTGTGAATCAGAATTAGCCTTCAGCAATTAAACATGGCCGTTTTTAAATCACCCAGGTTGTATTCCCCACACAAGGTGGTGCCCCCCAGTTCCTTAGCTAAGTTGGTGCCAATAACTCCAATTTCACTATGGTTCATGGTAGATACCCTCTGGTAAACTAACATAGCTATTGAAAATTGCCATTTATAGTGAGTTTTCCTATTAAAAATGGTGATTTCCCATAGCTATGTTAAATTATCAGAGGGTATATCTATAGTTCATGGGATAATAAACCAAAAAATATCACTGGGGCACCACCTTAACTCCATGGATTTCGGGGATTTCACCGCGATCAAAAGGCAACTCATGGGATGTATCCATAATAAGCTGTTGATGCCACCAATTTTGGAACCATCTATACTTATTACCCTCTGGTAAACTAACATAGCTATTGAAAATGGCCATTTATAGTGAGTTTTCCAATTATAGTTATGTTAGTTTACCAGAGGGTAATGCTGGTTGGTGGTTGACCTACCCCGCTGAAAAATGATGGAGTTCATCAGTTGGGATGATTATTCCCAATATATGGAAAAGTAAAAAATGGTCCAAACCAACAACCAGAATGTGGTTGTGTCCAAACGTGGGCTATTCCCAAATCTTGAACTTTCAATAGGGAAACTGCATAAAGGTGAAGTTTTTTGTCACTACCTTTTGATCTTTGGGCCTACCTTATTTTCAGACAAACCATGACAAACCTCCATGTATAACCTAAATCCACATGTCAAGTCATATCCAAAAACTGTGGCTAAAGAATTTAAACATATTTGGAAATCAATTACATTTACAAACCAACTTATCACTGATTCCTGGGTCCCAAAGCAATTCTCCAAACCAAGGTGGGGCCTCCATTTGAGTAGTCTTCAAGACCCTGATCCCAACTCATGAGAACGGATTTCCCAGCTCATTGGATAGAGTTGGATAGTATAACTCCATATACGAAGTAACAAAAACCGTCATTGATCGGTGATATCCACCAAAAAAATCCACAAAAATATCCCCAGGTTCTGATGGTTTTTTAACATGTTAAAATCCTTTGAATCCCTTGTGAATCATCAACCACCATGGGGCTGACTCTAGGGCTCCCAACGCTGCGATCGGATCTGTCTTGCTGGAGCCAGGTCCGATCTCAGCGAGCGAAGGAATTGCAAGTTTCACCAAAAAAAAGGATGGGGCCCCCCAGTGATATGAACATTGGTTTATGTTGGTTTATAATTCCAATAACTATGGATAACTATGGAGAACTATGGATAACTATGGATAACTATGGATAACTATGGATAACTATGGTTTATGGTATATCGAACTACTTACTATGGTTTATAAACCAACAAATATCACGGGGGCACAACCTTGTATGGGGACATTCGCCATTTAGCCACAAAAAAAAAGGATAATATCTTCAGAGAACCAGCAACAACAAACATTGGAGAATATATGCAGGGAAATAACACTAGTCTAAACAAGCTTGATATACCGCATAACCATAATATATTTAAAAAAAACAGCGAAGAATATGTACAAGGTGGGCCCCCAGTTATGTTTGGTTTACAACCACGGTAGCTATAGTTCTATTCCCCATACACCTTAGTTAACCAAGTTAACCAACTTTGCTATCTGGGGGGCCCACCTTGTAATGGATGTAACCCGCCAACAGTGAACAAAAATCAGCACAGGACCAACATCAATTGGTGTTAGTGGTTTCAACCCCTCTGAAAATATGAAAGTCAGTTGGGATGATTATTCCCAATATATGGAAAAATATTCCAAACCACCAACCAGTCAATTGGTGTTGGACATTTACACATCTGTGATGTAACGAAACAACACGGAATGCAACGGATTTGGGGTGTCTTAATGAAATAAAGATATGTATGACTTGTAAAACAATGCCCTCCTAGTATCTAAACATCAAGCCATGCACATGCTTGCACTAAATCACCCGTTGGTAAGAATGGTCACAATCCCACGACTCTAATCCTCTTGGGTTGAACCCCCCCCATGCCCCAGGGCCCCAGGGGGCCCCAGGGTCTCCGAGTTTCGACCCGCAAGCGACCAGGGATCCTTACCGGCGACCAAAAGCCTGGCGAATCAGAGGGATTTCCATGATTTTCCATACAGCTGGATGGTTGATTTCCTGGAAAACATCTATAAAACATGATTATGGATGATTTTTTGGGGTACAATTTCGGACAGCAAAAAACCACTCATGCCTGCGCTCCCAGGGTGACTTATAGCCATCTTGGAGTCAGTTTATTCAGTCTATTCCATGTTGGGCCATATCCAAACACAACGTGATTTGGCGCTGGAATTTTCAGAGGACCTTTTTTTGGTACGCCGATGGTTTCCTTCATGGCCAGTGCGTTGAAACGAAACCCGAAACTCTCAAAAAGGGTGCAAAAAAGATCAAAAAACACTGGAATCAATGAACAAAAACCTCATGATCCTCATGTTCCCAGTGGCAATTTTGGGTGAGTCCGCGATTTTCATAGCCAATTCAGACCCGTCTCATCTGGCATGGGTTTAGCCCAGCCAAACTATAGTTTTCATGGATCTTATCCACCACAAACATGTATAAACCCATCAGTTAAAGCTGTTGGGCTATAGTTGTAAACCAATTTCATATACAATAAACCCAATGAATACCCAACGACAAAACCCAAGTGGGCAAGGTTCAGATGGGTTTAACGTGGGAAACCTATAGTTAATAAACCAAGCCCAAAATCTCGAGAAATGGTTGGTATGTTTACCATCCCCAAATGATAGGTTTCTGGCAGCCAGGGTCTACCACATCATGTACAATATGACTTCCGGCGATAGATCTGGTTGAATTACACTCCATCGACCTCAAGATAAAGTTATCTTGGGATAGTTCCTTTCTAACCATTTCTAACCAGCATTTCTACTACCGTCGTGACGTCTTAGTGCCGCTGCTGTAATTTACCCATATGTTGTGAAACATAATAAAACTAATAACAATATAGTAGATTATACGTTGACATATATATATATATACAAAATAGTATAATATATATATATAGTTATATATATATATATGTCAACCGTCAAAAAGACAGATTCTATGAGAATTAGAGAAGTACTTCGGCAGCGCGGCGCCTCGGGTGACGACTGGATCATGTGGATAGAGTTGGCTGTCATCAAACGCCCAACCTACGGCACCAATGGTGGGTCGCCAAGGCCAGGGCCAATGGAGGCGGATATGAGGGGGTAGGCTACATCTACCCTCCGGTAAACATACAAAAAACTATGGAAAATCACATGTTTTTATGTGTAAATAAACTATAAATAGGTCATTTTCAATAGCTATGTTAGTTTACCAGAGGGTAAACAACGAAAATAGTAGAACAGAGAATTATCTAATTTATGGGCTTGGTGAAATCTGTCCAAAAGATACAAAAGGTGGATCTTGGTGGCTCATTCCACTTAGTAAGTAGGTTATAACCCTAATTTAATTGTAGATGGATTAATTACCCTCTGGTAAACTAACATAGCCATTGAACATGGCTATTAATAGTGGATCTTCCCATTAAAAATGGTGGATCTTTCCATAGTTTTTTAGTATGTTTACCAGAGGGTAACCCTACTGAAATCCCACTAAAATAACTTGAGTGAACCCACTTGATCCCACTAAAAACGTGCTTGCCCACCATGGAATCCCACCACGCAGTGAGGGGGCCAAAAAGGACACAGTCAAAGCCCATATTACCAGCGATTCTTCTGGTGATTTTTAGTGGGGTATCATAAACCATAAATGGGGGGACTTGCTGACTATATCTGATTTTTTGGGCCATATCTTCTGGTAAACATACAAACAAACATGGAAAATCACAATGTTTAATGGGTAAATCAACGAACTAAATGGCCATGTTCAATAGCTATCTTAAATTACCAGAGGGCAACTGTAAGTTTCGGTTAGTTTAGACCTGACATCCCGGTAGATACATTGACACGCCTACATCGGTGAACATCAACCAATAAACATATAAGCTGGTGCCCACCAGTTCTGAGACCAAGTTACTTGGTCTCAAAAACTATCTATATAGATATAGATTTACTTGTATAGATAAAACTAACTATAGATATAGATTTACTTGTATAGATATACCATGATATAACCTAACATAACCCAAACAGTTCACCTGATTTTCCCCCAACAAAACGGCGCCATCCACAGTTCACCGGCCTCTCCCATCGGCCAGTCGCAGGTAAACACCTCAGTGTTTCACACCAGTCTTTGACAAAGAACTATATAATATTGGTATATATATATATATATATATCTATATCTATATCTATATGTACGTATATGTGTATATGTTTGATATATGTTATCTATATCTATATGTACGTATATGTTTATATGTTATATATGTTATCTATATCTATATGTACGTATATGTGTATATGTTATATATGTGTATATGTTATATATATATATATATATGTTATCTATATCTATATGTACGTATATGTTTATATGCTACATATGTTAACTATATCTATATGTACGTATATGTGTATATGTTTAATATATGTTATCTATATCTATATGTACGTATATGTTTATATGTTATATATGTTATCTATATCTATATGTACGTATATGTGTATATGTTATATATGTGTATATGTTATATATATATATATATATGTTATCTATATCTATATGTACGTATATGTTTATATGCTACATATGTTAACTATATCTATATGTACGTATATGTGTATATGTTTAATATATGTTATCTATATCTATATGTACGTATATGTTTATATGTTATATATGTTATCTATATCTATATGTACGTATATGTGTATATGTTATATATGTGTATATGTTATATATATATGTTATCTATATCTATATGTACGTATATGTTTATATGCTATATATGTTATCTATATCTATATGTACGTATATGTGTATATGTTTAATATATGTTATCTATATCTATATATATGTACGTATATGTTTATATGTTATATATGTTATCTATATCTATATGTACGTATATGTTTATATGTTATATATGTGTATATGTAATATATATATATATATGTGTTATCTATATCTATATGTACGTATATGTTTATATGCTACATATGTTATCTATATCTATATGTACGTATATGTGTATATGTTAAAAATATGCTATCTATATCTATATGTAAGTATATGTTTATATATTATATATGTTATCTATATCTATCTGTACGTATATGTGTATATGTTATATATATGTTATCTATATCTATATGTACGTATATGTTTATATGTTATTTATGTTATATATATCTATATGTACGTATATGTTTATGTGTTATATATATATATTATATCGATATCTATATGTACGAATATGTTTATATGCTATATATGTTATCTATATCTATATGTACGTATATGTTTATATGCTATATATGTTATCTATATCTATATGTACGTATATGTGTATATGTTATATATATTTTATCTATATCTATATGTACGTATATGTTTATATGCTATATATGTTATCTATATCTATATGTACGTATATGTGTATATGCTATATATGTTATCTATACCTATATGTACGTATATGTTTATATGCTATATATGTTATCTATATCTATATGTACGTATATGTTTATATGTTATATATGTTATCTATATCTATATGTACGTATATGTGTAAATGTTTATATATATATATATGCTATCTATATTTATATGTACGTATATGTTTATATGCTATATATGTTATCTATATCTATATGTACGTATATGTGTATATTTTTATATATATGATAAATTGACAATCCCCCCATGAGCCGCCCTTTGTGAAATGGAAATTCCCCCGTATATATTGGCAAAACAAACATAGTTGTATGTGTATGTATGTACAGAAAATATTACATGGAGAGAGGGCCATTTGGAATGTATATATATATATATGTATTTATAGATTCTTTTCAAACTTTCTGGGTCCAATTTCCCATTGATGGCGAGAAAAAAAAATCACGACCAGTCCTAGGTTTCCCCGGTAATCAGTGTGTGAATGGCTCTTCGAAAAAGGGCACACGGCGCGGCACGTTCCTCTATGCATCACCTCTCCGACAAAAATCCGAAAAACGCACCTTTTATTGGTCTTTGGTCTGTGCAATCCTCACAAAGACCGGACTACGAGGCTTGAAGTCATGCTGCAGTCCATCAAAACTCAGACGCCAGTGCTGGGTCCAACATGAGAAATCCCAGTCGCCAGCATGCGCCATATGTGCACAAGCACCAGCCGATCGCTCCTGCATTGATACCAGAAAGATGTGTCCACCCCTTGAATCACACTAACTGCTCCAGTGCACAACTCACTGCCAGTCAAGACCTTCGATGAAATCATGAGTTGTGTGGCTGTCTAGTCCAAAGTTCTGTTGGTGAAATGCAATCCCTGCCTTTGTTTATGAAATCCCAGTTGTTTTGCGCAATAGTTTTTATTCTTGTGGTCAAAACGGATTCTTGAAGCCTTGTTTCTTTGGGGAGCAAAACAATCCGCGGCACGGTATAGTTCAACCCAAAAGACACAATCGCTGCGAAATATCTGCTGCAACTGATCCAACCCCTACTGAAATATTTTGCTGGTGGGTGAGCCGTCGATCCCAAAATTATGGTCCATCCAGTGGAATCAAAGTCTAGGTGGGGTGATAGTTAAGTTGGTACATTTGGTACCACTAACTTGATCAACTGTTAGGTTTATGGCGGATCGAACAACTTTTGATGTCGCTTAAACAAACAATTCACAACTGGGTACCAAATCTTTGATCCCCCGGCTAAATATGATTTATTGATATTTATTGGCTGATTGGTAGATGTTTAATTCACGGCAAAAGATCACACATGATTAAAGTATTAAACGCGCCATGCAATCATGTTGCTTTATCAGATCTTTCCGCAGGCAACATTGGGTGGTCACCGACGGAGGCTGGTTGAGTTCACCGCTCATATTCTTGGAAAAAAAAACGCCGTTCTTGATGATGACTATGGAAATCTTGCAGTTCTCTTGATTTTCCCATTAAAAAAAAAAAACACATCTATAGAAGATGTTCCCATGATTTTCCCCATGACTTCCGATGATGTTCCCATGTGTTTTTTTTGTCGGGGACTTCCAGCCCACGGTGGCCGAGCTTTCTCTCACCGGTCTCTGCATCCATGTCACGTCCATCAGGCTGAGGCAGCTCCTACCAAGCAATATACCTACCCCTCTGAAAAATATGAAAGTCAGTTGGGATTATTATTCCCAATATGGACATTGTATTGTCAGACAAGCCCATACGGACATTATATAGATTTCGTACTGTGGACGGTTGCGAAATCCTGCATCACCTTGGATGGTTGAACCCTATAAATCACGGGATAAACCACCTATCAACTGGTGCAGGATTTCGCAACCATCCACCGTATACATTGACTTGGGATAATCATCATAATCTCAACATAATCATCCTAATGATCATGATACTCATGTATGATATTATGAGGATCATTGATGATAAATAAATATCATCTATGCACATGTATGTCCATAACTCATCATAATAGTTATAATCTGAATATACAAAACAATCATGAAAACAATTTGTTATTATAATCATCATGATTATAATGACCACCATGATCATCATTATCATTGCGATGTACCCATTATTGGGGATTTGAGTAAGAATTGATGTACTATTTAAACATCCAGCTTTTGGGTCCATGACAACTCACACTTCAACAGTAGCAATTCACCTAATATATCCTATCATGTATCATCTACTATCATCACTTTCCTTGTCACTTGATCTCTTAATCTCAACTAAAAAAAATGTGATTTGGATTCAGCTGGCTGGACCTTGCAGAAAAAATCACAAGCCAATGGCAGAACTCACCGCAGTTTCCTCTGACGCGGCAAAAGTGGCATTTTGACCTCCAGGCCACGAGTGTGCGAAATTGGTGGCGAACGAGAATCACGAGATTTTTACCATGTGCAAATCAATATAGTTGTAAATGTTCATGTTATAATATATGACGTACACTTACAATAAGTATATATATATAACACTTTCTAGTCATTAACATTAAACTATGTGATGACCATTCACAATAAGCAAATAAATGTAGTTATCATATATGAAGACCATTCATGGTTTAGGATTGGTTAACATTATATATAACTGTGTATAGTCGAACGGCTGTCCAACGGTTTTTATTGACAAACCATAAACGGGAATACCACTTCATGGGGGTCCCAGCAATTGTAAGCATGTCGATGTCTTTTGAAGGATTATTCATGGCTATCACCATAACCATGTCTATGAACCCCCATGTTTGTTGGTATATAACCTCAATAAATATGGTGAAATCTATCTACTTAATGGGATATATTAGATATGATGTGTGTGTATATATATATATATACATAATATAGATCACTTTAAGATGGGATATTTAATAGTTAGCATCCACTTAATCACTGAGGTTCCTGGAACCGCACTTTGGGCTCACTTTGGGATGCCATGTGGCATCAGCCATCGACAGCTTGTCAAAAATTGGGGGGGAGGGTGCCTTGACATTCATCAAGCCATTAGATTTTTGGCCCAGTTATGTTTATGGTTATAAATGGTTATAAATGGCTATAAATGGTTATACATGGTTATAAATGGGGTTATAAGTGGCCACAAATGGGGTGACTTACTGGCTTATAACCAATGGCTGAATAACCGGTAACGGGCCATAACATAACTGCATAATCATAAATGAGTCACGTGGTAAACTAAGGATTCGGCCTTGGGAACCACATGGAACCACAGCAAGTGTGTTTAGCTTTTTAATTAGTTCAGTAAACCACCATTACTGTAACCGCATTGGTGGTAAAATCCTTGGGAATTGCAAGAAGATTAGTTCACCCCACTGATGAGTGGGGTAAGGTAGGGGTAGTGACGCTTTAACCGGCATAGAGCCTACTTCCTAACTGTGGTGAACCACCAAGTATCAAAGTTTGCTAAATACCAGACTATGCATGCTATCATTTATTCTCTGTGGATGTGAAAATTGAAAATTGCCAGATATTTTATGCAATTTTGGGGATAATTCCCTCTATGGTCGGCGAGTCAGATCGCTTTGCCCAAACATAGATCCATGTTAAACACAACCCAACCCCTGCTTTTTTTCCAAATAGTTTCAAGCATTCCAAATCAATCGGTCCCACTCTTTCCAAACAACAAACTTCTGAATCCTTTTTTGCATGGTCCATACATGGACCAGGCAAACATCACATAAAAAGCCCCAGAAAAAAAAACAATGATCATTAAAACCCATAGAAAAAACCATAAAACCCGATTAAAACCCATAAAAAAAAAATAAACATCCATAACCCCCCCCCAAAGTCATCCTAATTGCTGGGCTGGAAAACTCATCCTTTGCACGACGACCACGACCATCCCTGGGACCCCCACCCAAGGTGATGCCCACACGTGGCGCATCAATGTGGGGTCCCTGCGGTCCCGAAACCGTGCCGTGTGAAGCTTGTGGTTCATGATGGTTATCCATTATGAACCATCAGTATACTATCATGGGATAATAATTTAATAATATACTATCATGGGATAATATATCCATTATTATCCATCATTAACCACTATACCTATAATCCATTGGTTGATCATGGGATAATATATCCATTATTATCCATCATTAACCATTATACCTATAATCCATTGGTTTATCATGGGATAATAAATCCATTATTATCCATCATTAACCACTATACCTATAATCCATTGGTTTATCATGGGATAATATATTCATTATTAACCATCATAATACCTAGAAAATCTGTAACTGCTTGGTGGTTGACCTATCCCACTGAAAAATGATGGAGTGAAAGTCAGTTGGGATTATGACATTCCCAACTGAATGAAAAAATAAAAGCCATGTTCCAAACCCTCTGGTAAACATACAGTTAGCTATTGAACATGGCCCAGTCGAAATAGTGGATTTTCCCATTCAAAATGGTGGATCTGTCCATAGTGTTTTCTATGTTTACCGGAGGGTAATGGATATTAATGCTGGGTTTTTAATGGTTCTTAATGATTATTTATGATCATTGAACATGGTTCTTAATGGTCATGAATAATAAACACTTGTTTTTGCATCTGGGTTATTACTCAATGAACATTGACCGGGATTCACACCCAATAATCCTACCATGTAAACTGGCAACGGAACATCGTCCTTCCCTCTAAGCAAGTAAAGAATCTGCACATTGTTGGACTTTTGGTTGCCAGATTGTTCTTTTTCTTGATGATGCACTCCTAACACAAATTTTGGATAAATTTGGGATGTCCATACAAAACAGTTGCAAGATATTCTCCGCAGTTTTTACCTGGACTTCCCATATGAAAAGTAATTAATGGATTGCATCAGGTTTTTGCAGTAGCTCACAGAAATTGAGTTGAAAGGCGCACACACACACCAAAAAAAAAAAACAGAGCTGAATTGTTTGGGGGTGGGGGAAAATGCAAGACTGGATAACCATTGACATGTTCAAACTGGATAAGCAGCGACTCGGGACTAGCACAAGAACATCCCACCAGCCGCTGACCGGTGCCCGTGCACCGGTCAAGCTCCTCATCATTTCTACAAAGCTTTCCATTGATTTCAAACAGATCCGGCAAGACATGTGAGTGGAAATGATCCAAAAGTATGGATGGAAGATAATCATATGATCTTGTTTTATGAAGTGGAAACAATCACAATTGAGCAGTGTTCAAAACCTGGCATTGTCCCTAAATGACCGATTAAGAACAGAAATTAAGTTCCTAGTTCATAGATTATTGTCTAATCCCCAATGGTTGTTGGATTAAAATACAACTAATTACCTCAACTAATCATCAACCAACACAGCTATGGCCCGAAATACTACGAGACAGAAAGTCGGAAAGTCACTCCATCTATGAAATGATAACCCCATTGATAACCATAAAAGCGCTGGTAAAGGGCTTAACTCCCTGTGTTCCTATGTTTTTTGTGTGGTTTCCCCGGTTAACCGTAAAATAACTGGCTTTAGCGATTGAATTACAGCGTTTTTCGCTCACTGCTCACATGTTTCAAGGGCCACCCAACCCTACTCACCACGCACCTTTCGTAGATCGATGCCTCCCAAGAAGGCAACCTTTGAAGCAGCTTGCCACAATATAGCTATTGGTATAACAGGGATGGCGAAATACCAGTTATAAGTCACAGGATGGGGGCCCCGTGAGAACGCTCGCGTTCAGTTGCCTTAGAAAAGCGGCTGAATTCTATGGTTTATGGTAGATATAACTATAACGAACTAGTTCATGGGGGTTATAACGGTTTATAAAGCAACAAACATCACTCGGGGGCCCATCCTGCAGTAAGTCACTCCATTTATGGAATGATACCCCGATTTATAACCATACAAACAACTGGTCAAGGGCTTTGACTGTATAGAATGGACAATCATATTAAAATCATTATATACAGTACATTTTCTGGAACATATGTTTTTTTTGCTACGTTTAATTGTCGTAGGAGTCACGCATGCTTTGACTGATACAGATTGTTATATAAGCCATGATAATGGAACCACATCCTTATATCATACAGTATATATAATACAGTTAAAATATATTAAAATATATTATGTCATATTATATCTGTTATAACCCAGTATAATGGGACCAGGAAAATCTATGACTACACCATTTCAGAAAGGGCCGTTTTTCTCCGCTTTCCGGGGTGGTGGTGGAACTTAGATTGCTATCTTTGGCTACAAACATTAACATCCAAGCATCCCATCCGGGCATATCCGGGCAACTTAGGACAGTTAACGAACCTGCAACCACTTTTTGTTTCCGAACCTAAACGTGAATCACGACTCATGTCACAACCCATGGCTAAACTAAGATGCGCAGCAGGAGTATTCACTTCATGTTCTGGTTCGTGGTTTCAATCCCTCTGAAAAATATTAGTAAGATTGGATCATCATCCCAACTATTGGGGAACATAAAAAATGTTCCAAACCACCGTGTTTCTCTAAATATAACATACATAAAACAAAGTGCCACGTTTGGAGCAGCTAAAGACGCCAGCTGGGTCGCAAAACGCTACTTGTAGTGGGACCCCTGGTTGAAAAAATTGGTTGCCAAGCTCACCCATCTAACTATATACATCATAAACCAGGCCCACTTATGGCCCAAAATACCAGCTATTTTTTTTCAGTAAGTGATCCCATTTATGGTTCATGATAGCGGCATTTAAAACCATAAGCATATTTTTGCATCAAAATCATTGGCTTAAGGGCTTTTTGTTCACCATTTATTTCACCATTTACAACCGGTGACTTATCGGGCTGCCCGATGGGTTTACCCAGTGACAGCACCAGAAACCGGACCGATGGACTCCCTGGACCGAGGTCGAAACCCTGTACCACGGATACATCATACCTGGATACCGTCAACCCCTCTGAGTCATGTGAATGTCAAAACAAACCACCATGAATCATCATAAATCCATATATATATACACATAATACATAGATATAGATCAACTAAGGATATATAGATATAAAATCATAGATCATAAATCAACTAAAGATATATAGATCACCCAAAAAAACCACTAGTTCGAAATATATGTCATCATAGATCACCAAGGCAAATGTATAAACCACAGCACCTCAATGAACCAGCATCCTCAGAGAAGCCCTAGGACTCAACACAGTCGCTATCCAGGTGTTTGGAAACCAAGGGTTTCCACACAGGTGGAGAGATCATGGTACAATGTCGAAACCGCCTCTTGTTGAGCATGAAAGCGATGCAGTAAATGTTTTTTTATCTATATATATATATATAGATTTCTTCACAGCAAACAGATGATGCCGTGATTTTTTGAGACTTGGTGACTCCAACTAGAGTGTGGGTAAGTTGAGACATCCAGAGCTGTGTTCACTTTGGAATACACTACCAGCCGAACATCCCAAAATTGTCGACACCCTGCAGCCCTTCATTTCTTAGGTGGATATCTGGTTGGTGGTTGACCTACCCCTCTGAAAAAAAATATTATATAGTGAGTTGGGGTAATTATTCCCAATATATGGGAAAATAAAAAAATGTTCCAAACCACCAACCAGATATGATCTTCCCCGTTCATGGCAAAGCATTAACGACAGGGTGAACGTTTGGGTTTCGAAGATCACACAGTTATAGCCCAACTAACAGTTATAATTGCGATTAGTTGATGATATATATATATATATATAATATATATATATATAATATATATATAATATATATATAATATATATATATATATATAATATATATATATATAATATATATATATATATATATATGGGGACGTCTCAAAATACCGTGTCCAACCCGGGAAGTTTGACTAGGGGGTATGATTCGCGGGTATGATTCGTGGGTATGATTATGGGTCTCATGGTGCTGCTGCAAGGGGTGATGCTTCAGGGTGCTGCAAGGAGGGTACGTACTGTACCCAACTCGTGCTGCAAGGGTGCTAGTGAAGGGTGCTGCTGCGCGCTGCAGGGTGCTGTTGTCGGATTTTTCTCAGAAGCAGCAGGACCCGTGGCGAATGGTTGCAAAGAAAAGAGCTCACAAAACACAAGTTCTGATCTTGCAAATGTACCAAGGTTCAGAATTGGGAAGTTTGAGGTATGATTCGGGTATGATTCGGGCATGATTCGGGGTATGATTCGGAAACCCATCTTTTTTTGAATTCAGGACGCTTTGTTGCTTGAGTCTCTTTTTCCCACCGTCAACCTACTACGATTGCTACTTTGTCAATGGCTGCAATGGCTCGACCTGCCAGACGACATTGGACAGGACCTGAGTATGAAGAATGTGAAGATCTCAATGCACATCTATGATTTATATCCGCCGGCCTGCCGGCGTCTCTTCTGGATGTTCTTCTCATGTACCTTTAGCTCAGCTACGCTTAGGCTTATGTTCCTCTTCGACGGAGTTTTGGTTTGGTTGCCAGCCAGCCAGCCAGCCAGCCACCCAGAGCCAGCCAGCTTAGGGATAATGATGAGACTCTGCGCGCGTGGAGAAGATTCGCCAACACTGGTCAATTAGCTTGTCAGGTCCATTATAACTAGTGAGGCCAATGCAATCCCAAACGATCCCAAAAAAAAACATTCATAATCCTGATTTTTTAGGGGTATGATTCGCAGATTTCGGGGGTATGATTCGGGGGTATGATTCGGGGTATGATTCGGGGGTATGATTCGCGCAAATCGAACTTCCTGCCTTTACTAAAAACTGCACGCATCAAAAAAAGACAGGCCCATATATATATATATATAACCTTAGTTATAGGAGTTGTAATCTCATTTATAACTTTTAAGGGCCAAAGCTGCAATAGTTAATGGCTCTATAAATCAACAAAACTGAGGAGGGCCTCACCTTGATAAAGTGCGAAACAAACTATTGGTTCGTGCTGGTTTTCCAATGGTTTCCTCCTGTGAAGATTTCCCACCGCTATATCTTTAGATCGTTAAAGGTTACCACTTTGATAGCTAAGTTGGTTTATAATTCCAATAACCAAGGTTCATGATCATATAACATCATATAACCTCATATAACATCATATAACATCATATAACATCATATAACATCATATAACATCATATAACTATATTTCTTGGGCTTTATAAACCAACCAACAAACAGAACTAGGGGAATTTCCCTGTGTCGCACTGTCGCCAGAAAGGACAGACGAATTCGCAACCTCAGGTCGAGGCGTCGATAGGAAAAAAAGGAGAGCCTGGAAAATCATAATTTGTCGAAGGTAAATATCTGGGTAAATTATACTATTTCACTAACCTGAATTAAGGCCATTTGGGGATGATTCCCCTTACTAACCATGATTCCAGTGAGGTCGCAGTGAGGTCGTTATAATTTACCCAGAAATATAGGTACAATGTGGTGCCCCAGTTCGTGAACGCTAAGTTGGTTTATTTATAACTTAAATAACAGTGGTTTATTGTAGATATATCGAACTAGTTAATGGTGTTTGTAAGCCTATTTGTAACTAGGGGGCCCCACATTGTAGATAATCTAAAAGAGGGGATTCAAAACAGGTATATATTAATCTGCAATCAATCGCCCATTTTCCATAGCTATGTTGAATCACAACAGGGTATACCCATACCCATAAAAATCTCAAACAAGTGACAAAGAATTGTAACACTTCGCATTGTCGTTTTTGTCTAGCCAGCACAGCACCAACTTGCAGTGAGTTGGCCTGGATTTGGCGGAACCCTCATCCCCAAAAGAAAAAAACTACAGATTCCCCAGCCCAGTCATCTTGGATTTCCCAGCAGCTTGGGAGATTACAGTTCATGGCATCAAAACCCTGGCCCGGTGAACACCAGCTGGTAGAATGGATGTGAATGGAACGTATCCGTTCCCTGTATCTACCACATCATATCCCATTGTGTTGGTAAATATCTATACCAAATTATACCAATATCCACATAGCAAAAATATCCACATAATGCCAAGTATGGATAATTTTGAAATATGGATAAATATGGTATGTTATGTTAAAATGGAGCTTTGCAATGCATGGGGCATGGGGGTACCCCCAAATCATCCGAACTGGACATAACTGAGACCATTTGAGTACTGAAACTGACATGATTTTGGGAATCCCTCATCTTAAGAAACACCCATCTCAAAAGCCATTCCAAGTGGATTATAAAACAAGGTATACATGGTTAGACTATATTGAATCCCAGATATATAGGAAACATCCATATGGAGAATATCCCACGCATTCGCATTGTGGTTGGTTCTATATCCCAGTTCCGAACTTGTGAGATTTCATGACGAAGCCATACTTAGCACTGGGTCCCCGGGCCACCGTTAAAGGCCCCTTGTTGTAGCCATTGGGGTGCGAGTAAGCAGAGCCTGTGGTGAGTTTTTCGATGCACATCTGATGATAGATGAAAGCCCCTGGATAGGATAGATAATTGAGTCGGTATATAACTTGCTTAACTGTTGTAGGGGACATATCTATATATGAGGTGTAAAAAACAAGAAAAATAACTCGTGGGCCCCATTTCCTAAGAGTTGAGTGGAAGTCAAAGGTGCATATTAGTTGCTAATCTTGGAAATAGCAGCCATACCCATTACCTATTCTCAGATTTCTCATTGACTACTTTTGGAGGTCTTAGACATGCGCAAGAGAGATGTGGGCTATGAAGTTGTGGACTGACCAATGACGGGGGTTGGGTTGCCGGAATATCTCCAATCAAGTTTCTAGAACCGCCAGTACCATTCAAAAAGAGTTGAATAAAACCGTGATTAGTCGCCGAACAAAACATCCTGCAGTTTGTCTGGCCATAATTTCCCATGTTTGAGACCCAAATCGGCACCTCCTGGGTGTGCGCCCGGATGGGCGCCCGGGTGGGCGCCCGGGTGCGCCCCCGCGGGGTGGGCGCCCGGGTGCGCGCCGTAGTGTGGGTAGCCACCGTAAGGCTCTTCCAGGTAGGGAGGGACATGATAACCTCGGATGCCATCATGGGGTGACTGGGTGAATGGTGAGTTGTTGCTGGTTTTCTTACTGTACATGGCAGAAGCATTGCCATAAATGATGTTCAAAGACCAAGATGAAGCAAGTTGGAGCTTATAACTGGCAAATAGCTATTTCATGTCCCATATGCTCCATGTATGCTATATGAATATATATATATGGTAACATCTTCTGTACCAGTCCAATGGGCTTACTTTTTGAAGTTAGGATAAGTTAGGATTCCGATTCTTGGAGGATCATCTCGTAAATTGGTAAATAGATTTGGTTAGGTAACCCGGTAACTCCCCTAGTGGTGGGTTTATTCCATATATCTGGCTCAGCCAGACAAGTTTTGCCGAATCTCAGATATCCTCTGGCACGGTCCTTAAGATGCACATGAAGCAGTAATATACAAAAACGATAGGAGTGTGGACTCAACCAGCTGGTGACTCAAGCAGAACGGATGATCCTCGACAGAAATAGATCACCAGTTTATCCCATGATCAAACCCTGTACTGGTTGGTGGTTGACCTACCCCTCTGAAAAATATGAGTTCGTCAGTTGGGATGATGACATTCCCCATATATGGGCAAATAAAAATGTTCCAAACCACCAATCAGTGTAATAACTATTGTTAAGTTTCGTTAAGTATGGTTCCTGGTAGATATATCGAACTAGTTAATGGATGTTAATAAACCAATGCCCTTTTTTTATCTCATGAATATTCCATTCATACTCCTATGGTTTTCAAACTTTTGAGCTATGACAAACATTGCACCAAACTTCCACAGCAAGGTGGATCCCCTACAGTTGTGGCCCGAAACAGCAGTTGTGGATGTCAGATGATGTCACCCCATTTATGATCACTTAAGGTCCCCAACAAACAATAAGATACAATAAGCATAAAGATTCCTGGTTTTTCACCGGCAACCACGAACCTTTCGCAAGTTGGAAGCTGGGTCCCTGGGTTGCCCCCACTCTCACCCGGGCCGTAGGAGCTAAAGGCCATGCGAAATTCAGCGAAACCAGGCCCTAGCTGCGCGAAATTCGGCTGGATCGACGACTGGGACGACTGGGACGACTTGGGGCCGACTGGACTGGAAGAACATTGTAGATCCAAGGGCTTTGTGCATAATACACACATAATATTGTATATTATATATTATATTATATTATACTATATTAAATTATACTATATTACACTAGATTGCAATATATTATACTATATAATACTATATTATACTATAATTATATTATATTATATTATATTATATTGTATTATATTATATTATATTATATTATTTATTATACTATATTAAATTATACTATATTAAATTATACTATATTGTACTATATTGTACTATATTATACTATATTAAACTATATTATACTATATTTTACTATATTATACTATATTATATTATATTATACTATATTAAACTATATTTATATTATGCTATATTATACTATATTTCACTATATTTCACTATATTATACTATACTATACTATATTATATTATATTATATTATATTGTACTATATTATACTATATTATAATTAAATGTTATTATATTTTACTATATTATACTATACTATATTATATTATATTAAATTATATTATATTATATTATATTATATTTTAGTATATTATACTATATTATACTATATTATATTATATTATATTATATTATAGTGCGCCATACATTAGGATCACATATATGTATATATTTACATATCAGTGATATAAGTGGCAACTTATATGTATTATAATGGATGCATCTTCCAACCGCAAGGTTTGACGATGTGGTTAGTAACCACAAGGTTTAATGATGTCGAGGACCCATAGGGATATGTGTACATATATGTAATATATGGAAGTATCAAGATTTAGTGGTCTAATTGTAACTCTTCATCGTTAGAAGGTCGCTGTGAAGGTCGCATAGTTTCCTCAGACACATAGCAAGAGCTTCAATCTGCAGAACAGCAAGAGTACAAAGATTTTGCGGTAAACCACACATTCTGATGGGTACCCTCTGGTAAACTAACATAACTAAGGAAAATCACATTTTTTAATGGGAAAATCAACTATAAATAGCAAGTTTCAGTAGCTATGTTAAATTACCAGAGGGTAACTTGAGGGTTCAAGTATCCAACGTTTGTTCAGAAATGTACAGTAAATAAATGGATTGCAATTCCTTTACATGTTGAGACAGGTACATATTCGATGCTATACATAAATATATCGACACATCCAAACACATATTAAGGGACAAAGGGGGGCATACATGGGTAAATATACCGCTTTAGCAAAGATGTACTGAATGGAAATTCACATTCTCAGGTCTATATAGGTCTATGGGATCTCTATGGAAACATGATGGTACCAGCAACATACATGTCTGAAATCCGCCGAAATCACTGGATTAGCCATGATGGTTCACCCTACCCAGCTGGAAAACTATGGTGGTTCACCAACCTATGATTCCGCAGTTCACCACATGTAAATGAACCCTGTATACCAGTTGTAAATGGTTATAGATGATGTCATTGTTGTCATTGCATGGGGTGACTTACTGAATTATGGCTATTTCATGCTATTTCGGGCCACAGCTGCACCAAGTAACTTGCATCCCCATTCTTTGTTGCTAATGTCCCTGTCTTGACCAACAAAAACCAACCATTTCTGCTGGCGAAATCTCCTGAGTTCCCAGACCGAGTTGGGATCCCGGCGACACCTCAGGTCCACGGCCGTCACCGCAGTGTGATGGTTTTTGATGGTGGTAACCGGCTGTACCCCCTGGTTATGTCAAAATAGCTATTGAAAATGGCCATAGAAATAGTGGATTTTCCCATTGAAAATGGTGATTTTCCATAGCTATGTTAGTTTACCGGAGGGTAAGCCACGTAAATTGGGACATATTATGGCCATATAACAATCCCATTCAGGACTCTCTGGAGATGGGTAGCTACGCTTGCTAAAAAAAAACACGTTTTTTGGGGTCAGCAGTCGCTATATCTGGCTGCAATCTGGGTGTTCAAAAAACTTCAGAACTCATCACCTCCCCCAGATGTCGATACAATGCAGTAATAAAATTGCAAAATCCAGTGAAATCAGTATATCTCTGGTCTTTTTTAGATCATCCAAAGACTTGTCTTCCAGCGAGTCAGTTGCTTTGGCATTTTTCTCAGTTCTATGCGATGTTCTATCCCGTTACAATCAATGATTTTAAGCCCGCAACAAAAAAAAACTTCATTGTAGATCCTTATCCCATATATCTTTGATTTGTTCCCGACCAAAATGTTTCAATCAAACGGATCATTTCACACTTATAGATCATTGATTATCATTATATCTACCATAATTTAGCACAATGTTTGGGTTTCCGAAGTTTTCCATGGCCTTTCAGACTGCCGCAAACCGCTCCGGTTCAGTTCATCCAAGGCGCCGCAAACAACGGCCGATTTCACTCGCAACCCGCCCTAGGCTTGCCCCAACCCTGGGGGCCGTATCTGTTCGGCCCCCTTTTAACACAGAATTTTGAAGCTCCACGGCCAGTTTTTTTCGGTGATCCGAAACAATCAGCCCAACTAAAAGGTGGGCATATAAAGGTTCAACCACATTGTTGGTATACCCACTCGGTGTTTTGGAAGCTCATCATTCTTGCTGCAAGTTCCCTACAATGTTAGCCCCGTGCCTCAGTTTTGTGTGGTGTACAAAGCCATGTAATTTCAGTATATTTTAGTTATATCTAGAGTCTATAGTAGGCATCCAAAAAAACATACAACCGTATTTTACAACTATATATCAGTAGGATTTTATTTGTCGACCTTTTTGGGGGTTACTACAGATATCCAAATGATGATGGCGATGTTTTATGCCTAAGCCTTGACCCCACAGCTGTAATTGCCGTTGGGTTACTGTACTTAGCACAACCATGATGGAAATAAAACATAAGTATTAATTCTGCAACAGTGATCAAATACCCGCGACGCCCCCCTCGAATATTGTTTGTTGGTTTATATAACTACCATTAATCATCAATATCTCTAGCATAGTCCCAGCAGTGAGCCATAGTGAACCTACCTCTCAGGTACCACATTGCATTAGTGAAACTGCACCCCTTCCTGGATTCATTTCTAGGATCAAGATCTACCCTCTGGTAATGACTAACGTAGCTATTGAAAATGGCCATAGAAATAGTGGATTTACCCATGGAAAATTGTGATTTTCCATAGTTATGTTAGTTTACCTGAGGGTATCAAAGCGGTCAACCCTGGATACACCTCTGGGCAGGGGGCTGTACCATAAAAAACCGCACATGAAACCGCTATTTGTCGGGGGTATGTCGGGGGTATACCCCCAGTTCATCAAACAGGCTTTGTCAATCCGGGCTTGACACTCGCCATTATGCGGATTGAATCCTGTATGGAGTTACTAGCATGGTTATAATATCTACCAATGGTTATAAGATGGCCCCCCCATGTTTGTTGCTTGATAAACCCCATACATAGTATAGATACATCCCCAACAGAAACCATGGTGAAAATGGAGGACACCAACTTAGCTGTCATAAACCAAGGGCCCACCGAACGTATCCCAACTGCATCCCCAAGCAGATCATAGTTCCCATTTGATTACCATGAAATCCCAGTAGAATCCATGAAATCACCATTAAACCCCATTAACAATCCATTAAGTTCCAATAAATGTCCATTAAATCCCACTAAATAAAATTTCCATTAAATTCCCATTAAATTTCATAAAAATCTATTGAATCACCACTGCTTCTGCCACTCCCATTTTGTCTTTTTCGATCTCCAGGGGCGCAGTCCATCGGTTGCTGACCCCTTGCGACTGGTGTTTCACCAGCCACCTGGCTAATGCATCACAGATTTGTTGTTGTGGGGGGGCAAGTATATATATATATATTCAAATATATTCAATATATATATATAGATAGATAGATAGATAGATAGATAGATAGAAAGATAGATAGATAGATAGATAGAATGAATACATATAAATAAATACTCAATATATATATATATGGAATATGTATATCATTGAAAATACTCAAAATATGTATATATATACATTGAAAATAATCATATATATATATATACATATTCAATAACATAGACCCGGGCAAGCCGGCGGCGGAAGTTTCCCAAACATAAATGACCTATAGTTCAAAGACAACCTGTCCCGACCGTGTCCTTCCCTCGACACTCCACACCTCACACTGCACACTGCACTCTTCGCACTCCAAACTTCAAACTTCACACTCCACACTTCTCACTGCTTCCTTCACACTCCAAACCTCACACTTCACACTTCACACTGCACACTTCACACTTCAAAGTCCACACTTCACACTTCACACTTCACAGTCCACACTTCACACTTCACAGTCCACACTTCACACTTCGCAGTCCACACTTCACACTTCACACTTCACACTCCACACTTCTCACTTCGCACTTCACACTTCACACTCCACATTTCACACTTCTCACTTCTCACTGCTTCCTTCACACTCCAAACTTTACACTTCACACTTCACACTTCTCACTTCGCACTTCACACTCCACACTTCACAGTCCACATTTCACACTTCTCACTTCACACTTCTCACTGCTTCCTTCACACTCCTAACTTCACACTTCTCACTTCGCACTTCACACTCCACACTTCACACTTCTCACTTCTCACTGCTTCCTTCCCACTCCAAACTTCACACTCCAAACTTCACACTTCACACTTCTCACTTCGCACTTCACACTCCACACTTCACTCACACTTCACACTTCTCACTTCCCACTGCTTCCTTCACACTGCACACTTCACACTGCACTCTTCACACTTCACACTGCGCTCTTCGCACTCCAAACTTAAACTTCATTCACACTCCACACTTCACACTTCTCACTTCCCACTGCTTCCTTCACACTGCACACTTCACACTGCACTCTTCACGCCCCACACTTCACACTGCTCTAAACCTACGTGCAACAAAAAACACTAGCGCCAAAATGGAGAAAATCTGCTAACAAATCCATTTCGCAGCCTTCATGCAGCCAGTCCAAGACGATTTACGAGATCCAGCTGCAAAAGACATTACGCATGCAGCCAAAGCAAGAAGCAACCTTGACGCAGCCATTCCAATGCGATCTGCAGAGACTGAGTTGCAAAACACAAGAGAACTACGCGCAATGGCGTCGGAAATTGTAGCTCCAAAACCGGATCTCGACGCCAGAGCGAAAAAAAGACGATTTTGAAGCACTTTTTAAAAGATTTTTAGAAGGAAAATCACTAGCGCCAAAATGGAGAAAATCTGCTGACAAATCACTGTCGCAGCCTTCATGCAGCCACTCCAATACGATTTACGAAGTCCAGCTGCAAAAGACAATAGTATTACGCATGCAGCCACAGCATGAAGCAACCTTGACGCAGCCATTACAATGCGATCTGCGGGAACTGAATTGCAAAACAGAATAGAACTACGCGCAACGGCGTCGGAAATTGTAGCTCCAAAACCGGATCTCGACGCCAGAGCGAAAAAAAGACGATTTTGAAGCACTTTTTAAAATGATTTTTAGAAGGAAAATCACTAGCGCCAAAAACGGATTTCGTGCGAGACTTCCTTCAAAACTCGTTGACGCAGCCATTCCAATGCGATCTGCGGAGACTGAGTTGCAAAACACAAGAGAACTACGCGCAATGGCATCGGAAATTGTATACAGCTCCAAAACCGGATGGATCTCGACGCCAGAGCGAAAAAAAAAGATTTTGAAGCACTTTTTAAAAAGATTTTTAGAAGGAAAATCACTAGCGCCAAAATGGAGAAAATCTGCTAGCAAATCCATTTCGCAGCCTTCATGCAGCCAGTCCAAGACGATGTATGAGATCCAGCTGCAAAAGACATTACGCATGCAGCCAAAGCAAGAAGCAACCTTGACGCAGCCATTCCAATGCGATCTGCGGAGACTGAGTTGCAAAACACAAGAGACCTACGCGCAATGGCGTCGGAAATTGTAGCTCCAAAACCGGATCTCGACGCCAGAGCGAAAAAAAGACGATTTTGAAGCACTTTTTAAAAGGATTTTTAGAAGGAAAATCACTAGCGCCAAAAACGCATTTCGTGCGAGACTTCCTTCAAAACTCCATCGGCAACTCATCCCACTTGCAATCCCATTTACATTGCGGGAACGATCCTACAGTTGCAAATCACAATGGAATTCTGTCGACCGCGCATGCACGAAAAACACTTGAAACCCCATTTACAATGCGGAACCGATCCGACCATGGTCCGAGAATGATCCGACCACACACGAGACCGTCTCGCACCCGTCGCACCGCAGAGGTAAATCATCGACGTTCGGGGACGCACTTTGTCTGGAAAAACACAGGGTTTCGTGCATCTGCTATCTCTCAAAAACGCATTTCGTGCGAGACTTCCTTCAAAACTCCATCGGCAACTCATCCACCAGCACCACTTGCAATCCCATTTACATTGCGGGAACGATCCTACAGTTGCAAATCACAATGGAATTCTGTCCAACCGCACATGCACGAAAAACACTTGAAACCCCATTTACAATGCGGAACCGATCCGACCATGGTCCGAGAATGATCCGACCATGGTCCGAGAATGATCCGACCACACACGAGACCGCCTCGCACCCGTCGCACCGCAGAGGTAGATCATCGACGTTCGGGGACGCACTTTGTATGGAAAAACACAGGGTTTCGTGCATCTGCTATCTCTCAAAAACGCATTTCGTGCGAGACTTCCTTCAAAACTCCATCGGCAACTCATCCACCAGCACCATTTGCAATCCCATTTACATTGCGGGAACGATCCTACAGTTGCAAATCACAATGGAATTCTGTCGACCGCGCATGCACGAAAAACACTTGAAACCCCATTTACAATGCGGAACCGATCCGACCATGGTCCGAGAATGATCCGACCACACACGAGACCGTCTCGCACCCATCGCACCGCAGAGGTAGATCATCGACGTTCGGGGACGCACTTTGTCTGGAAAAACACAGGGTTTCGTGCATCTGCTATCTCTCAAAAACGCATTTCGTGCGAGACTTCCTTCAAAACTCCATCGGCAACTCATCTACCAGCACCACTTGCAATCCCATTTACATTGCGGGAACAATTTCTTTGACTAACTCGTTCCCTAACGAACTCTTTCTTTGCTAACTCTTTCTTTGCTCTTTCTTTGACTAACTCTTTCTTTGCTAACTCTTTCTTTGACTACCTCATATATCCTGACTAACAATTTCTTTGATAACTAACTCTTTCGTGCTTTGAACTGACTTCTGTTTTTTGACTACTTTCTTTGCTAACTCTTTCCTGACTTTCTTTGACTAACTCTTTCTTTCTTTGCTAACGCTCTTTCTTTAACTCGTTCCCTCACTAACTCTTTTTTGACTAACTCTGCCCTCATGACTAACTCTTCCCCTGACTAACTCTTTCTTTGCTAACTCTTTCTTTGACTCTTTCCCTCACTAACTCTTTCTTTGACTAACTCTTTCCCTCACTAACTCTTTCTTTGACTAACTCTTTCCCTGACTAACTGTTTCTTTGCTAACTCTTTCTTTGACTAACTAACTCTTTCTTTGACTAACTCTTTCCCTGACTAACTGTTTCTTTGCTAACTCTTTCTTTGCTACCTCTTTCTGTGACTCTTTCCCTCACTAACTCTTTCTTTGACTAACTCTTTCCCTGACAAACTGTTTCTTTGCTAACTCTTTCCCTGACTAACTGTTTCTTTGACTAACTCTTTCTTTGACTAACTCTTTCCCTGACGAACTCTTTCTTTGCTAACTCTTTCTTTGACTAACTCTTTCCCTGACATTCTAAAAGTCCGTAACACGGAAGTTTCTCCCCCCCTAAACCTCCTTTGATAATTACATATACATATTGTATTCATAAGGTCAAGAAAACTGTTTATATCTACAATAAATACATGTGAAAATCATGACGGACATCAGGTTCCTCCAGCGGTAATAATCCCCAAGAATTGGGAGATCTTTTCGTTGCGGGGAAATCACCATTTGTTCATGGGTCATCACACAACATTTATATGTGATTTGTCCATAGCGATGTTAAATAAGCAAAGGGCGGTCCCTGTAACAATAATAAACAGCTATAGCCCAGAGCTGAAACTGCGCCCCCAAGTTGATGAACAAAAGCCTTAAAATTAGGCACCACTGGTCACTGCTCGGGGGTTCCTACCCAGAAATTCTCTGACATCACCAATCCCATCTGTGCTGGATTTGCTGAAGATGGTACTGTTCATATTGAACATCTCCAAAAAAAACATGGTTTAGTAGCATGAGACCAGCTATTATGGGAGTGTCATAGGGTCCCGAAATGGTGAAATGACAACCTTCATCAAATCTAAAGGTGGGACCCCCAGTTTTTTACGCTGGTTCATGAGCCCGATTCACTACTTCCATATATCATAAGCATAAACATCCAATTTCAGCCCGGTTACAGTAACTATAAATATAAATCACCTAGAGATATCTATATAAAAGTTCCCATTTTGTTCTTGTTTATGCTCACTTGTTTATACCACCCACTTTTAATGGTGAAATGCCCAATGTGAAAGGAGGCACACCACCTTGTAAACTTAAAGCACTAGATGCCCCGGCCTTTGGCTCTTCTTTAAGCCTGTTTCTTGTAAGCACCTGGCAACCACCAGGCATGACGCGGCCGTTTGGTGAAATCCTGGATCAGGTGGCAAAATCACATTTAATGTGTTTAATGGTTACCTAATAGTTACCCTGGGTCCGAGACTCATTTAAGCCGACTTTTTTACTCATTATAAGCCGACATTTTGTATGTTGACTTCAGAGTTAACTCCATGGGGTACAGACCTTTAGGTTAACACTTGGGGACACTTGGGGTGGGAGTAGGGGACACTTGGGGACACTTGGGGTGGGCTTAGGGAACCAACTCCAAGGGATACAGCCCTTTAGGTTAACACTTGGGGACACTTGGGGACACTTGGGGTGGGTTTAGGGGACACTTGGGGACACTTGGGGACACTTGGGCTGGGCTTAGGGAACCAACTCCAAGGGATACAACCCTTTAGGTTAACACTTGGGGACACTTGGGGTGGGTTTAGGGGACACTTGGGGACACTTGGGGACACTTGGGGTGGGTTTAGGGGACACTTGGGGACACTTGGGGTAGGCCTAGGGAACCAACTCCAAGGGATACAGCCCTTTAGCTTAACACTTGCGGACGCTTAGGGGGCACTTGGGGACACTTGGGGTGGGTTTAGGGGACACTTGGGGACACTCGGGGTGGGCTTAGGGGACACTTGTTCAAACTACCAACACGTGCTGTCATTGCTGCGACGGCGTCGTCCATATTCAGGTCATTGCGCACGCTGTTCCTGCCAGCCAGCATACGGGTCTCATACTTACAGCCACGACCTTCCTGATACATGTGTCACCTCGTCTTACAGTAACTTGCCAGATGTTCCTGATGCGTTGTAGCATCTTCTTCGAGTGACTTGCAGCACGTTCCTGCTACATTGTGACATCTTCTGCGCGGCCCTTCCCACATGTTCCATGCATGACGTTGTCACATCTTCTTCAAGTCCCTTGAATGATGTTCTTGCTATGTTGCAACATCTTCGTCAAGTAGCTTGCAATACATTCCTGATACGTTGCAACATCTTTCTACTTGTAAGTAAATTGCACGACCTTCCTGATACATGTGTCACCTCGTCTTACAGTAACTTGCCAGACGGTACTGATACGTTGAAGCAACTTCTTCAAGTGAGTTCAAACATGTTCCTGATACATTGCGACATATTCCTGATACGTTGAAACATCTTCTGAAAAGTGACATGCAATTCATATGATCGAATCAAAGTGTCCTGCTCATCATCTCTGTCACACCTGTTGCAGTCATATTCAAAGACTTCTATGTCACTTTCTATTGGTGCTGCCATCATATTTCACAGACGTAGGCGTAAGCGAGTAAAAACGTAGGCTTAAGCGAGGTACTGACCGTTACCCTGCCGGTTGCAGATTTTTGTCCACTATGGCTGAGTCTGATGGGGATACTGCTGATACCCAGAAAAGTATCGAACAGTTGCTACTGAAATGTTGACTGAAATTGGAAAATTGATGATCAACCAGCGGACGGTTGATGGGGTACCATGTCTTCAGACAAATCCATGAAATTCCCCCAACAAGTGTGACTCGTTTACTTACAATAGCTTGCAGCAACCCTCTATACACTCAAGAGAGGGCAAACACAAATACCAACAGGGAAGTTCACTGATAGAACATGGGAATCGAACAAACACAAAATTGGAGATGGCGAAACTGAGATTTAGTCACTTAGTCAAATCCGACAAGCACAGGGTGCCAGCTGTTATAATGTATAATCAAAATTGGGAAACCAACATATCTTAACCATTCTTAGGCCAATATTGGTAAATGCAGCTATAGTTAATACAGGTTGATACCATCATTTTTGTTTGTGTGATATTTTTTGATTGTGTATGAGAAAATGGTGATATGACCAGCAATTCCAAAAGGATTTGATGGGAATCTCATGTTATATTATGTTATATTGTATTTGGGTGTGTCTAAATATGCGGGAAAACCAAACAATTCCCCTTGCAAAGAGAAAATATATAATCTGGTTGGTGGTTTTAACCATCTTGAACAATATTAGTCAATGGGAAGGATTATCCCATATATGAAATGGAAAATAAGAGTCATGTTTGAAACCACCAACCAGTAATCATAGACCAACAGAGTTAGGGTCACGATATGTTCAAACAAACCCAAACCCGGATGGCCACTTGTTACAACCCGGCACTGGAATATCTCCGATGGCCATGGTCAGGATCCTCCACAGAAACACCCATCAAACACGGCGCCGTTTTCACGCAACTACCAATGCCAATCGACAAACTCAACGGCAGCCATTTCTGCCTGATTCTAGGACAGCAGCTAACTTGATCAGGTGAAACAATTTCTGGCTATTGTTTTTGCTATCCAAGAATAGGACTTGCAGATACAGAAGTTGAAGAATCTTAGTAAATTATAATAAATCAATGGATTCCCTGAATTCACTCGTCATTCCAGGCTACGGTCACGACGTGAGATCGTTTTGAGGTGACCGATTGAGGTGGTCACCTTTAACGCCAGACGAGTTCCACCCGGTTACCGCTGTCAACCGTGAGACAGATTTCTCTCAGTTGCGGATTTTTCGAAAAGCTGTACCAACCTCTAGCCGAAGAAAAGGACCGTCAACGAGAATTTGGGGATTTGGAGAAGCCAACATCACCTCTACTACGGTGGATGGAAGAAATCCTGCACCAGTTGATAGGTGGTTTATCCGATGATTTATTGGGGTTTGGTTCAACCATCCCAAATTGGTGGTGCAGGATTTCGTAGGATTTCGCAACCATAATAACCATCCACAGATCCACAGTAGGTGTCCCATATTTTAAATAGTGTTTTTTTTTTAATAGCCCCCCTGGAGATGGCACGAATTCTCACTGGGAAGTCATGAGTTTTTTTCGGCGTCCAACCGCCTGGATCTTTGCAGTCGACTTACACATCTGGACCAATGACCTACCAAACACATGGGATATGTGGTTAATATACTCTTAATAATGGTTAATATATTATGGTTATTATATGGTTAATGGTGGTTAATACTCTGTAACTGGTTGGTGGTTGACCTACCCCTCTGAAAAATGATGGAGTGAGTCAGTTGGGAGGATGACATTCCCAATATATGGGAAAAAAAATCCAAACCACCAACCAGGCAAAAAAAGGCAATTCGGAAAGCCAACACTTCGCAGCCAGGTCACTAATTTGAAAAACGTGCATTTTGTGAAAATTGCCGAAAAAAAGGCTGAACAAATCCTATGATGACAATCTAAGAATGCACAGAAAAAAGTGATGATAGGGTGTTCACCTGCCCTTGCAGTAAAAATCGTCCTTTTAGGGTCCTTAATAGTCCTTTAATATGTAACCTGCCGTGCCCTGCGGGTTTTTCAAATATGGCTAGTTCGGAAATCAAAACAACTCAATGGGAATTTCAGGATCCTAAAATGGAGGTACTGTACCATATAAGGCCATATTTTCTGGGGATATTCGCTTACATAGGCCTCTTTTTTTCAACCTTATGTATAGTGGGTACCTCCAATAAATCGGTTCCTGTTGCATGGCCATTGAAGGCTGCCAGGGTGACCTGGGTGGTGTGTTGATGTGCTCAGAGTTGACAACTCTCTTAGTTGATGGCTGCTGTGCTATGTGTTTTTCATCTATATAATCCTAAAACATGTTACTGTAAATGTCTAGATCCCATTTCAGAAATGTTATGTGAGCCAATTACATTCTATATCCGTTACATTTATGTATGCCGCCCATGAAATATCCCAATATGTTGTTGGTCCACCCACAACGACATAGCCAATCTTTCACCAGTTACAAGGGCTGAGGTATCTGAATTATCATACAAGCTGGTACCCCTTAGATAGCTAAGTTGGTTTATAACATCAATAACCATGGTTTATGAGTTTATGGTAGATATGTCTGTAGATAATGGGCTTAACAAAACCAACCTGTAATTGTGGTGCACTACCGTGAAATTCACCTCGGCCACTTTGGAAGAAAACATAGAAACATAGGTGACTTCTCGCGTTGACGTCATGATAATTCAGCCAGATCCACACAAAGTGGTGCCCCATAGTTAGCTAAGTTGGTTTCTAACTCTCACAACTATGGTTTATGGCAGATATAACTATAGTTAATGGGCTTTATAAACCAACTTATAACTGGGGGGCACCATCCTGCAATCCCGTGCCTCAAATTCCGCAGCTTGTTTCACTTGAAGATATCAAGGTCATCGAAGGGATCTTTCCCCCGTGCCGGGGAAGGCCTGCGAGGAAGGTCGTTGGAGAAGTCAACAAGCTTTATATCGCCCAATAAGCCAAGGAAAATTATCTAAATATATGGATAGAAATTGGGATGTCCCTGTATCAAGTGCTAGAAGTTGGTTTAGAAAGCAATCTATAGATAGATCTACCAAAGACCATGTTGTAAGTCCACTTCACAAGACACCATCCCCAACGACCCCCCATTTTCGTGACGAACACGCTGGTTCTCCGGATGGAAAAATTCTCCACTGGGATGACTCGAATTCTTCACTGGGATGATAGGAAGTATTTGGATAGCAGCGATAGCAATTTATAGCATATTTTTAGCAGAAAGCCGATCAAAATCTGGTTGGGCACAAACTTCCCCCACTGCATTTCTCTTGGGCCTACATGGACCGTATGCCGCGGCTTCTATGCACATTCAGAAAACTAGAAGCGTCAGGTGAGTATCTCAGGGCTGCCGTGCACTGACGCACCAAGTTGACCACAGCATCCGACACGGTGTTTCCAGTTGTTGTTTTCCACATAAATTACCATCTGGTAATTTAACGTAGCTATTGAAAATCAACCATTTATAGTGAGTTTTCCCATGAAAAATTGTGATTTTCCATAGTTATGTTAGTTTACCAGAGGGTAATGTTAAACTGTTAGTAAAGCAATAATAAACCACCCATATTTTGATGGTTCATAGCAACCATTTATGGTAAATTTGGGGATGGTCTACTATTGCTTTACTAACATTGTATCCTATCATCCAATCTCCACTACTTCTGGAGCCTCTCCGTTTTATCTTGCAGACTATGCACCCCATATCCCTATGAATCCAAACACTTGCTGAGAATGTAAGGCCAACCCCCTAAATCATACCCCGGTCAGACTTTCTGAGAAGGTGCGGCTAGATCCAAAAGGTATGATTGTTTGTAACAATTTGTAACATAAACTTATCATGAATTACAATCCACTACATCCCAAAAAAATAGTTTGGGGAAATTCCCATGATATTCCCGTATTTGGGGTTAATATCCCCATTATTGCCAGATATATGCACCATAAATCCCAGGGAATCACACTAGATTCCCATTGTATTTCAGTTTATCATCATATCTCATTAGATTCCCCTTAGATTCCCCTTAGATTCCCCTTAGATTCCCATTCTATCATCATGTTTTCCCCGGGAAAATCCCTATTTTCTAGATATATGTTGGAAAACTGATGGAAAACTATGGGCAAACAACCTTGGAACAACTATGGAGAAATATCTATGGAAAACCATGGAAAACTGATGGAATCATGTTCCTATCAGAATGTTTCTCATCAGTTTTTCACCAGTTTTCCAAGGAAAATCCTTCCGCACCTCACAGGCGAGAAGCTGGACGCCTCTGCAGAGTTTGACGAGACAAAAAACGGAGAGATTTCGTCAGCGCTCCATGGTGCTGGAATAAACATATCAACATTTAGACTACCCTCTGGTAGTTTAACATAGCTATTGAAAATTGCCCATTTAGTTCGAAGAAATTTACCGAACGTAAAAATGGTGAACATCTCAATAGCCAAATCTATCTCAGCTTTTGCCAGCACCATGGAGCACCTATGAATGAATTCAGGAGATTTGACCATCACAAAAGCCGTGGATTGGGTGTAACCTAACTGTCTTCTGATCGTATGAGCAGTGTGAAAAAAAATCCTCTGTCATTCCATTGAATCCTGGTTCAGAACGGGATTCCCCGTTCTTGGATTATTGCAATCCCCACTATAAAAAGGGTAGTATAATATAGTATAATCCAGGGGAGACGAGCTGCACTCCTTGTGAAGTTGGAACGATGGCAGCTGAGAAAGGATTGATGGAGTGTGTACCGTGCCGATTGGGCCAGTATGCTAATGCCACTGGTATCCCCTAAAACTATAGTCATGAACCAACAGGGGTTTTGCAGCCACTGCTCATATGGTTTCGTATGGTTAGCACAAAGAACTCACCGCCCGAGAGGTGTTGGATGAAAAAACGTCCTTTTGGTTAGCACAAGATTCACCCTTTTGGGACGAAGTTGTATAGCTAAGCACCTGTATTTATATAAATAGATAGACAGACAGATAGATGAAATGAGATATAATGAGATGAGATGAGATGGGATTAGACTAAATTAGATAGCTAGCTAGCTAGCTAGCTAGATAGATCGATCGATAGATAGAAACATAGATACGGACAATAAATATATACATAAATATATACAACAAAGTATGAATAAAGACATATATATATATATGATATAGACATATAGATATGTCCTCAATATTGTTTGTTTATATCCCTACTACTGTTAGTCATCCCAGTGTTTCTAAAAAAACCACTGGGTTTCTAATCACCATGCCCATCGATGTTGGTCAACATCGCATTTTAGCCTAGCTATCCTTGAGTTTTATTGAGCCATAAACAAATACCCCTATCCCATCTCATTATATGGCAGTGTGTCAAAACCTTGTACCCCTGTAGTTCACATCAAAATAGCTGGTAAATGGATGTTCATCCCCCAAAAATGGTATTAATAGGTATTGATCCATAGCCATATATACTACTTGGTTGATAGGTTTCCATACTATGGTTTATCATAATCCCCAGTAATCCAGGTAGTAATCCCCTATAGCAATCAATTAACCAGGGTATTTTTAATGGCTCATTGTTCTTATTGTTATACCTCTGCTATTTCTGATTGGAGCATTTCCCATTGATCTGTGCCCAGGATAAATGGACACACAACTAAACAACCTACTGACATATCGTTGTAAATTTGTACAATAAAACACACACCATATTCCGCATTTGTTTGGTGGTTACTATATAAACCAATATTTGGAAACCTAGCATCATTTACAGATCAATTACTTACGGTCTGTTGGTTCTGTATCCGTTGTTGGTTTGTAGGCTCCCCATCTTTGCTTGTCAAAACCCACATTGAAAACAATTTGTAAATAGCTTTTCTATGTCATAACGCGTTTCTGGGGAGTTACTATCTGGTTGGTGGTTTCAACCCCTCTGAAAAATATTAGTCAGTTGGAGTTATTATTCCCAATATATGGACAAACAAATGTTCCAAAACATCAAGCAGTTATAATCCTTTCCCCCATCCAAGAAAAAAACACCCCCAGAAACCATGAGCTAAATCCACAGCTTTGAGACCATAGAATCAGGCTGTTAATCTGAATGGGGGATGGGCTATACATATAGTTAATGGATATGTCCCCTATAAATCATAGTCTCAGGTCTATGCCTCCATCCAACCCTAGATATAACCCTATATTTCTATTCCTTGAAACACATCTGGCAATTTAACATAGCTATTGAAAATGTTTTGTTTAATAGGTAAATCATCTAAATGAGCCATGTTTCATAGCTATATATATATATTATAAATTACCAGTGAATACTTAAAACTACAGGTATTATAACTCAGTTCTTGGCATGGCCCTTGCCAGCTTTAAGTCAGTTATAACATGCTATAACCCAATGTATGTTATGGAATGGCAACCCCATTCATAACCATTTACAACTGGTAAAGGGCCACAACTGCCGCATCCTTGGCTGCCACACCGGCGCAGGCGTCGCAGCTGGCTTGGGAGCTGAAGAGAAACCTGGCGAAAAAGGCGAAAAACACCTTGGATTTGGCCAAGAACTTGGGGCCGTTGTTGATTTTTAACATGGGGTAGTATAACCGGACCCATTTTGTGATATGTAGAATAGACATTGTGCCAATATGTATATATATATAATATTATGTTATATGTCTTTCATTAAATCAATCAATACGGTGAAGGCTGGAGGTTCCCCAGAGGTTCATCTGTTGGCTTTAAAGGAAAACATATCAACATCCTTATTTTTTATATTCAAAAACAACATGTTTTACAGTGATTTCTGGACGTTCCAGAAGTGTTCATGAACGTAACATGAACTTCTTCTTTGCGAACATCCTGGATGTTCGCGGTGAACTATGCTAGTCCCGCTCGTGTCCAAACATAATCAGTTCTAACTTGTTGGTAACCGCAAAATGGCAAAGGAGCAACGACTGCTGGCCTGAGTGCCAGAACGTAGCGTCAAGATGGCTTCTTGCTGGCAGGTCGTTTCAAGTATCTCTTTTGAACTTGAGGATCATCATGTTTTTCCGCCCATCTTTTTCCGGACAGTTGCCCTTTGCGCCGTTGGCAAATTGCTTGTGAGATGTGTCAGTGTGATGGCATTTCGACAGCACATTATTCATGCTGCCTTCATCACATCCATGCAGTGATGGTTTCCTCTAACATTACTTGACTGTGTCTGAACATGGAGTATATAATTATATTTATATGTACATTGTCAATGTATAGAAATATATGTGTATTATATTTTCTATGTATAGTATGTTTAGTACTAGTAAATATTATACACTGATTTCCTCTAATTGTACTTGGCTATCCACAAGATATGTCAATTTGAATGAAACATTGGTGATATCACCAGCAGCAACAGGAAAATGCTTGGCATTTAGAATGGATATGTCATAAGCCAACATGCCATGTATGTTTTGTTTGTCATTTATGTCATTGAAAATCGGGTGGACCGTATGCCCGAAATTTCTGACAATTCTCAGGGACAAATGATGAAAAACCACTGGACCTGGATTTTGGGGCACCAACATCCAGGAAAAGCCAAAAATAGGCGTTTTGAATAGCCCATTGGGTGCTGGTTCAAGCACCCGCAGCCTTAAAAACCGAAGGCAGGTTTCACCTGAGGTTTTTGGGTGTGTTTTTTTTCTATAGGTAAGTGGAAGATGAGGGCGGCATGGAGGTATTGATTCATTGGGGAATATAGAGGCACCAAAATTAATATACCAGCTGGTTATTGGATATAGCCATGGAAAATCACCATTTTATAGCTAGGTAAACCATCTATAAATGGGCCATCTATACCATGGCTATGTTAAATAACCAGAGGGTACAAAAAAAAGAAAACATGGAACAACCTCGTTCAGAAAGCCTTCCAATGTCATGGCAATGACCTGACAGGCTTCGGAAAACCCCTCAAACTCTGATAAGGGATGGTCCTGCATCCAAGCCACTGTCAAACATGTCAGGAAAATGTTACCCCACATAAAAAAAAAAACGTTGTATTGGGATGTATTGGGGTTTAGTCATGTAAAAAACCCAGATGTCATCAACCAAAACTTCCCGGTTCATGGCCATTATTGGGAGGTCTCCTAAGTCATGGGGAGTAGCCCAAGTTGCCAAGGCATGGATGACCATGACTTAGCATTGAAAAATATCTGGTTGGTGGTTGACCTAACCCTCTGAAAAATATGAGTTCGTCAGTTGGGATCATGACATTCCCAACTGAATGGAAAGTCATAAAAGCCATGTTGTTGGTGGTGGTGGTTTCAACCCCTCTGAAAAATATAAAAGTCAGTTGGGATTATGACATTCCCAGTATATGGAAAGGCATAAAATTCATGTTCCAAAGCACCATCCAGATATTGAAACCGGTGGAAAATCGGGATCCCCTTGGCCATGACACGGGACCTCCAAAGGCATATGCGGCATCGCCCGGCCAGGGTGCCGCAGGCGCAGCCTACAGTTGTAGAAGCTTGGCACTAAGCCAAGTACATTTAACTATGGCTAGTTAGGGTTTATGGTACTAAATTCGAAGTACTAAACATGTGATAAAGCCCTAACACCAGTTATTTTCATGGTTATGTTTATGGCAATTTTTATGAGGGTAAAACTGACCATGGAACAAAAAATGAGATGACTTAGTGGTATCCACAACTGGTCTTTCGGGCAAAAACTGTAGATACCTAAGTTGGTGAACATAACTAGGTTAACTATGGTTAGTTGGAGTTTATGGTAGTTATAAACATGTGAGAACAATACTTTAATGGATCTTAATGGTTTATAAAGCAACCAAAAAATTGGGGGCTAGATGTATCGCTACATAATGGGGTCTATCAACCGAGTCCGATATGGTAACTGGGGTGCACGCCAGGCTGGCCAGACCTCCTCTATTTTTGGACCACAATGTGGGCCTCCAAGTTATGTTTGTTGGTTGATGTTTACCCATGAAGCATAGTTGTATATGACATGCTTTAACTACAGTACCAGAAACCCTAGTTAACCTTTGTATAAACTAACTTAAGTAAGGAACTGGGGCCCACCTTCTACATGGTCATGGCTGAAAAAAAGGGGTTTGACACCGAACAAAGAGGTTAGTTTGACTAAACATCGGAGGTCTTACAATTTTACCTGCAACATATGTTTATGTATATCTATCCATCTCTCTGTCTCTATATACATACATATATATATATATATACATATATATACATAATATATATATATATATATGGCCGTATTTCTGATGGGGAAAATGGTGATCAATCAGTGGATGGAACAGGGTACCCTAAGCCAAAATGGTTGCAGACTAAAAAATATTCAAGATCTAGATTGGTGTATAGGCCTGTCCTCAACTTTAAAACTAGTGCTTTGGTTCCTGTCATCGCTGTAAGAAAATCATATCGGATATCATTCCACAAATGAACCTCTGTTTGGAGTCTGTCTTGGATATCAGGGAGGCAATTTTATACTGTATTTGGATCTGCTCGTCGCCCGGAAGAGCAAGACCTATTCCTAAGTCTCCCAGGTAGATTCCATGGTGGATTTCTTAGGCAAAAAAGCATATCGTATCGTACCATATAATATCATATCATGTTTGCTTGGCATCCTTGGGGATTGTTAGACAGCGCAACATGTCGAAGGTCTCAGCATCGGCCAGTTCTGGGGACCAGATACCCTCTGGTAAACATACAAAAAGCTATTGAAAATTGCCATTTATAGTGAGTTTTCCCATTAAAAGTGGTGATTTTCCATAGTTATGTAAAGGGTTTACCAGAGGGTAATCTCCTGAACGTTCTGCTTCGACAAATGTCACATGGCCGACAGTTGGCTTCGCCCCACGGCTGCAGCATCCCTGTCTCAGTCGTTCCAAGCATGATGTCAAGAACGGTCAACCGGTGATCATCCTGAAGGTACACAACTGCTTCCACCATGTTTTTTTTGTTTGAATAATTTTGAGTGGCTGCATGTGGCTGTTGAAAAGATTTGAGAGGTGATGAAGCATGACATAGAATAGTGATGAAGCACGGCACCAACCGATGCAAAATCATCAGGTGAATATGTAATATATCACCTGCCCCTGCCTTGTGGTCCTCTGCCTTTATTATCAGCATCTTCAGCATCAACATTAGCATCAACATCAGCAACATAATGATGATAATAATGCTGATAACAATGATAATCACAATGATAATAATAATGAACATAATATATAGTAATAAAAATAATAAACAATAATAATTTAATAACAATATATAATTATAATAATAATAATACATGATACTAATAATAAATAATAATAAATAAATATAATAAATAATAGTAATATGTTTTTTTTTTAAAAAAAAAAATAACAATAATGATAATAACAATAATAATAATAACACTAATAAATAATATTAATAATAATAATAACACTAATAAATAATAATAATAATCATCATCATCTTCTTCTTCATCTTCTTCATCATCATCATCATCTCAAACAAACCCAACCTCATCATTCCCGCATCCGACTGAAGGCCATGAAATTGGCTGTTTCAGCAACAGTTACTCACAATCTCGGCCCCCCGAGCTATGCTTGTTGGTTTAAAAAGAACCCTGAACTGCATTTACAACAGGCTATAACTAGCATAAACTCTAGCAAAACATCCATAACCATCCAAAAACATCTAGAAACTATAGACCCTAGTTATCTAATGTTATCTACTTAATCTAAATATGTATAAACTACCGCCAGCTTTGCTAAACATGAGGCCCAAGCGGCACCCCAGGCTGCGCCTGCGCCGGCGCACCTTGACCTTGCGCGCTGCCTGCCAAAGGACCTGCCACAGGATAAGCCCAGTTAGAGGACTTACTGACCATGGTTTGAAAAAAAAAAAACTTATGGAACAAGCATGATAAGCCATTTATAAATGGAATATGTTCTGTATATTTCCAATTTTTCCAAAATAAAGCCTGTAGATGGATGTACTATATAGAAATTTAGTGAATTTAATTAGTGAATGTTATTTTTCCCACTTACGATTCGTGGATCCTACGATTCGTACTTGGTGCTTCACCCGGATTTCAGTACCACAGGATTTTCGGATTTTGGGGCTCCAAAAAAGAGCCCAAAAAAGATTCCGCCCCAGCTATGGCCCAAAAAACAGTTTTTATAAATGGAAATGGAACGAACTAAGTCCTGTAACTAGTTGGTTATGTATCATGAAATAATCCCAGGGAAATAGCTGTCAAAAAATGGCTTTTTGACTGTACTCTGTAAAGTTCTTCCCCAGTTCTTGTGGATTTCCAAGGATAGGACAGGAACAAGTTTATCATGGACTCGGCAAATTTGAGATTATAGTGGTCAATAATTGTTTTTTAATATAACAAAGTACAAAAAGAACCCAACAAAAAGATAGACCAGAAATGACTATGACTATTTTAGAAGGAATTTACTCTATGCTGAATTGACGTAAGTGTAAAAAAATACAGTGAATTAGTATACCTGAATTGTAACCAAAGGGCGGTAGGCAATGTCCAAATACAATGAGGGTCACAACCGACTTACCCTCTGGTAAACTAACATGGCTATGGAAAATCACCATTTTGTAGTTCGGTAAATCAACGAACTAAGTGGCCATGGCTTCAATAGCGAACCGTCAAATTGCCAGAGGGTAATTGTACTTATATTACTTTACATGTGCCAAGTGGTGTGAAGTCAACCAAGTACCCTCCAGGAATCAAACAGTCACCACGTTCTCCCCTGGAAAAATGTGAAAATCCCTGGGGAACATTAAAAAAATGCAAAGAAAACGACCAGAAATCCTTTGGTCCCAAGCAGTTTTATGAGTTTTATCCCCAGAGTCGTTGGTAAAGTCACGGTTCATGGCTGAACCATGTTAAACCAATAAAATAGATCAAATTAAATTTCAACCACTCCAGTGGAAACATTGCCATGTTCATCATTTTCCACTGATGGAGCCTGCGAAGGGATCGCTGGCTAAAGCGCTAACCTGCCCAGTTTGCGGGTGCAGAACTGGCAGCCAAAACATCACGCTTTATGAGCAACTCAAACCATAGCTAAGACCCTTTACCAGTCATAAATGGTTCTAAATGAGGTTAGAACCGACCATAAATGGGGTGACTTACTGGCTTGTAACTGGTAAAGGGTCATAAGTGTAGCACTTATGGATTTTATGCTTACCCTATCAATCTACTGATGCATACTGAGATTCAAGCAGGGTGATTTTGATGGCATGGTAAACGATACAGGCATGGACGATCTGCACTATGCCACTATGCCCCAGATGGTTTCATATGGCAACCTTGTCCAGGATGTTTTATACTTAAATATGAATGGGTTTGATGGTTTTGGGGCGGATTTTGTTGCTGGCCAAAATAGAGGGAATGTATTCAATGTATTCAAAACGACACCAATAGTGCATGACGTCTGACCTAACATAAGCTGTGGCCCTTGACCAGTCATAAGTCAGCTATAATCCCACTAAAACCATTAAAAGCAATGGTATGGGCTTGAACTGTAGGTGAAGTTCAACAGCTACCATTCAAACAATGTGGGGCCTTTTAGGCCCCAGGTTCTCAGCTTTGTTGCTTTATAACCCAATGGAATCCTATGGATATATCTACCACACAAGACAATAAAACATAGCTATATGTTCTAAATTAACTCAGCCAAGATAAATCACCTACAACAGGGTTGCTCCAATCACCCCAGGTACGTTCCGGGGGTAGATTTTAAAGAGCTAGTAGAACGACCAATTTACCCCGAACCTGGATAATTTCATTCATTTACCTACAATGAGTTGGAGCAGCCCTATCTCTTGTTTTTGTTCGTATTGCTGTTGTTGTATGGAAAACCAACATGGAAAATGGGGAATAACCTTTACTGTATCATGATAGGCAAGGTATGGCAAGGTGTATAGATCTCATGTTTTCGTTTGTTATTCTGCATTTTCCATGGCGGCCCCTTCCATCACCCGAAAAATAGACTCCGGCCTGCGGCGAACTGGAAGGTCCTGGAGCTTCTTTTTTGGGGGGCAACGTCCCAATAAAAAGGCGGGGCCCAAAAGTATGACTAAGTTGGTTTATAACTCCAATAACCATAGGATTTATGGCAACTATACCTATAGTTGACGGGGTTACAAACCTACTTATAATATTATATTATATGGCAAGTTGGTTTATAACTTTGTTCACTAGGGTCTTCTAAAATCTGCATGTTCTATCAGAATGCACTAGTCCAACCCCATGAACAGTATGATAAATTTGCTGTAGACCATAGGTACTGTATCATAGTTGTTGGAGTACAGTACTACCTTCGGCTAGCTGGAAAATATCCAATCTAATTGTAGGTAAAAAAAAAAAAAAATCTTGGAAACTCATCTAGTCATTTTCGGATTTTCTAGCAAGCCATGCCTGATTACCAAAGGGTCAGTTGGCTCATGTTCCCCTTGAATAGTATATATATACAATATATTATATATATATATATATTTGCTATAGCGATTGGATGTTATTGGAGTGGCACCAACTTAGCTAGAGAACCTCACCTTGGTTTACAGGCTTGATATTTTTTGGAACTCGTTGGATGCCTTGATAAGATTTTAAAAAGTTCATTAAAAAAAAAAAAACTTACCCTCTGGTGAACTAACATAGCAATGGAAAATGGCTATTTATAGTGGATTTTCCCATTAAGAATGGTGATTTTCCATTGCTATGTTAGTTCACCAGAGGGTATATAGTACTAATGGGAGCAGCGACATTGTATGGTTGCATGATTCTCTCAGAGTCAACCTATCCCATTCAATTTCGTGGGGGCCACGATATTTTTGGCCCCATCCCGACTGTACTCCGAAACTGATATGTAGATGTGTACAAGGTGGTGCCCCCCCCAGTGATGTTTGTTGGTTTATAAACCCCATTAACTATAGATGTTATATCTACCATAAACCATAGGTTGAAGTTATTGGCACCAACTTAGCTAACTATGGGGCACCACGTTGTATGTATGTATGTAAATAATATCATACATCTTGGAATGCCTGCATTCCCAGTGCGTGGATCAAACATGAAGAATTCACTATTCCCATGCCATAACCAACCACTTCTTGTAGCTACAATACGTTTTCATATGTGTTTAATTATTGCTGCTGCTTCAATATATGATGCAATGTAAGTCCTGACGTGAATGCGTGAATGCATCAAGAATCGCTTGAAGAATCACTTGTCACTTCCAGGCTGCCCAACCGCCTCCAAACAAGTCCATGGCCGGAGCAGGCGACATCGCCTGTCAAGCTATGTCTGAGATCTTCCCTTAGATGAAAGCAACCAAGGCAATGCTAACACTTCTGAAAACGTCAGCGAATGATGACAAATGATGTACCATGTCACTGATGGTAGGCCCGTTCCAGTCAGGATTTCGACAAATGATGTACCGTTTCACTGATGACAGGTCCATTCCAGTCAGTATTTCATGTCCCTACCTTGGTGTTGTAAGTGAACCCAAAGGCTATTGGCATGACTCTCCCCATTGACCATCATTTATGGTGGCCGAGGGGCGAGTGAGGTCCCTGCCTTCCAACCCTTTTTTTAAACATGGAACCCGCAGATGGAATGTCTTTCCAATAGGAAAATCATCTTCATAGCTGTTGGCTTCGGCATGGTTTGCACATGAAAAACACAGACAAAAAAAAAAGAGTCGTACCCGAATATGGGAGAGAGTCAACTCTGGTACCATGTACTTCTCATCCCTAACACCTTGCTCGAATTGTCCAAGTATTTGTTTTCTGGGCGCTTTTTTTGGGGTTTGTTCCATACCATTAACCGGGGTCCCAGAAGGTTAGGTTTGTTGGTTTATCAACTCCAAATCCCCTCGATCCTCGCCTGTGCGACTGGGCCTAGCAAAAGTGTGGCAGCAGGTGCTTTCCCACGATTTTTGATTTCTTTTTGGGTCGCTATATGTTTTAATGGGAATATGTATATATATAATATAATATATATATAATATATAATATATATAATATAATATATATAATATATATAATATATAATATATATAATATAGATAGATAGATAGATAGATAGATAGATAGATAGATAGATAGATAGATAGATAGATAGATAGATAGATAGATAGATAGATAGATAGATAGATAGATAGATAGATAGATAGATAGATAGATAGATATATAGATAGATAGATAGATAGATAGATAGATAAATAGATAGATAGATAGATAGATAGATAGAGAGAGAGAGAATACTCAACATGGCAATTTCATATGAAATTGGAGATCAAAGGGACCATGTTTTCACCAACTTCATCTGTTGTCATTTTAACACTGAGGAGTTGATCATGTTGATCCACCCGTGTGGTCTTTGGGCCAGTTGGATACTGTTGGTGACTCATGTTCCATCATTTGATGGCCAAAACATGGCAGAACAGCGACCAATCTTTACGCACCAAGTTTGCGCCCCCCCCTGTCATACAGCTGTAGATTAATCCACCGTGAAGTGTCATTGGCATTGGAGTTATGCTTACCAAGACAGTGCCAATCTAACCCAGATGCTCTATGTATGGTATATTTACCTACATTTGGGTGATTATTAGGGCAAATGTTGGTAAATATTCCATACATGGAGCATATGGGTAAGATACCCTGCCAAAAAAAAACAACTCTTAGCTGGTCAAATAGTAGATAATCCCATTGATACCAAAAGACTAAAGGATTAAACTACCCATCTAAGATTGACCTCGAAGACAAACTTATGGAAAAAAAGTCAGATGATCATCTCACTTCTATAAACATCACAGTTGCTGGCACCTCCAAAGATATCCACCCCTGGAGTTGCGGCCTGACCAAAGGGCCACATCTTCACATTTGGACCACCAGAACATGATGAACCATAAGAATCGATCGGATCTTGGCGTTCCACATCTTAATGCCCAGGGGCATTTCTTGAGGGCATCTCTTCATTTTGACACGGATCCAGGTTCTTTTGGATATCCACCAAGCACATATTGCAAGTTATCAGGGGTGAAGCACATCAGGGGTGAAACATCAAGTTCTAGTGAAGTGGTCATGTGTTCGCGAGAAGCTTTTAGACATATGGGGAAACAACATATGAATATGAATCAAGCACACATTGTACAAATTGCATTTTGGTACCAATAAGTTCAGAACAAATCTCCGCTGACGGATTTACCACTGAGGGTCACTGAAAATTCTCCTATAGGCTATAGGGTAACCGGGTAACAGATATGGATGTGGCAAAATCCACCATTTGTAGATATTTTCCTACGGAAATCATGTCTTTCTGTACCTTTATTATTTGTGGTGCCCGCCCCGTTGCTTCCCACAGCTCAGCGGCAGCCTGTGATCTCGATGGACCTGTAGCAGGGAGTTCAAGGGTGAAGTCGGCAGGGATTTCCTGTTGAAAACTTTGGCATATCATCCCATCTAAGTTAACGAATGGGTTTATAGTTTATGGATGTTTACGAATCTTCAGGGATGAGATCCCAATCAGTAAGTAGATAGCTTGGATTTGCTGAAAACTCTCCAAACAAACAAATCATGTTCCCATATGTTCCCTGTAGATTCCCCTTAAATGGTGGATTTCCGATTAGGAAAATCTACAGAAACACCATAAGCGAACCTAGGTAATTGAGTAATCGCATCCGCACCCAGAAACTATGGTGGAGTCGGGGATTCGATCACATCTGACGAACGGGAGCATACAATAGGGTGTCTAATACGAACGGGAGATTTGATATATTTTTGTTAAAAAAAAACAAACATAAAACAACCAAACAGACATACGTGCACCACCTTTGACTTTGAATTCAGTTTCCGAACATATTTAACATCGACATTTATTCCAATGGTTGGTTTGGACACAAAAATGGAGATTCAGCAAACCAAATGAAACTTTGAGATATTCTTGTTCCATCTTGTTCCTCCAATTGGTGTGGATTTGAGCAACACAAATGTTATACACATTGACTTGAAACAACTACTCCACCATACATGTTTGAGGGGTTCGATCACTATCACCCGATGATTTTCAAGGTGCTGCACCACAGTTCATACGGGTTCCGTGCCGATTCCTTGGTAATTCCGGGAAAAAATCCTTCGACCAACTTCCACATTGAGTGCGTTTGAACCAAACGTTCCTGATCGTTCCAGACACACACATATATATATATAGATATATACAGTATATATATTTATAGATATAGATACAAAGTGGGGCGCCTTCCCAACATGGATTGACTCACTGAAACTGTCCAACTGTTCTGACGGTTTTTGTACCAAGTTTTCAGCCCAAAAGAGGGATCAAACAAGATGTCTCCAGATTCCAGTAATCCTATCCCCAGATCATTACGTATCAAATATATATATATATAATTCATATACATCATATATGTATATATATATATATTATATACACTGTATATATATATATACACATACTGTGTATATATATATATATACACTATATATATATATATATGATGTTCAATGTACCTAGACTCTCCAAGTAACCAGCAGTAACCCGCAGCTGTGACCCGGTACCTCCAAAGATCTCCGGAGCCGCAGCCTCGGGAATAAGTTGGACATTGCCGCGACAGTTGGGTAGGTATCCCATGGTATCTCTGGTAAAAAAAGTCGGGTTAATCATGGGTTAATCCACTTACAACTGGGAAAATATATGAAAATATATGGGAAAAGAACCTAGTGAATGTTCTATCTCATCTGAAGTAGTCACAGTTGCTTGCAGGAAGTCTGCCGATCTATAGGACACCTCTCCCTGGCTCTTTCAGCTGATCCAAAGGGTTGATAAACGGACCGCGAAAAAAAGAAGAAAATCATTCAATAGTTTAGTCACTACCCAATTAAACATTATTAAATTTGAATGATTAATAGTTTAGTCACTACCTAAACTAGTCTAATAATCATTCAATAGTTGTCAATTTGCCATGCCTTAATCTTTGGTGGGTGACTCTTATACTTGGAGGATCATGCCACTAACCAGGGTGACAAACCAGTCGTACTCCCCCCGTTCAACGAACAAACACCCCCGTTCAACGAAACCACGGTTGAGTAGGGAACTTCCACATACTTGGAACCATTTATGATGGGGTGTTTAATATTAGGATGATGGGATTACTCCCCCAATCATCATCATTTTTGATCAAACCTTCGGCCGAAAGCTTCTAGCTTTCGCTGCCACTTGAGGGGATATAAAATGCAGTGGACCAGTTGGTAGATACTAAACATCAACTTACTGTAAGTAATGGGATCATAATGGGATTATAATAAAGTCATGTAAATTAGAATCCCATACAGTAATCCAACTAGACGACGGTTGGCCCGAGAGCGAAAAAGACGTTTTTCAAGCAGCTCTGAGTATGGTAGTCGTAAAAAATAGTCGGTGAATGGTTGGTGAATTTTATATGAGCTATGGAGGGGTAAGTTGTGAAAAGTAAAATTGATTAAGAAGAGGATACATGTGACAACCCATGCATATGCACTGTGCTGCTTGGTAAAGGGCATCATATGACACGTGTCTTGCAACCACAGAGAGACATAGATAGAGAGAAAGAGGGGAGAGAGAGAGAGAGAGAGGGAGAGAGAGAGAGAGAGAGAGAAAGAGGGAGAGAGAGAGAGAGCAGGGTCTTCTGTTGTTAGTATTGAGACACTATATTGCAAGACAATATAGTAAAGATGTATTTTAGGCAGGCGAGACAAGTAGTATCAAGACAATATATTACAAGTACAAAACACTAGTTTGCATCCTATCCTTCGTATTGTTTTTCACACACAGAACCTCTTACACACAGACGCTTTTGCACAGAAGCTGTTACACACAGATGCATTTACACACATACGCTTTTACGCACAGAAGCGTTTACACACAGACGCTTTTACACACAGAAGCTTTTACACACAGAAGGTTTTACACGCAGACACTAGACACTTTTACACACATAGGCTTTTACACACAGACGCCTTTACGCACAGACACTAGACACTTTTACGCACATAGGCTTTTACACACAGACGCTTTTACACGCAGATGTTTTTAGACACACACACACACACTTTCACACACAAACGCTTTTACACACAGACGCTTTTACACACAGAAGCTTTTACACACAGACGGTTTTTACCCACAGACGCTTTTACACACAGACCCTTTTACACACAGACACTTCTACCCACAGAAGCTTTTACACACAGACGCTTTTCTTTTACACACACACACACTTTCACACACAGAAGCTGTTACACACAGAAGCTTTTACACACAAACACTTTCACACACAGAGGCTTTTAACACAGAGACTTTTACACACAGACGCTTTTACACACAGAAGCTTTTACACACAGACTCCTTTACACACAGACGCTTTTACACACAAACACTTTCACAGACGCGTTTACACACAGAGACTTTTACACACAGACGCTTTTACACACAGACACTTTTACACGCAGACGCTTTTACACATAGGCGCTTTTACACGCAGATGCTTTTACACACAAACACTTTCACAGACGCGTTTACACACAGAGACTTTTACACACAGAGACTTTTACACACAGAGACTTTTACACACAGACGCTTTTACACACAGACGCTTTTACACGCAGATGCTTTTACACACACACACACTTTCATACACAGAGGCTTTTACACACAGAAGCTTTTGAAGAGTGTCTCTATATGACATTTTATGGTCCTGAGCTCAAACTGTTCTGTTTTTGACATCAAGCACATGATGGCATCGAGCTCTGTTGCAAACGTTTGCAGACATTTCACTAGTGAAGTATTGTCACATGTGTCATTTACAGCATCATGGTACCGATCTTTTTTGGGCCATTTATGTGGGATTTTCCATAATAAAATGAAATAATATGTGTCATACACAGCATCATGGTACCGAGCTTTTTTGGGCCATTTCTGCGGGATTTTCCATACTAAAATGAAATGACATGTGTCATACACGGCATCATGGTACCGAGCTTTTTTGATAGTTTCTGTGGGATATTCCCAGAATAAAATGAGATAACGCGTGTCATTTACTGCATTATGGTATTGGACCTTTCTTTGTGCAAAAGTTTGCAGACATTTCACTAGTGAAGTATTGTCACATGTGTCATTTACAGCATCATGGTGCCGATCTTTTTTGGCCATTTATGTGGGATTTTCCATAATAAAATGAAATAACATGTGTCATACACAGCATCATGGTACCGAGCTTTTTTGGGCCATTTATGTGGGATTTTCCATAATAAAATGAAATAACCTGTGTCATACACAGAGGCTTTTACACACAGAGGCTTTTACACACAGACACTTTTACACACACACACACTTACGCACAAAAACGCTTTTACACACAGACGCTTTTACACACAGAGGCTTTTAGACACAGACGCTTTTACACACAGACGCTTTTACACACAGACACTTTTACACACAGACACTTTTACACACAGACACTTTTACCCACAGACGCTTTTACACACACCCTTTTACACACAAACACTTTCACACACAGAAGCGTTTACACACAGACGCTTTTACGCACAAAAACTTTCACACACAGAGGCTTTTACACACAGAAGCTTTTACAGACAGACACTTTTACACACAGACGCTTTTACACACAGACGCTTTTACACACAGACGCTTTTACACACAGACACTTTTACACACAGACTCCTTTACACATAGAGGCTTTTACACACAGAAGCTTTTACACACAGAGGCTTTTACACACAGACGCTTTTACACACAGACGCTTTTACACACAGACACTTTTACACACAGACGCTTTTACACACAGAAACTTTTACACACAGACACTTTTACACACAGAGACTTTTACACACAGACCCTTTTACACACAGACGCTTTTACACACAGACGCTTTTACACACAGAAGCTTTTACACACAGACACTTTTACACACAGACGCTTTTTTGCACACAGACGCTTTTACACACACACACACACTTACACACACACACACACTTTCACACACAGAGGCTATTACACAGAGGCTTTTACACACAGACGCTTTTACACACAGACGCTTTTGCACACAGACACTTTTACACAGATACTTTTACACACAAACACTTTTACACAAACGCTTTTACACACAGACGCTTTTACACACAGACACTTTTACACACAGACTCCTTTACACACAGACGCTTTTACACAAAGAAGCTGTTACACACAGAAGCTTTTACACACAGACGCTCTTACACAGAAGCTTTTTACACACATACTCCTTTACAGACAGACGCTTTTACACACAGAAGCTTTTACACACAGACACTTTTACACACAGACGCTCTTACACACAGAAGCTTTTACACAGAGACTTTTACACACAGACACTTTTACCCACAGAAGCTTTTACACACACACGCACACACACACACGCTTTTCTTTTACGCACACACACACAGAGGCTTTTACACACGGACGCTTGCACAGAGACTTTTACACACAGACGCTTTTACACACAAACACTTTCACACACAGAGGCTTTTACACACAGAAGCCTTTACACAGAGACTCCTTTACACACAGACGCTTTTACACACAGAAGCTTGTACACTCAGAAGATTTTACACCCAGACGCTATTACACACAGACACTCTTACACGCAGACGTTTTTACACACAAACGCTTTTACACACAGACACTTTTACACACAGACACTTTTACACACAGAGGCTTTTACACACGGAAACTTTTACACACAGACACTTTTACACACAGAAACACACAAAGACACACACGACACTTTTACGCTTTTACACAGTTGCTTTTACACACAGACGCTTTTACACACAGACAGACGATTTTACACACAGACGCTTTTACACACAGACACTTTTACACACAAAAGCTTTTACACACAAACGCTTTTACACACGGCACTTTTACACAGACTCTTTTACTCACAGACGCTTTTACACACACCCTTTTACACACAAACACTTTCACACACAGAAGCGTTTACACACAGACTCCTTTACACACAGACGCTTTTACACACAGAAGCTTTTACACACAGAAGATTTTACACAAAAACAAAACTTTCACATTCAGACGCTTTTACACAGAGGCTTTTTACACAGAGGCTTTTACACACAGACGCTTTTACACACATACGCTTTTACACACAGACGGTTTTACACACAGACCCTTACACAGACACTTTGAAACACAGACGCTTTTACACACAGACGCTTTTACACAGACAGAGGCTTTTACACACAGAACTTTTACACAGACGAAAGCGTTGCGATTGACACTTTAAAACACAGTTTTTGACAGAGGCTTTTACACACAGAGGCTTTTACACACAGACACTTTTACACAGACGAAAGCGTTGCGATTGACACTTTAAAATTGCATTTTTTGCTCAGTTTTTGACGTCCAACGTCCATTTCGTGCGAAAGGGTTACGATTGACCAAGTAAAATCGCAATTTTTCCTCAGTTTTTGACGTCCAACGTCCATTTCGTGCGTAAAGGTTGCGATTGACAACTCAAAGTCGCAATTTTTCCTCAGTTTTTGACGTCCAACGTCCATTTCGTGCGTAAGGGTTGCGCGGGACACTTCAAAGTCGCAATTTTCCTCAGTTTTTGACGTCCAACGTCCATTTCGTGCGAAAGGGTTGCGCGCGACGCTTCAAAGTCGCAATTTTTCCTCAGTTTTTAACGTCCAACGTCCATTTCGTGCGAAAGGGTTGCGATGGACAAAGTAAAATCGCAATTTTACCTCAGTTTTTGTCGTCCAACGTCCATTTCGTGCGAAAGGGTTGCGTTTCGTGGCGCTCCGGCGGCACCGCCCCCGCCTAAAGAGAGAAATAGAAGAAGAGCGAGAGGAGATCTGCAGATGTGAAGGTGTGAAGATCTAGATCTGCAGGTGTGAGGGTGTGAAGATCTAGATCTGCAGGTGTGAGGGTGTGATGATGTAGATCTGCAGATGTGAGGGTGTGAAGATCTAGATTTGCAGGTGTGCGGATGTGAAGATCTAGATCTGCAGGTGTGAGGGTGTGAAGATCTAGATCTGCAGGTGTGAGGGTGTGAAGATCTAGATCTGCAGGTGTGAGGGTGTGAAGATCTAGATCTGCAGGTGTGAAGGTGTGAACATCTAGATCTGCAGATGTGAGGGTGTGAAGATCTAGATCTGCAGGTGTGCAGGTGTGAAGATCTAGATCTGCAGATGTGAGGGTGTGAAGATCTAGATCTGCAGGTGTGAAGGTGTGAAGATGTAGATCTGCAGATGTGAGGGTGTGAAGATCTAGATCTGCAGATGTCAGGGTGTGAAGATCTAAATCAGCAGATGTGAAGGTGTGAAGATGTAGATCAGCAGATGTGAAGGTGTGAAGATGTAGTATAACGGCTGCTTTTTTACGAAGAACCCTTCGCAGCCGCTCTCGGGAAAAACGGTGTTTCATCGTCCTTTTTGCTTTTGACACGAAAAAACGTAGGCCCGCCGGACCGCCAAAAAATGACTACTGGAACGGGGGCCCTGGTCCAGGATGGGCCAAGATTTCTTCCAGCTCGCTATGGAAACGATTACCCTCTGGTAAACTAACATAGTAGAAAATGGCCATTTATAGTGGATTTACCCATGGAAAATGGTGATTTTCCATAGTTATGTTAGTTTACCAGAGGGTACTTTGCTGATGATTTCCATAGCGAGCTGACAAATGACCAAGAGGTATATAACTTTCCTCTAGGGTGGCGTGTTGATGTCCTGCCAAGTTGGATGACAGCTTGAAAAAAAGGCGTATGTGGTAAAACAGCTTGGTCTGGGTCCCGGGGTGAGCTTCTCCAGTTATAAGTTGGTTCATGCTGACCTATCCAACTGCAAAGTTATCCACCATAGATCACAGTTCTATTGATTTTCTATTACTCAGAGAACCACTTCCAGTACTAGACCAAGTTATACTTAGATATCTGCCACCTAGAAATTATGTTGAGCTATATATAAACTATTACAGTAAGCTAAATTTTGGCTATATATTAGCTATATAGTTTGCAATACTTAATTCCCAGCTATATTGGTTTATAATAGTTTATATACGTCTATTGGCATATATATATATATACATAATATAACAAGGTGATGCCCCCCAATTATACGTTGGTTGGTACTCGACAATCCCATCAACTATAAATGGAATACTATACAAATATATGTCATGATATATCTAGATAAACCCCAATATAACATCTATTACATCTACTAAAAAAAAGTTCGATACATCTACCATAAACCAAACGTGAACTTGACTAACTATGGGGCCCCACATACCATAAACCATGGCTCACCAAGTCGCCTGTGGAGATCTCGAGGGACCTGTCGGACCTGTCGGACCTGTCGGCGATGGAGAACTATGGTAGATACATCGAACTCGTTTATTAATGGATGTTTATGGTAGATGTTAATGTAGATATATCGAACTAGTTAATATAGGATAGTTAATATAGGATTACATATAAAATCATATAAATCAACTTATAACTGGTGTCAATCATCAAGTAACTGCGTGTAGATATATATGTAGATATATCTATTTTCTACCCACTGGCCATGGATGATGTTTCGGATCCATCCCCATTTCACCAGCGTCATGCCCGCACCTCCAGTGTCGCCTGGTGCAGCCTGTGCGTGTGGGGGTCAGGTGGGTAACTGCAATTGGAAGTGGCAAACCTGGATTACCTAGGCCATCAATTGATGAAAGATTTACAGCAACATTTTGGTACGTTGGCTCATGATGGCTCATGTGAATGTGAAATTGAGCATAAAGGTTCCCAACTGAGGCTAGTTACTAGTTTTTTCGGGGGAGTCGGACCTTAGAAAGTCAGGGTCAATAGGGTACTTCTACCATCAAATATGTCTGTATGGTGATGAATCAACAAGCCATAAACAAGCAAAGAAACGGAACTACATCCGAGGTATTGCCGAGTTGATTGGTTGGCTCCAGCAATTCTGGCCTGGACTCAGTCCCCAGTCGAGTCGATCTGTGATCCTACCGAATCCTCAGACCTACACACTTTGTCGGGATAAAATGCCAAGTTATGCCAAGTGTGAGTTTGGTGCCACCAAACTGATCCATTTACCACTTTGCCAGGTTGGAACCACCACATGCAGCTGCAGAACCACATTGGGCGTTCTCGACGCGGCCTCTTTGGCTTTTACGTGTCTTGCCTCTGGACAACGATTCCAGAGGGCCCTCTTTTGAGCCTAGCAATCGAAGCTACGCATGACAAAACAGATAGCACTCCTGCTTTGCATTTCGTGTTTGCACTTAGAGCGGCATAACACAACAAGATATCTTTCCATATCTTCGCATTGGTAGCGGAGCCGGCAAAGATCCGGCTCCAGCCCGCGCTGCCATGTCGACTTCTCCGGCGAGAAGAGCTGCTGGAGGCGGTGCTGGATCATCTCCTACCTCCCCAACCGAAACTTCTCCATATGTCAAGGACTCCTTCGTGCCGAGGTTTGACAATACCATCAGCGGCTACAAGGAGTGGCGGAAAAGGGTTCAACTGTATGCCCGTAGGCTTGAGCTGCAAGGTCGTTCAAAAGAAGTTGCCATGAATGTTTTGGCAGTACTTGAAGGTTCCAGTTGGACGCAGTGTGAAGACATAGACCTCAAGGAACTGGAAGCCGAAAACGGCCTAGATGTGTTGCTGCGACGGTTGGATTCGAAATGGAAATATGATGAAAGGGTTGAGCTGGGTTCCATATTTGACACCTTCTTCTTCAAGGTTCAGCGAAAGCCCAACCAATCTCTTTTGGACTATGTGACTGATTCTCACCAAGCCCTATGTGATGTTCAGAGACTGAAGGTAGATCTTCCTGAGGAAATCACTGGATGGCTCATGTTGCGCAGAGCTGCCTTGACCAAGGACCAACAACACCTTGTGCAGTCCCAGGTTGGCAAAACGTTGACATTGGGAAACGTGGAGCAAAGCCTTTTTCTGGTTTTTGGTCAAGACTTCAAGCAATCCAATCATCAAAGTCACCGTGGAAAATCATTCCCCAAAGGAAAGGGTCGTTCCAATGTGCACCATGCAGAAGATGATGAACATGAGTTTCAAGATGATTGGAATGAAAACTACATGGATACCTACTACGAAAATGATGATGATCAATACTATGAATGCGATGAAGAATGGGATGAAACATACTTTGGTTCACAAGTTGACTGGTCTCCCACTGCCTCTGAGTGGAATCCGAGCGAAGCTGCCGTCGAAGACGAGTCGCTCTTCGATGTGGCGGAGTTCGATTCCGTCTACTCTGCATATGCCGATGCCAAGAGCCGACTTGCACAGTTGCGCCAAAGCCGTGGCTTCTACCCGGTTGTGGCACTGGTGGACGGCAAGGGTTCCAGCATGTCTCAAGGCGGGGGTAGTTCAAAGTCAAAAGGTCAAAGTAAGAAAGGATCCAAACAGTCACCATATCCACCAAAGGGAAAAGGTATCAAACCAAGAGGAAAAGCCATAGCGGGGGATCTAGTTTGTTTGAGATGTGGCAAGACTGGCCACAAAGCTGCAAACTGCAAGAGCTCTTCTGCTGCTGCCTCTGGTGCCTCTTCTCCTGCAAAGAAGCGCCCCATTGACCTTGACCCGATGGTGAACATGGTCTTCCAAGCTTCTGGCGATGAGTTCCATGAGATTGAGGAGACCTACATGCAAGGCGAATCTGTGGTGCGTGCTGGTGGATGGGTGACAAAGGAGCCCGACATGTGCATTCAAGACCAAGGAGCCTCTTCATTCCTTGCTGGCAGTGAGTACATCTTGCGATATCTGAAATGGTTGGAAGTTCAGGGATACCCCATGAACACCATCTCCTTCAAGAAGTGCAACAAAACTTTTCGTTTTGGCGGCGATGCTGATGGACATGCCCGCTGGATGGTTGAGTTGCCCGTGCACTTCGCCAACATTTCAGGTCGAATGCAGTGCTTCATCGTGTTCGGAGCCACCCCAATCTTGCTTGGACGCCCAGTTCTTGAACAACTTGGTGCTGTAGTGGATTTTGGAAGTGGCAAGATGCGCATCCTTGGTGGCCGATGGACCGAGATCGAACGTGGCAAGCAAGATGCGATGCTTCTGAGACTTGCTGCAACCTTCAACTCTATTGAGGACTTTGAGAACCCGCAGTTCGACCTCAGAGCCAAGGATGATGATCACGATGATGCACGCTCTCTGCAAGATTTTCTTCAAGATCTACGTGCTGCCGAGCGCTATGAGGAAATGATCTCCGAGGTCCAATTCACTGACGACGCCTCTGAGATTGAGTTCGTTGATGTTGAGACCTATGTGAATGTGGATGAGCAGGTTCCTGAGGAGCACTTTCATGCCCATGAGCTGACCGAACGCACTCAATGCTCAATGTCGAAGACCTGGTCATGGATTCAGGGTCAACTGGTTGAAACGTCCAAGAAAGCAGCCCAACTTGCCTATGAAGCTCGATGCCAACCTCACCCACGAAAGAAGCTCATTTGGGAAGTCTACAGTGGCACTGGACTTTTAGGCGAACAAGCTGAACGCCTTGGTGCCGATGTGATGCGTTTTGGACTCAACAATGGATGGGACTTCTCCAAATTAGCACATCGAAAACGTTTGATGGAACTGGCCTATGAGCTTGAGCCGGATGAGATCTACATGTCTCCCAAGTGCACACTTTGGTCTCCCATGCAGGCCATCAACATGCGTTGTGAAGCTGATTGGGATGAACTTTGGGAGCGTCGTGACTTCGACCATGAGATCCATCTGAAGTTTTGCAAGAAGCTGTACTGGTTTCAGGTGAAACGTGGAGCTCATGCACACATTGAACATCCACACCGCAGTGCTGCCTGGGAAACACCAGCCTTTGCCAAACTTCCAGGTGAACGCACAACTTTTGATCAATGTGAAATTAACATCCACACCGCAGTGCTGCCTGGGAAACACCAGCCTTTGCCAAACTTCCAGGTGAACGCACAACCTTTGATCAATGTGAATATGGTTCCACTACCACAGTTGATGATGATGAAGTACCAATCATGAAAACCACCTCCATTCAGACCACAAAACGTGCGATGTGTCGCATCATGTCCAAACGATGCTCAGGCAACCATCAACATGCCCGACTTGAAGGTGGAAGCCGTTGCAAGAAGGCTGAGAATTACCAATGCGAGCTTGCCTGGAATTTAGCTCATGCCCTTCTTGAAGATGAGGGTTTGTCGGAACAGGCCTATGCTGTTCAACAAGACGCCGAAGCTCAAGAGCTGACTGGAGTTCTTCGAAAACTTGGCACAAAGCATGGCTCTGAAGCGGTGCGCATTGCCTACCGCCTCCATCGAAACCTTGGGCATCCGAGAAAGGACACTTTGGTCCGCATGCTGCAGGCCAAGAATGCCGACCCAAAGGTCATCGCTGCAGCCGAAGCCCTTGAGTGCCCCTACTGCAACAAGTTTTCTTCCAGGAAACAATCAGCTCCAGCTCATGCCGAGCGTCCCATGGACTTCAATGAGCAGCTTCAGGCCGACACCCTGTGGTTTGATTTGAGCTCAGTTGAGCTTGATGCCCCTTCTGACAAAGCTTCCAAGCGGAAGATTGGCATGTTGGTCATGGTCGATTCTGCAACTCGCTTCATGGCTGTGCGAACCATTCCTGATGAATCAAGCAACTCCCTCATGAAAGCAGTTGAACGTGAATGGATTCGCTACTTTGGCCCTCCGAAGCAGCTGAGCGTTGATGAATGGTCTGGATGGGGCAGTGACGCTATGCAATGGTCTGGCGACCACGACATAGAGATGAAGATTTCCCCTGGGCAAAGTCATTCACGAACTTCAATTGTGGAGCGAAGACACCAACTCCTTCGCAAAGCACTCTCCATCTTCATGACAGAAAATGGACTACGTGGCCTTGATGGACTTCACACGGCCTTGAACTGGACAGTGCCCACATTGAATCAATGCACTTTTGTGAATGGATTTACTCCTATGCAACTTGCCCTGGGAAAACAACCAAATATGCCTGGACTCATCTCTGACGAGCGCACTGGTCCAATTCAACTTCAACAAACTGAACAAGATCGACTACGACGACGACTTGAACTCAAAGCAAGTGCCCAAAATGCATGTGCTGTTGCGGAGATTGACGTCAAACTACGACGTGCTCTACTCCGACGCTTTTCAGGTGCTGATGAAGATCTACAGCCAGGTGAACGATGCCTTTACTGGCGAGAAGTTGGCAATCGATTCCACACGGTTCAGTGGAAAGGCCCTGCCACGGTCGTTGCTGTCCAACGAGACCCAGACACTGGCACCATTGACACCTATTGGATTGCCCACGGCACTGTGCTCATCCGTGCTGGACGTCAACATGTCCGACGACTTGTTGGCCAAGAAGGTCTTGTCAATGGAGCTCAACGTGCTGAACAAGCCATTGCTGGTCTCCGTCAACGTCGGGTTGTCCGAACAGCCGACTTGCGGCGCATCAACAAGCACACCTTGGAGGAGCTTGAGGGTGAAATCTCTGATGGAATTTTTGATGAGCCCTCCCCAAAGAAAGCCAAGACCAACCATCCTCCTGATCAAGGTGAGCAAGATGCCCCAGCAGCACGACCTGAATCAGTGCGATCATTTTCCTATGAGCCAACTGAACCCATCGATGATTTGCCAAAAGATCCTGCTGAAGATCCACCTCTACCTGTGGCTGATCCGTCTTCTGGCTTGGACTTGCCAACGGATCCCGGTTTGGACTTACCGGATGAGTCAAGGCGCTTGGATTTGGATTTGCACGACTCTGAAGAGCCACAATCCTCACAGCAAGCTGAAGCAGCAGCAGCATCCTCCAGCGGAGAGGCAGGTGCTGGACTTCTGCCTGAACCTCTTCCGCAAGATGTTCCAATCCCTGATGGTGATGACAGTGAAGCTGATCAGCCCACCATTGCAGCTGACAACACCACCACCCAATCTTCAATGCCTGAGGCACCTCCACAACTTCCTGGACTTTCCTTTGCTGAACGCCGACGGCAACATGAACGAAGTGAGACTTCTTGGATGCGATCTCCATTGTGGCCACTGGTGCATGATCACCCTGATCCTCAAAGCCCTGGCAATTCAAAGCGTGCCAAGCACCATGAATCGGTCAACATCGCTGTGGAGCTCTTTCCAAATGGCTGTGAAGGCTCAACCAACCTTCCAGCTGGATGGCACTATGATCCGAAAACCCATGAGATCTACCTTGGTTCCACAGCAGACTTTTGGAGCTTTGAAGATGGATTTTTGGTTAGAAACCATGTTTGGTCAAGGGATTGCACTTTTCATACAACAGATTTTCCCTTGCCTGCCGAGAAGCTCCAGACCACAAATGGACTGACAATGAGACGCAACAGCCGCATCATCCTGGTCAACGAGGAGCAGTCTGCCCCTGTGGGTGATGAACCATGGTTTGGAAAGACCTTGTACCCACTGACCAAAGATGCTGCAGCTGAGTTTGGCCAAAACTACGTTGGCGACCTGTCCAAGAAGTTCAACAACAAAACCATCCGAAGCCGTGGCCATATCTGGTCTGCCCAAGCTGCGCCCAAGAAGAAGAACGTCAAGGAGTCAGCTGACCTGAAGGAAAGCCGAATGAGTCTTGAAGACCGCCTGGCGTTCATCGAGGGCAAGAAAGCTGAGTTGGCCTCCATTTTTGAGAATCAAGTTTGGGAGATTGAGCTCCATCCTGAGAAGGTCGATTGGAACCGCGTGATGAAAGCACGGTTTGTGCTGAAGTGGTCTGCCGACAACAGTGGCAACCCACGCGCAAAAGCACGTTTGGTTCTTCAAGGATTTTCTGATCCAGATCTACTACGAGGAGAGCTTGACACATCTTCCCCTACCTTGAGCCGATGCTCACGGCAGATTCTCCTGGCCATTGCAACTTGCAAATCCTGGCTTATTTTCATTTCTGATGTTGCGACAGCCTTTCTTCAAGGCGATCCACAGAAGCGAATTTTGTGGGCCAGAATTCCCAAAGACGCTTGCCAGCTGATTGGTGTGCCAGCCGGTACACTGATGCGACTTCTCAAACCCATTTACGGGCAAGCCGATGCTCCAAGAAGATGGTTTCAAGTTGCCCGCAGAAGATTGATTGCTGCAGGGTACCAACCACATCCACTAGATCAATGCCTTTATTGCCTTTTTCATGGTGATCAATTGGTTTCAATGATCGGCATTCATGTCGATGATCTCATCGGTGCTGGACTTGAATCCGATGAAGTCTACCAGAAGGCAAAACAGGCTCTTCATGAGAGTTTCAACTTCAAACATTGGACTGAAGGAAAAGAAACTGGTCAACTACAGTTTTGCGGTTGTGACCTTGAGGCTGATGGAAAAGGTGGCTGGTGGTTGCGCCAACAGGCGTACGTCCAAAAGATCAAACCTTTGACCTTGAGCGATTCAGATGAGAATCGTGAATTGACTGTCAAAGAAGTGACAATGCTCCGTGGACTTCTAGGAGCGCTTCAATGGCCAGCAACCCAGACTTCACCGCACCTCAGTGCAAGCGTGAGTCTTTTGTGTGGCGAAGTGAGCGCCGCAGCAGTTTCCACAGCTACCCAAGCAAACAAGCTGCTTAGATTTGCCAAAGCCAACAGCGACGTTGGACTCCAATTTTCTGACCTTGGCCAGCTACATGAGCTTTGCATGATAGCCTTGAGTGATGCAGCCTGGGGCGTTCGGAAGAACCATGAGTCCCAAGGCGGCTACTTTGTTTTGCTGATGAATGTGAAAGCCCTGCAAGGTCAATTAGACCAACCCTACGTTGTTTTGGACTGGCGAAGCTACAAACTCCGCAAAATCAGCCGCAGTAGCCTCAACTCTGAAGCACAAGCATGCGCTGGTGCAATGGATGCTCTTGAGTATCTCCTGATCTTCTGGCATGGATGTGTGACTCCTGGCTTTGACTTGCGCCACTTGGACGTCCACGACATCCAAATGCAGTCAGCCTTGGTGGTCGACGCGAAGGCACTCTACGATAGCCGATAGCCTGAAAGCTGAAGTTCCACAGATGCAAGGCGACCGAAGATCCAAGATTGAGGTCATGGTTGTGAAACAGAAAATGGATGAGATGAAAACGAAGCTGAAATGGATTTCATCAGAGACCCAACTGGCAGATGGTGTTACCAAAATTGCAGCACGGCAATTGCTTGCAGACCGCTTACGGTCCCATGTCTTTTCCCTGCACTCCGACCAGAGCTTCCAAGCAGCCAAGAAGAAAACTCTTGCTGAACGCCAAGCTTCAGCCAGACGCAATGCGATTGGTCGTTTGCAGAAAGGCATTGGTTTTGCAGTGCTGACAAATCAACTTGAGCCAGTACGAGGAGATGATTTTGCCGAAGATTCTTTTTCATCCTCCTACAACATCATTTTCATCTTTACCTTCCTCACCATGTTTGCGGCGACAGTTTTTCTGGCATGGCAGTGTGTAGAAAGAATGACAAGGTCCCTGCCGAGACCTATGGCTGTACCTAGGTTTCAAACCTCAAGAATGCTCTGGTCACTGATGAGACCTTTTGCGTTCCTATGGAATCAACAAGCTGCGCTGGAAGATGTATCAACCCAAACCGAAAGTGGACGTGATCAAACTATTCACCTTTTGAACTGCAGAGTTCAGATGCTGCAACAGCAGGTGAACGACAAAGACGAAAGAATCCAAGATCTTGAAAGTTTGGTTCACTACTACGAGCAAGATGTGACATCAACCTCTTTGTTTGTGAGCCGAACTGGAGCACGATACCATTTGCATCGTGATTGCCGAGCGCTTTTACAAGCGAATCAAGCCGGCATACGAGATTTGAAATGCTGCAGCCAATGCATTCAGACGTTGCGTGACAACAGCAACCTGGGTGGACCGTGGTGAACTTTTCTTTCTTCTCCACCGGTGTGAGTTTGGTGCCACCAAACTGATCCATTTACCACTTTGCCAGGTTGGAACCACAACATGCAGCTGCAGAACCACATTGGGCGTTCTCGACGCGGCCTCTTTGGCTTTTACGTGTCTTGCCTCTGGACAACGATTCCAGAGGGCCCTCTTTTGAGCCTAGCAATCGAAGCTACGCATGACAAAACAGATAGCACTCCTGCTTTGCATTTCGTGTTTGCACTTAGAGCGGCATAACACAACAAGATATCTTTCCATATCTTCGCACCAAGTTTAATCTGTTCCAACTGGATCAAATCTGGTGGAGTGGCAATAAAAACATGGATCATTCATCCTGAAATCAATCCTTTCTTACGACCCAATGGCTGGAGTTTCCCTCCGATTTCTCGGTGCCCCACCCACTTGAATCGGGCCTGAAAGTCATTGAAATCGCCGAAGAAATCATTGGCGGCCTATGCAACTGTTTCAGCAACAAGCCACCGATGCATCGATCCGTGCAAACTCTGGCAACCCAAGGACTCTGGTTGCCTGAAACACTTCACAGCTATAATCTGATAGGTAAAGATACCCCGCAAAATATGCTTTTAAGCTGGGTATGATGTATTCTCCTCTTTCAGGCGAAAGGCTAAATTTCGAACAACACATTGAAGGTGTCTCCGGTTTTTTCATGGTTTTGCCTGCTTTCCATCGTCAATCATCAAGTTCTCTATTAAATTGATGTTTTGGAGTGTTATTAATACTTAAATTTCTGACCCATAGTTAAATACCCCCAATTGAATATTAATTTTGGCTGGTGTATGCTGGAGTTCTACCCCTATCTCTTTGTTACATCCCAATATCATGTGTATATGTGTATACTATGAAATGTATTGCATAGATGTTCAAACACACAGCCCAATGAGACATGGCTTTGTCATCCGGTGGACCCAGGAATCGTGAGTGGTTTGTATAGTGACTCTAAAATACCCCAAGTATGAAATTCGTTATATACATGGAATATCAGTAATATACCGATTATATATGTTTCCAGGCTGCAGTTGCAGTTGACGTTGATATATCCCAACTTATCGGGGTTGTTGCTACCATCATTATACCCATTTATCACCATATTTATTATTTAAACTATATGATATATGATTATATTTGATATATTTGCCATTTATATAACTTATCTCAACTGCAACCCCATGTATTTGCGAAAAAAAAAAAACTATGTCCAAACATGTCTTGCTTGTTTCCCTGCAATCTTTTTGGACACACATATATATATATATGTATATCATGATAACAAAACAACCAATAACTATATTGACATACAGACATACATATCATTAGACATGTGTAATATATACATATATACATTTATACTACCATGTATCATATATTTAGTATATTACTGTAATATATATATATATATATATATGGGCCACGGTCAATATTTGGTATATAACTCCAAGTCATCAATTTTTGAAGAGTGTATTATCGTTTTCCACGCCCCTGCTCAATTTTCAAAAAATAATGATGTCTCCAATACTACTCTCCATTAACCTAAATTTTGGCAGTAGCTCATATGAGCCATGGTCAATACTCACTATATGGTTGATGGTCATCCCATTTATAATAAGGATCCTTATAATGGTTATTATAAATCCCTATGAACCATTGGATGACTAGCCCCTATTAATGGTTATTAACCATGAGTATTGACCATAGCTCATATAGTATATTTAGGATTCCAGGGACGCCGCAAACCAGGCACCTCCGGCGATGACATCGACGAGACGCCGGCACGGCCGGCACCGGCCGGCACCGCCGCCGGCACCGCCGCCGGCACGGCCGGCACGGCGGGAGCCTGTAGGGTGGTGCCAACCATAGGAAAACCATGGGAAAACCACAGGGAAACCATAGGAAAACCTGAGGAAAATTGTGATGTCACCCAGAAAAATGAAGATTTCATGGGAATTATCGCTGATTTGTGCTAGCTGAGTTGGTTAACTATGCAGTTTATTGTAGATATACGTAATATATATATATATAATATAGTAATATATATATATATATAATACAATAATATATATATAATATAATAATATATATATATGTATTATATGCATATATATATATATTATATATATTATATACATATATTATATATATAATTATATATATATGATTATATATATGTGATTATATATATATATGATTAATTATAAATATAAATATATATATATATAATAAAATAATATATATATAATATAATAATATATATATATATTATGCATATATATATATTATTCATATATATATATTATTCATATATATATATATATATATTATATTATTATATATATATGATTATATATATATATGATTAATTATAAATATATATATATATGCTTGTATATATATATATATGATATTATATATGATATGTACCTGGTGAAATCCATGTTAAATGCAAAGGCACAACATTGGCTTCGATGAGTTCCTGCCTGTCTTCTGGAGCCACTGCTGGGTGGCGGCCTGGGCTTTTTAAAGCATCCGGGTGGGTCAAAACCCGAGATCCTGGGAACCATAGAGATCCGGCATTCGGAAAATGGTGAATTAATGGATATTCATGGGATTTAATGGGATTTTCTGGGGATTATGGAATCTCATGGTGATTTAATGAGATATTCATGGGATTTTATGGAAATCTACTGGGAATTCATGGTGTATTTGACTAGGATTTAATGGTTATTTCATATGATTTTTCATGGTGATCATTCATGGGACGAATCATGGTGATTTCGGAAATCGAATCGACCGGGTTTTCAGTTTTTCAGATGATTTGGACGATGGCACGATGGACTGGACGCCAATCAGTTGGGAGGGTGGCTCCTATAGCTATGGTTGGAATATATAATTATGTATATATATATAATTATAAATATAATTATATATATATATATATTTGGACTCAGTATAGATGTCATCATTTCCATGTCAGAATGATTAAAATGATTAAAACCCATAGTAACCTACCATGTTTTCTGGTTGGTGGTATACCTACCCCTCAGAAAAATATGAGTTCGCCAGTTGGGATGATGACATTCCCAACTGAATGGAAAAATAACATCATTTTCCAAACCACCAACCACATACAGTACTTCCAACTGGAACTTCCAAGTCCAGCCAGCTTGTAGGGCGCCTTCCAGTAACATATGAGGGACACCCCGGACACCTAACCGCGATGCGATGCGATGCGCGGTGCGGAAAATCCATCTATCCATCTGTTTGATATGGGCCTACTGGACCAATCGACCAATCTCCAGATCTTCGCCACCGGACGCCAGAATAGTGCCACCACCATAGCCACCCGCCTTGCCAGGTGACGGACGATGGTGTGCCCCGGTTGACGATAGCTAAGTTCCTTTATATATAACTCCAATAACTATGGTTTGTGGCAGGTATAACTGAATGATCTTAATGGGGTTTATAAATCTAGAAACATAACTGGGGGGGCACCACCTTGTTTGCAACTCCAATAACTATTTGGCTTGTACTGGATATATCTATACTGTGTATAATTTCAATATTGTTTGATGGGGCGAACGCAAACCAGCACACATAGCTGGGAGACCCCCAAGGGAGCGACTATGATGGGCTATTGACATCTATTGAGTATGCATTTTCATAGGTAACTGAGGTCTCTTGACCTCGCTTTTCACGGGAAATCGGCGTTAGGCTGTGGGAAACAATCGTGAACCACTGATGGATGTTGAATAAACCCTGGCCAGTCTTGACTTTTAAATCGGATACATCCAGGCCATGTTTCTTGCTCGCCTTGAACAAATCCCTGCATATCTGTGCATATCTGCAGACATCTGGTATGAGAAACGCCATCATCCCAGGTTGGTTTAGCCCGTCACGACCTCAGCTTCTCGCGATCGCCGGCTTTTGCCTCCTGAGATCGCCATCGCTTCGATTTTCTATGTGGTATGGTGGGGAGCGGCTATGACAAGCTGATACTTAGTTAATTACTTAGCATGTTGATTTCCCTATCTCTCTACTTCTCTGCCTCTCCCTCTATCCCAATCTCTATGTTGATCTCGATCTCAATCTCATCTCTATCTCTTCTCGATCTATGTATCTATCTGTCTGTTTGTCTATACCCATCCATGCGTCCATCAATTTTATCTAACCCTGTGGATCCATGCGTACGCCCCATATGTGGCAGGCATGGTCTTTCGGAGTTCCAGTTCGGACTGGGATACCCATGTTGTGAGGTCACAACACAGCAGATGGGGCAAGGTCATCGAGTCAATCATTGGAAACCTTTGTGTATTATATATATATATGTATGTATGTATGTATGTATATATATATATATATATATTGGTAAAACAAGAATAAACCATCCCCAAATCACAATAAATAGGTGATATGTTTACCATTCCCTTTACATTTATGGCTGGTTTATGGCATTGTGTTACCCACATTCGTTGGTATATAAATCCCTATGACCATCCCTCAAGATCCGAAAGACCTCCGGGACAGAATTCGATATCTTTGAACCCCCAACACAGGAAGTTGGTGCCCATTAGTTACACATTTCTTTATAAATTCATCCAACTATGCATATAATCATAACATACATCTGTACATATGATATGATAATATATAGAGTCACAAAACTAAATTGGATTATATTATATATATTATTATAACTTATAACTATATATCTGTGATTATCTATATGTTATATTAAATACTATATTATCATCATACATGATCACAAAAAAATATGGTGTATGTGTATATATATATATATATTATGTAATTATGTGTATATATAATATATGATATACTCATATATCATCAACAAAAACACCTTGTCAAACCTTGTGAAGCTGGCGTTTTTTTGTGCTCCTGGCAAGTTGATCTTGATGGTCTGACCTGGGAGATGGTCGTTCGGTGCTTCCAATTGGTGGATTTTTCCGAAATTTCATTGGGGAAATCGGATTTTACCATATTTTACCAGGGCTGGTTGGTGGTGTTAACATGTTTTAACATGTTTTAACATTTTTTAAGCATCTTGAAAAATGATGGAGTGAGTTCGTCAATGGGGTTGGGATGACATCCCATATTAATGACATATGAGTGAAAGTCAATGGGGTTGGGATGACATCCCATATTAATGAAATGGAACATAAAAGTCATGTTTGAAACCACCAACCAGAGGGTGATTGATGTAGCTGATGTTAGCCAAGTTCGTTAAGCTATAGTAGTTAGAACATGTTAGAACTATATAGCTAATGCATGTCAATGCTATGTTGTTTATCAAGCAACTTCGAACTTCTGGGGCTCACAGTATACCATCATCCTATAGGTAGAACAACATGATACGTAACGTTTGAAACAACCAGCTAGACATGGCTGATTTCACACCATCCCCAGAATTCAAACTGGGGCGGTTCAAGAAAAAAAAGGCGTGTTCCAACGAACAGGTAAAACAGGTAAGGCAATCGTATCTTTTGGGCAGGGTCCAACTGCCACACTTCAGACCATGCCCCAACATTAGAATCACAATTGTGTTTTGTTGCAATGGTGGTAGATGTTCCACATGGACATGCATAGGTCTAGCCCTAATTTTCAAAAGGGGGTATAAGCCATCTACTTTGGATAGCTCTGTCAAAGCAAATGTGAAGCCATTTAACCCAACAATGATGAAGTCCTTTGAGACCCTTCAAATCATCCAAATCCCCGTATGTTTGGGTCATATTTCCGCATTCATTGTAGTGATATCCCCTATGTTTCTTCGCTCCATCATAATCAATCCTTGCGATTATCGTCAGCTAAATCCACAAATTTCATGACTACCTAGACATCTAGACCCTCTGAATGCTTTGCATTGTGTCACCCCATAAGTTTCGTACTTGTACCATTTTTGGGTGGTATTTGGAGGCGGTATATATCTTTGTTTTGACCCATTGAAGTTGGCTAGATCCTCATCCTTCACGCTTGAGGGGTTGTCATCCTGCCATCACCGATATCTTGAGCATCTGGACCCTCCTTCAACGACAAGTCCTCAAACGCTGAGGCCGGGGGGCGACGTTGGTCAGTAACTTGCCAACTTTGGAGTTGCTAATCAAAAAAGACATGGAGTTTTAACTTTGGACTTCGGAAATATGTTCGAACTTTGGAGAGTTTTGCCTTTCGGTGTTGGAAAAATCGTTTCAAATCCCCTGTCCAAGTCGCCTTCGCGGGCATCGATGAAGGCATCGGCATCTCAGCCTCCTTTTTACGGTTTGGCTACCGGTAATATCCCAAAACAGATGCGGGTAACTCATCAGAATTCACTAAACTATGGAAGATTTGGGGATGATTATGGATGATGATGGATGATAAGGGATGATTAAAATAAGCTGATTTGGGGATGATTATGAATGATACCCTATACATTTACCATCATTTCAGTGGAACAGTGAGGTCGTTGTAGGTTACCCAGAAGTATAAGAATGTCACTATTTGGGGAGAAGCCGCCTAGTAATTCAGCCATGGTTTATTAGTTAGATCATTATGTTAGTATTATTAGATGATGATCATCTAATGATTAATGAAAATAATATGGGATGTTGTTAGACAACTTAGTTGACATCATTAGATGATGATCTTATTATATGATACTGTACTATCATTCCAGACCAAAAAAACATACTGTATCTGACAGTAACATGCAACAACCAACAAATGTAATCTAATTAGATACCTGTTGCTGATCTAGATGTTGCTGTTCATTACAAAATGTTGATTTAAATATGTTTGATTTCAAAATGATTTGGATTCTCTAAATTTGGATATTGATTCGATACTGTAATTCCCAATGGATTCAGCCGTACTTGCTCAGGGAGTTGTTCTGGTATATTTAGGTGCTTTTTTGTGTCTGATCAATCCTTCTCAGCAAGCGGTTCCATTGAGTATTGGCTATCCCTGAAAGTCAAATGAACCATCTTACCCCCCGAAGGAAACTGATTAACACCAAAAATACTGGGATGCTGCCGTATTCAGCTAAGTGACTATTCCCATATGCTCCATGGGGCTGGTATATTTACAGTACCTGCATTTGGGTCATGAACATGGGGTAAATGTTGGTAAACATTCCAGCACCATGGTGCATATGGGATTAAGATGGATTAAGTGTTAGTTCACCCCTTCAAAATCAGATGTATCGTTTTTTCGTTTTTTTTTACCCCAGTTTCTAACCACACCTCGAAAAAATCTGGCGTCTAACAGCTCCCGGCAGCTCGGCCTTCTCTCTGTCGATCCAGGTGGATTTGAAGTCAGCTAAGGTACCTGGGGGTTCTACAAATGGAGAATCGTTGAGAATCGTTGAGGTTTCCCCATCAACTCATCTGGGAGAATGATGTTGTGTTCTCTTTGTTTTTCTGCACATATCTATCTTAATTTTAATTATTCTTAATCAACCATAGAGCACTCATTAGTAATCATTATCACACAAGGATTCCTATATATTGGTATATCATCCAACTGCTATAGTTGGGATGTTCATTTATTATCCATTAAATCATTAAGTCAAATCCTACAAATAATCTATGTTGGTTGGGGTGGAGATACGTTGTTTGAAACAAAATACATGTTACTGTTAATGGAAACAATTGGAAACATAATAATAGTTCTCATTATAGTAAATATGCATACATAATGCATTAATGAAGTGAATATAATGCGTGATAATGCGTGAATAGTATCAGTGTCCTAGATTCCATTTGGTCTCCTACATAACCACCCCCTTCTCATTTTATGTGACAACTCGTTTTATTGGCAATGTTTGTGCGACAGCTTGAGTGATGAGTCAACACCCTGCTACTCTGACTCTAAGTTTGCACCCAAGCATGCAGATCAATATATGAACCAAAGAAAGTCACCCAAACAGATGTCTGCAGCTCGAAAACGTTGGCATAATTGTCACATTGAAGCTAAATCCAACCTTGTTTCTTTGGCTGCCTCCTCAAATAGAGTTTCCCTCAAAGTCCTTGCGCTTGCGGCTTAAGTCCCTCTTCAGCAGATCTGGAATCCATCTGGAAGCCAGCAAGCCTCAATCAGATACAATCCAGCTTTCACGTAAATCGAACTGGGATTGAAGAGCTTGATTCCATGGCCCTGGACACGTAACGTACCTCAGGTATCCTCAGGTTAGTCAGGAGGTCCTGCCGCCAGCTCGGCACCCGGCAAGGGCATCTCTTTCAGCACAGCTGCTCGACAATGATCCCAAGTCCAGAAGGGGGTAGGATGTACCCCATGAAAATAATACGTAGTAGGTATAGGGCCGTAGGGCACGGCAGCGACAACTTGAGTCCATGAGCGAAAGGCGGCCTGCCGCTGCTCTGTCTGCTTATCTGGGCAGTGACCTCACTGGAATCATGTTGAGTACGGGGAATCATCCCCAAAAGGCCTAATTAGTTTCAGGTTAGTGAAATAGTCTAATTTACCCAGATAAAGAGTACTTTATGTTAAGTACATTTAAGTACTGTACTTCCCAACCAAGGATTACCCATAATTTCGGAGCACCATTTCGGCCGGGGCACAATTGAAGTCAAAGGCGTCGTTGCGATCCTCCCGGGCGGGATTGCATATGTGGGTGGATGATTCACCACATGCAGAAGGTTAAGAAATTGTTCGTAAATTTTAAATGGAGTACCCTCTGGTAAACTAACATAACTATGGAAAATCAACATGTTTCATGGGAAAATCCACTATAAATGGTGATTTTCCATAGTTATGTTAGTTTACCAGAGGGTATATCGCGTGGAATATTCGCATTAATTGTACATTAATTGTACAAAATACCTGAATTTGGACCTAGATAATGCCGGAACTTCATAAAGTGCTGTGAATTTTGATTCACCCATATGCAAATCATGAGACATTTTCCATACAAAATTCTTACGCATCATCTGACCAGGGACCCCCAAAATCCCGTGGTTCCCAGGGGTCACGGAAACCAAAAAAAAGGCCAAATGGCATGCTTTGAGGCGGCTGGGACCCCAGAGCCTTCTGCAGAGGAGTTGATCATTGCGATTACTGAGTTTAAGGTAACATTTAGAGGAGATTATGTGTTTTCCCTTCAATAAATCCTGGGAAGAAAAAACATGTTACTTAGCCTGACAGGAAATCCACAATGCTCCATTCCATATTTAGCAACATTCTGTATTTACCCAACTGTAGATAAATATTCCATATTTCATACAGCGTATGGGAATGACAGAAGTTCCGCTGCTACACTGCAGGTTTCACAACAGATCTTCGCCACGCTGAACCTTTCTGGGGTAAGGATCGACAAAATATGAACTATTAAACAAACATATATACCCACTATATCAAATAATCATGATTTATATATGGATATTATATTAAACACACACACACATATATATATATAATATATATATATATATATATCATATTGTTGGCTCTATGCAAACTAGCACAGCGCCCCTTTCGCAAGACGTAGTCGACAAACTGCTTCCCTTATTCCCTTAAGTGAATCATCACAGCCGCCCACATCCACTCCTCGAAGCCCAAACCAATAAAAGCGTGCCTCGGAAGATGCCATCGGTCCATCGGTCATGGGGTTGGAGTAATCTCGCTGGATATCGCTGGCGTGGCTACATCATATTTCATCATATTTCAACATATCCCGAATTGTTTTAACACATCCAAGCAATATGAGCCAGGATCCATGAGAATGAATTCAACTTTGTGGTTGTATAAAGAGGATCAAACATGTTTGAAAACCGACAGAATCTCAGTTACTAAGGATCAGAAGCATAATCATTCATTTTCACCTCAAATAGTTTGGATTAGTTTCGGCTGCAGTTGGATGCAGTTGGTATTGAATGGATATAAGATGATATAATCATATAACATGACATAACCATGAGATTCTAACCCCATAAGTTGAGATATGACTCGCATCACTCTGATGTTGTGATCTTCGTGGAACTGGTCATCCCATCTTCCTCCACATTCACAGTGTCAAACATCTTACAGTATACTAACAATTGGTGTCGCTTACTTACCCCTTGGTAAACTAACATAGCTATGGAAAATGGCCCATTTATAGATGGTTTACCTATTAAACATTGTGATTTGCTATAGCTATGCTCATTCCGCCAAGTGATTCTAACAGGAAGTATCAGGAAGTCTCAACACATTATCCCAACATGACGCGGCAAACGCTCCGCAACTTTTTGATCCACTGGGGTGCCGCTGTCGTTACAGGCCTTATGGCGCACCGACCAGCCTGGCAGACGGTGAAAATCAATCAGGCCTGGGATCCGATTTTGACCGTTCAAGTGATACTGTGGATGGAAGAAATCCTGCACCACCAAAAGGATGGTTGAAACCCTATAAATAATGGGATGTTTACCATCTATCAACTGGTGCAGGATTTCGCAACCATCCACAGTATCACAGCAAAGTCCGGCGAATCAAATCAAGTCCTTCCTTTTTTTTGCTGTTACCCCAAGTTGCGGCAACTTTCATAAGAAACATTAAGAACCATGATTATTAGACAGCAAACATAGACCAAAGCATTTCAACACTCCAGGATCCCAACAAACTCCCGGGCTGCACCTGTGACTTTTCTCCGTCAGGCCGCAGAAGATGCAGCGAAGAAGAGGCTCTTGTACTTGTCCTGGGCTTCGTTTGGTGGGAAGGGTCCGATTCCTCATGATTCGCTGACTTCGTTTGATGTTTGCGGGGAATTCATGGCTGAACGGTTTTTGTTGATGAGTTTGGTTTTGTCATCTCCGTGGTTCCTGTTGATTTTGTGGAAATCCAATTCAGAGAAAGGGCAATGAAAAGACTTACTTTAAGCAACACTATACCATTGTGGGCATTATATGGCATTATAATATAATTATTCAGAAACCGTCTCATTGTTTGGTGATGCGTGCCTATCTCTCAGAATAGTTTTGGTCATGTCCTTTCAAAGCCATCAATTCCATGTTCATTGAGTAAATGTCAATGACATTGTACATTTGATGGGCCTGTCCACCCAAACCTGGTCATCTCTACTGTCGGTATGCTGGATAGTTGGATCTTGTGGCTGATCGCTGATCAGGCACATCGAATTCAAAATACCGCATCTCTCTCCATTACATCCGTAGCTTTGTTTGTTAAGATATGTTAAGGTTCATATCCTATATCATGGTTTGATAATACTACAAGATACCTAGGCCCTGTTTCCCCCAGTTATAAGTACTAATCGTTTGACCCATCCACAGGTATACCAAAAACCATAGCAACAAAGCGCTGGAAGATCCACATTGGTTGTCACTTTTTTGGTTTCACCCATTTTTTCGACAATGACAACCTCCGCAATTTGGAATATCGGGATCCTACAACTGGAACTGCCATCAGGGTGATATCATCGCCATCTCAAGTGTATCCCCTAAAAACTCTGGATATACTCCCACAATGGCTATGTGGCTATGGGCTATGAGTGAAAACCCTAGGTATCCTAGATACCCTAAAATGGCTGGTCTATGGGTATTCCCCCAGTCATATATGGTACTTTCACAGGTTTTGACACATCGCCCTGCCGTCCTCCCACTGTTTCATCGTGTTTCAACATGGCTAAGCTCCCCGGCCAGCGTCATGTGATTCGGCCCCTTGGGCTCTATCCTAGCCTTGGCGACGACGTGTTGAGGCAGACATAGTGATGTTACAATGTGGGGCGCTAAAACATTGCTACGTTGGTGCAAACAACTAGCCTGGTTGGTGGTTTTAACCATCTTGAAAAATATTAGTCAATGGGAAGGATTATCCCATATATTGTGGAAAATAAAGAATGTTTGAAACCACCAATAGGTTTCTGATAGTTATAACTGTAGTATTCATGGTTTTTTAACCAACAAAACCAAGGGGCCCCACATTGTACCTATGAGACACTTGAGATTTACCCTCCAGTAAACGTTTACATAGATGTGAGAAAAAAATGTGTAGACATATAATACATATATATATATTATAATTTTCCGAACAGGAAACCATTGGTTTTCTACATTGGTTTTCCACATTGGTTTTCCACATCTATATTCGTTTACTGTGGGGTAACCACCAGAAATGGTTATTCTAATGATTTGACCATCCAACACATGTGCCAACTGTTTTTATGAAAGAGAGGTTCCGTGAAGATTTCAAGATATTTCTTAACAAAGACGAACAACAGGATGACAACGGCAGGCGAAGTATGATTTCTGGGGAAGATTCTTTCAACGTGTATTGCCCTTTTAGTAGGTATAACCCCTATAACTTATAACAAAAAATCGGTGAAGATCGAGATCGCCAGAACTTGCCAAAAGCCCGTGTTGTGTCGTCCCGTATTCTACTGCTTGGTTTTTTGATTTCTCACTTAATGAATTGTCATCTCCAACATATCGGATAAACGGCCAACACAATCATCAACCAACAGTTCAATGGGCATGCAACAGGAACCGACTTATTGGATGTACCGACCATAACTACCATATATAAGGCCTATGTAAGGGAATATCCCTAGAAAATATGCCCTTATATGGCAATGATAATTAGTTCTGACGATAGACTCCACTGCATGTTGGGGGTATCTCGGTATCTCGGACAACCCCAGGATTGAAGCAGATCAAAACTACAACCATATGAGCACCACATTGAACCATATCAAAACCTGATTGAAACATATCAAAAAAATTGAAGAACATCAACACCATATTGAGCCACAACACCATAATATTGAGATATATTCAAAACGTATCAAAAACCACATCTGCGGTGATCCGGACGTATGGAACCAGTGAGTTACGTGGAGGTTTATTCCGGACCTAGTGAAAAGGTATACCAAAGTGGCCCGGTATAAGTACCCTCTGGTAAACATACAAAAAACGATTGAAAATGGTGATTTATAGTTGATTTTCAAATTAAACATGGTGATTTTCCATAGTTACCAGAGGGTAACTTGTCATTTTTCAGTATGGATCAAGGGTATGGATAATGGATCGCCTGTGGGTCCAGGGTATGGATTATGGATCCGGGCCATTTTGAGCGCCACGTTCAGGGAAAATGATAAACTATGAAAGTTTTTCAGAGGTTTTTCCAGTTCGTGTTCCCATTTGTTTTAAACCATTTTAATAAACCATAATTTTTCGGTGTTCATGGTGTTCCCATAGTGTTCCCCATTCTTCAAAACAAAAGCCATGGTAAAAACCTTCCGAAGGATGCCCATCTCGCATCGACGCACCGGAGCTCCGACGCTCTCGAAGGTGGCGGTGTTCACGATGATGAGGTTGGGTTCCTGGTCGACCCCATGGGACCCCATGGGATCCCATAGATTTGTTGAGTAGCTAAGTAATGATAAATAATATAGCTAGGTATAATAAGCCAGCACAAATGGTGATTTAATGGGATAAATGATATATTATAATATATATATATATTCATTATATATAATATTATATAATGATATTTAATGGTATGTATAGGTGATTCATCATGGCTAAGTTGGTCTATGTCACATTCAGACCTCCTATTAGGATATCAAATCGGGGCATCCTCAATATCACATTCATTGATGTTTTTTTTGATGCACATCGTGTTTTCCCAACATCACTTTCACCAACATAAAATCACCTATAAATTCCCATGTCTGGTTGCTTAAACCAGCATTTTGATAGGGTTTTTGCTGGTACCACCGGTGAAATCCCTATCGCAAGCCCTGGCTTCGGCGGCGTTTCTTAAAAAAAACACGTCCTCCTTCGATCTGGACCAGCCCATCTTTTTCACGCGAGCATCCAACTCCTGCGAGAGATGGGTTGCCCTGTTGATCATGACATTCATCGATAACCAGACAAATCGATATCCATGGTTAGATATATGGTTTTAATGGTTAATGAATATATATATATATTGTTAGTTGATATGTAAATGATATATATATATACATATACGTCGATAAATAAATCTGGGCATTTTGGGATAATTTCCCATATTAACCATGATTCCAGTGAGGGAGAACAGTGAGGTCGTGATCATTTGCCCAGATATACGTAAATGATCGTAAATGTAATCATGCAATCACTAACAATTTCAAAACAAAATATGTCTATAGCCTCTATAGCTGGGTTATACTCTTCGTGGTTCATGACTATATATTCATGGGTAATAAACTTTTTATTGCTGGTAAGAGGGTATATCTACAGTTATAACCCAAAAAACAGTTATATCTGGGATTATAATGATATATAACCTTAGTTGTAGGAGTTACAAGCCCATTCAGAACTGGTAAGGGTTATAATTGTACTGTAGCACTCCTCCAAAATAGCCACGCTTGACACATTTCCCTGTGACAAACAACATAAGTATCTAAACGATAACCATCCGAAGTTTACCCAGTAATACATGATATTGGTATTATTTCATTATCTGTTGGTTAAGTTCTCTATCATCATACTAAATAATCATATGAAGTCAAATTTAAACCAAAGGAAGTCATATTAAATCGCATTACATCATGTGAAATCATATGAATCCATATGAAATCATATCTGGTTGGTGGTATACCTACCCCTCTGAAAAATATTAGTCAGTTGAGATGATTATTCCTAATATATGGAAAAATAAAAGCCATGTTCTAAACCACCAAACAGTATTAAGCCGCATTAAATTAAATCATATGAAATCACCATTCTTCTTGGCTTTCTCCATGATCTTCCCACCTCGGCGGGGAGGTTCAGAAGCTCTGTGACTTGTTCACTCCTGCAGCGATCCGATCGTCGCGTGACGTACGGGAAGGATGGATTCGGTAACGATAAATGTCAATAGTTGTGTATATATGTGTATATATTGATCAGTAGATAATTATCAAATATGACTTTAATAACCAATTTGTTGGAACTATAACTATATAGTTTGATATCATTGGTACTATACCTAATATTAAATGATTTACTACTGTCAAATGAAACAGCACATGTCCATACCCTTAGTAGTATTCATAGTGTATCACATGAATTTGACCAACAAATATTAGTAGATACTATAACTAATTTGATATTCCATGATGGTAACATTGATGTATTAATGGTAACTTCATCTTAGATGAAATTTGTTGACTTGGTATCTATTAAATGAATTTAGATAACAATACAATACAAAACAATTAATAAGAGTGTCGGCGGCACCCATAAGTAGTACCACTACATATACATATACATATATATATATATATACATATTATATATACTATATATATTATATTATATATTAAATGTTAAATATTATATATAATATATTATAAATAATACAACTATGTATATATTATATTATATTATATTATATTTTATTATATTATATTATATTATAATATATTACAGTATATTATATATCTAATGTATTTACTTTAGTGATAACCACTAACTATAGAGCAGTAGTTATAAACACTAGATCATAACCTAACATCATTCCAATGACCTCACCTTGAGGTCATGACCAACTGGTAAACGTTTACGTAACTATGGAAAGATCCACCATTTTTAATGGGAAAACCATCGGAAAACCATGGGAAAACCATGGGAAAATGGTGATTTATATGGAAAATCACCATTTTTAATGGTTAAATCCACTATGGCCATTTTCAATAGCTATGTAACAAATGACCAGAGGGTAATTATCAAATTCATCCAGATGTTTGATTATTGATTGGTGGGTCCTGAGAGCCTCAGGATGAAGAACATTTCCCAGATTCCCAGGCCGTTTTTTTTTTGCCAATCAGCGGCCGCCTAATCGACCGATACATGTTCGAGATCACTCCCGCAATGAAATCTCGGACCTGCCAGGCATTCCAGGCATTGTAAATTTGTCATAACCCCTTAGTCTAATTGGGAATATCGCACACATAATTGAGGTATAAAATATAGTATATGGTAATATGTTAATATGGTATGTATGGTTATATCATCCACTCATAAATGGAACTGTACTCCCAAGAACCCTTTTGAAGAATCGATTAGGGGTTGGTTTCCATGTCCTAATTGTTCACATCACCCAACTATCCCCAAGCAGGACATTCTACCAACCCCTGTAGATTGGAATAGAACAAACCTGAATAAATCAGACATAATGAGACCACTGAGTGAGGATATTCTGCAATCACTATGGGTCCCATATCAGCAAAATGGGCGTGCAATCAGTGACAATAGGGACTGCATCCACCAGAATGAGGAGAATTAGCCAGAAATGAGGGAACCCATACTGATGTAAATAAGGAAAATGGATGTATACAACAAGCAAACATTGAGATCTGAACGACAAACTGGTAGGTTTGATGGATCAAAAACGGGCTTCGTCATTGCTGCGACAAAGCCGGGCTTTTGTCAAAACCCACAGGGTGCTGAGGAATGTTCCCATCAACAATCATCCCAATATCCGAAAGAGCTGTAAGCTATGAAACGAATAAAATTCAAATCTTAAGCTATATGATAGTAATTATATTATATGATACTTCATAAGACTTAATATGATATGAAACTCATATCCCAATATCTGAATTTTCATTGAAACTTAAGCTATGAAATTTATTCTCAGTGCCCTGGTCTTATCAACAATCCCAGATCAAGGGAGTCAGGTCGTAGGGAAATCAACGATACTTCAGTTGATGGCAACTTTGAGTAATGCAATGGACTGCAAACTTGGGTGCGGCTGGTAACTCAAGAATTCAAAGAATTGGAAAGCTACAAACATCCAAATGTGGGATAAATCATGTAGAATATACAAAAAAGTAACTCTAGTATTATATGTCAGTCTAGTGTCAGTGGTTGTCCCTGCGCGTTTCTTCCCAATGCTCAGGTGACAAAACCGTGATGCCGTCGGAAACACCAGCCTTGCCATTGGATTCTTGTTTGGTCACCCTCTTATGAAACATGGCAACGGATATATCGACAATTCATTATCCACTACATCGTATACAATATACATATATATATGTATCAATCAATCTATTCAATCGATTTAAGGTGTATGTGTTTCATTGTGTTTCCACGTATCGTGTGTCGTGTGACCCTCTGGCAAGATATAATCCGTAGTCCATTACATCCCAAACAACTATAATCACCCGAGAAGGTCTATGCACATAAGTTTTTTGAATATGAATTCTCAAAACAATATACGTGTTTAATTGATTCATATTGATTCACTCATGGTATATTAATATATATATATATATATACACTTATATACTATAATATATATAAGTTTATTAATATAATTAGTTGCAACATTTAACACACGACAAATGGTTAATCTCCACCACGTCGACAACGAGGTCTGAATCGTTCGGTCATCTGGGGATGGTTCTTTCTAAGCCTGCAATGTGGGGCACCCGCAGTGAAATGTTTCTTGGTTTATAAACCCAATAACTACATACCATAAGTGTCTGGTTGGTGGCTTTAACATGTTTTAACATGTTTTAGCCATCTTGAAAAATATGAGTTCGTCAGTTGGGATAATTCTTCCCAATATGTTGACGCATAAAAAAATGTTCCAAACCACCAACCATAAGTATTATTATAATCCATAACCATTAAGCCAATAACTTCACTAGAACATAGGTTTATTTAATTTTATTTAGGTATCGCCAGAAACCATAGTCATCATGAAGTTCTTGGCGCCTTCTCCTGCCAGCCCTTGGCACGCTTTAGGGCCTGCGAACGGCACATGATTCCGTTGGTGGACTACGAACCTTCAGCAAATCTACAATGTTGGCCCCCAAAATAACTGGGCTTATCACTGGGGTTTTAAGTTATTTATAACTTTATAGGTGGATTATCTACAGTGGTAAGTTGCTTATAATCTTATAAACCCAAATAACTATAGAGTTGGGTATCATGAACTTCAACCAAGCTATCACAGCCAGCGGCCCCACGTTGTAGCTCGGTTTCGGGTTTGCCACCATGTTTCTTCCATGTTTGCTGCGTTCTTGTCGGTTATAACATGTTATATCCTGATGTTTGATGCATAAATGGTGGATATGGTGGCGATATCTTCACATCGTCCCACAATATGGACCGAGATGGTTGGGTTGGTAGACACAACTAGCTAGGTTTACAGTAATACAACATCGTTTATGGACATAAACATATAAAATGTATGCGTAGACGGGTTTATAAACCAACAAACATAACTGGGGGATTGCCACATTGTAGTTCCTATCAATTTCAAGTTTTAAGAGTTTCCATGGGTTTACCGACAGATGAGATTTCAGCAGTTCTCTTGTGGATTTTGCAGTAAACGCAGCATGATGGGAGAAGATAGGCACACAGAATCAACCCAAAAAACAGGATACGTTAAATTCATACCAGACTACCAGACTTAGAATCTCCTGAAAAAATCAAGAACTACCTCTCAAGATGTTTACTTTAACAACCTAAACAAATCAGCAACCCAGGAATCCTGACTCTCTCCATGATATGATATTCCATCAACATTACCATTATCTTCTCATTTTCCAATCACCATTCTCTTCATGGCAATCATCCCATGAGATATTACCCTCTGGTAAACTAACATAACTATGGAAAATCACCATTTTCTATGGGAAAACTCACTATAAATGGCCATTTTCAATAGCTATTTTGACATAACCAGAGGGTACCATTCGTATTCTCATGACATTCCCATGACAGTCCAACTTCTCGGACTTCGCCTCGGCGGTCTCCGACTCCTTCCAGAAGGATTTGAATTTGGCCATCTCCAACTGCTGCGATAACTTGATCACCTCACCAGTCGGGGTGGCGCCCCGAAACCGACCGCGACCAGTCTGTGGTGAAAGCCCAATGGCAGAGTTGATGATATTTGGATCTTTATACATTGGGAATTAAATATCATCAACTCTGGTATAAATTGTAAACATGAAAGTTGGTATAAACCTGGAAAATAAATAATATAATAATAATAAATCTAATAGTTTAAGATGTTCAGGGTTGATGATATTCTGGTAATCTAAGCGTGAATTGTTGATTCAGAACGTAATGCCAGAGATGCCGCTCACATGGGAAAAATACTTGCTCGAGGACCCGAGGATGGCTCACAGGGCCAACGTCGTTCACCCTGGATTTTCGCTATATTCACCAAGTTCCCTGCGCGTTTCCAAAACTGGTGGGTGGTTTCAACATCTCTGAATAATATTAAATTCAGTTGGGATTACATAGTATTCCCAATATATGGAAAAATAAAAGCCATGTTGCAAGCCACCAACCAGAAAAAGTAAGACAATTTTCAGGGCATTTGTTCAAGCTTGGCTTCAGCCATGTTGGTTTCTCGAATTCGCTGGGCTTTTTCGTTGTATAAGAAGCAACACAATTCCACAGAATCCCTCCGAGGACACCCACGGTCTTCAGATCCGTATGGTACCTGAGTCGGCAGTCGGCATCCACCCAAGGGAAAATCGACAGGACTCCCTGGGTTTCCCCCACGCTGATTTTTTTGGGGCTGTCCTGCTTTTATTGGGAAACCCAGTTGTGCAACTGTTGGGAAAACTCCACCCAACTGGAGAAAAAAAAACCTGATACCCTCTGGTAAACATACAAAAAGCTATTGAAAATGGCCATAGAAATAGTGGATTTACCCATTAAACATGGTGATTTTCCATAGTTATGCAAACGTTTAAACCGTTTACCAGAGGGTAATTCATGATATATCTACCATTGAAATCCCAGTCACTTAGCCTAGTCATGCCTAGTCATAAACCCACAAAAAGCCCAGTCGTTTTTGTCGCTTTGAACCACGCTTGCTGGTTTACCCCGCTGAGCAGATCATAACCTCCAGTTCTACACGAACCAACCCTCAGAATCGGGATATACCATACTCACCAAGTAGGACGAACCACAAAGTCGTGCAATAGGCCGACTCCACCTAGTGGACATGTTCCCGAAACTTGGAAGTAAAGGCCTTGTCAATGTTAGTCAATTGAATCTATGGATGCCGACTCCGTCCTCTGTAAACAACATTGAACAACTTTCAGCCGATTGCGATGGACATATCATGTATACCATGTCAATTGCGGTTGTCATCTCGACATCTCCAAACTGTTGTGGTAGTTCACATAGTTCACATCCCGTAAGTGGTGTCATCCAGCTATAGTTGCTACATCTCTGGGATGTTCCATTTAAGATCATTTCAGCCAATCGGCCAATCCGCCAATTGTGTTTCATGCATGACAAGGAGGCCTGTGGAGGCCATGAATGTGCATCCTGCTGAAAAGAGTCAATACCGAATACCCGGATAACATGGATAACCCCCACCTCGAATCACTATGAATCACTTAGATGTGAGATGATGTTACATTATAATCTCTGTTTTTCAAAACCATATGTTTCATATGTTCGTCAAATGGAAAACACAGTTCTCCCCCCAACCGCGCCACCGAAACACCCGGTCCTCCGCCACCCAGTCCTCTCCGTCTGCCGGGGCGCTTCTCTGGGATCTGGAACATACACAGGGAGAAGTGTGTGGCTGGGTAAGCCATCAGCGCCTGGCATCCCGAAAATCGGATCATCCATCCATCCTAACGAGTTAGTGGTGGAGTTAGTGGTTCACTGGAATCATCCACAACTAGGGGACGACTTAGTAGGCTAAAAAATTAGGGTATCTAGTCGTGGATCGATCTAAGTGGGATGATCTCCATGATTTCAGCTTCCAGTTATATCCCAGTGGTTGTAATGGAACAAATAATCCACTTGGGGTTAACGCTTCACCAGATTGACATAGTGAAAATAGATCCTGAAAAATGTGCAAAGTAATCTTCCAACAGCAAACTCATGGCGGGCAGTGAAATAGTGCCCACACTCAGAAAAAAATCATAGATTGATCTTGCGGACTTGTGGACTACCAATAGATACTGGTCCGCAAGGTCTTGAGGAATATCAACATAGATCGATATGAAGCTACCCTATACTACCCGGAAATGCCACGATTCCCCTATAGCCGCCCCCAGTAGGCGGTTCAGGTTGCCCTGGTCTCCTAGTACAAACAAAGTATCCTGGTTGCATGGCTGAATCCACCCCAACAATACGTTTGAAGCCCAACCAGCACGCGGTTTCAAAACGAAACAACTGGCAAAAAAAGAAGTGACACAATTGTTCCTTGGAAAAATTATATCCAACTGCCAACCCTTCCACCAACAAGCGTTCAACATCCAACATAAAGTTCATCCATATCAATTACATGTATATCATCAAAAAAACATAATAATCCATATTTAACATATGTATATCATCAATAAACAACATAATATACCCTCTGCTTATTTAACACAGCCATGGAGAATGACCCCATTTATAGATGGTTTACCTATTAAAAATGATGATTGTCCATGGCTATGTTAAATAACCAGAAGGTATATGTGATTGAGTTTTTGGTTCTCCAGCATCTTCCAAGGCCTACCCCCCCCAAAAGGGATGCCTTCAGCAAAACGCCTTCAATGATGCTGACCTCTGTTTTTGCAGGATGCAGGAGGTACAACCTGAGGGCCACGGTGCGACCAGGGTGCGATTAGGGTGAAGGTTAAACAACGTGGATCTTACACATTTCTTAATGGGAATCATATCATGTAGAAAATTTCATGATATCCTTAATCAAGCTCAAACAACATTTTGGAAACCTTCTGTACTTGACTATGTTTTCTTTAAACAAAGTGGAGTCAACTGCAGCAAACTAATCAACATAATAGGAATAATGAATCCATCATCAAAATGAAACCATATTAGAAATTGTAATCAATCTTGGTCCCACGTAGCTGACGTTTGGGAAAGATCAGTCTGCACTGCTCATTGGACTGACTCCAGGAACATGAAAGGGTCAGTTTGCTATGATCCAATACAGTAACACCAACGAGACCACTAATATCGCTCAGCATGCTCCCAGTCATATCACCCACATACCCAAACTGCTTGTAGTGTTGTCATCCCTTCTTTGAATGACTAGTCTATGATGTTCGATTAGTGAGGTCCAAACTTGTATAAACTAACTTTCCACGTCCTGTGGCTTGCAGGGCCGAACATATCTTTACACGACTGGCGCCAGGCCTGGAGGTCTGGTCCAAGTTGATTGGTCCAAGTTCACCAGCGCTTTCCAAGTTCGCAACGATTCACACAATTTTCAAAAACACGATTTACTACCGGAAATGCTCCGTGTATGGTATATAATTGGTATATAATTGGTATTATTGAGATACATTTGGGGTGATTTCTTGGGAACATGTTGCTAAATCTTCCAGCTGCATGTCGCAGGGAAAATCAGCGCCAACCATCATCTGGCCTTAGGTCGCCTGAAGCATGGCTTCACTTCGACATCCAAAAACGAAACGAAACTGAGCTTAAAAGAAAACATCATTAAAATTTGATCAATGGCCATTGCAGGTACCTCAAAATTGCGATCTACAGGATCTACCATTAATATAAGATAATATAAGCCAATTTTCTGTGTGGCCCAAGGGAATATATATCCCAATTTGGACATTTTTGGCAGGTCTCAGCAGGGCTGGACCGGACCTCCCTCGGACCTGTCCCCAGGTTCCATCAGGTTCCCGGGCTTCAGAAGTGCCAAGTTGGCCTCCGGGTCGAAGAAGTCTTGCTCCAACTGGTCCTCTGAAATCCCAAAAAATCAGAGCAGAAGCTTTTTGGAACTCTAGGAACTGCTTAGTTCAGTGGGGTTATAACATATAAAACTCTTATTTTTTTGAGTGGAATATAAGATGATCCTCCAAGTACAGACTCAAAAGAACTGACATGTCAGATACCGAGTACCAAAGAGTGCTTGCTAAAAATATGGTTCTGAAGAATCTACAAAGAATACCCATCCAGTCATAAATGTGTGCTGGTTTACGTTCATCCAACTGTGGATCTAGCTTGTCAACCAACTTAGCTAGGGGCCCCTCTTTTACATGTTCCATTGCTGATTAATTGCCAAAGGTTACTTGCCGACTGGGCATAACTTGTGTAACAATTCTAGCAAATCCTACGTCCGTGGCCAACGATGGCAATAGAGGAAAATTGACTTTCCCGGTGGCTCACATGGGTAAGTTGGTATATAACCCCATCTAATTATTGATATAATATATCGCATCATATCGCACATAAACCCCAAACAGTACTTGAAGCTATTGACACCAACTCAGATAAGTATGGGTCTCCAATCACATGGCTAACTAGATTCTGGGCTATCTCCTCATGATACCCCCATTTTTGCTCCCCATTTTTGTAGCAACCCTCCGTCCGTTCTCTGCTGGCCGTCCTCTAAGTGTTTCTCGAGATCCGGAATGATGTCGTGCTTGTATCGGCCACCACCCCTGCACCAGGATCACCTCTAAATAGCATACCCTCCGGCAAAGGTGGCGGAAAAACCACCATTTCAGTAGATAATTTTCCCAAACCTTCCATTGAGTTCGCGGATTTCTCATTGCCGCATTTGACTGCAGGAGGGTATATTGAACAAATGCAGCTTTAAGATTTCCAAAACAAATTACAGAGAAGGGCGTTTACCTTTTATGTGGTAATCAGCGCATTATTCTACCCTGGGAGTTTTACAACTTTAATTTGGTATTTCTGCATGGCCAATCTTCGATACACAAATTATCTTTCGCCAGTTGGTCAGTACTGAAACCTTGGCAAACCTATGACTGCTTAGTGATTTTAACTTATCCTATCCATCCCAAGTAACGCTTTTTCACAAAATAAGGTAAATAGTTGAAACCAACCATACACTGTCATACACTATTTATATCTGGTTGGTGGTTTCAACCCCTCTGAAAAATGATGGAGTTCGTAAGTTGGGATGATGAAATTCCAATATATGGAAAAATAAAAAAACTGTATAGAAATGTTTGAAACCACCAACCAGATATTAGTATAACTCTACCTATGCTTTCCTCATCATTTCGAGGTCTTCAAGAGAAAATCGGCACCAGAATTCCAGGCGCCTCAACAACTTGGCGATCTCCGGACGGCTCCTAGGAGACGTCTCATGGGAAAAGCATAGGAAAACCATACGACTGGTGGTGAACTAGCCAGGGGATGGTTTTTGTGGGTTTTTGTGGGTTAGTTCACCCCAGTTGTTTGAGTGGATTAACCCTACAAAAATCACATAAAAAGAACCAGGGATATAACCTACTTAGTGGGATGAGCCACCAAGTAGCCTCCAGGAAATTTTTGGAAAATCGATGGAATAGCTATATGGAAAATGGATAAAACATGGGACATAATTCTCTATTAAACTAACAGTGGCGAAATGTGACATGGACACAAATGGTTCGTTTATACATTATTTACCAAATTTGAATATGGTGAATTCCATGGAAAAACTGTAAGATTGCCAGAGGGTATATCACACATATCAAATTTGTACTATATCAATGGGAGAACATAAAGACACAATAATAATGCATTCATTTTCTCCATTTACCAATCCACTCAACAATGGTTCGAAGCTACTTTCAAGGATTCCTTTCCACTAAACAGTGGCTATTTTCAGGGTCTATATTTTCCGACTATCTTCATCTATCTTCCAAATGAGGGATTTTGACACCGGAAACGAATAAACAACTGGGATTGATAATCTAGATTGGAAAATCATTACATTCATTATATAGTGGTTTCCTGCAGGGGTACCCCCAGTTATCATCCAAGTCATTGGACCACTTTCGTATTGAAAGCTACGGCTATCCCGGCTATCCCGGCTATCCCAACCAGGATGGAACTGATGGAACTCCCCAGAAACTATGCCCTATGGATCCAGCCATACCTTTTTTCTTAGGAAGCTGGGGGGTCGAGGCCGTACCTTAGGAAGGAGGTCTTGTAAATTCCGGGATGGTGGGATGGTCAGTAAGGTGATGGGATTATCCAACTCAACCTTTTTGTCATGAGATCATGATCATGATATTAATCGTGATTATATAGTTATATGATGTTATATGACACCCATGAAAAAACCACGATTAGCCAATGTGAAAACAATTGCTAACCATGATTTTATGAAAACCACTATGAAAACCACAAAACATATTGGATTCTGGCTTCAAAGGACCATTGTTGAGCCTGTTTAAGGCCCGTCCCCAGTCATTTGCCACCGGAACCGGCACACCAAGTGCAGTCGAAGCGGCATGGCGAAACAAGGCCTTGGTAGCCAATTAGTAGGACAGCAGGATATTTTATCTTTTGTTGCAATTATGTTCATTTTATTGTATATATAACTAACCATATGTATATATATATATATACATGATTATACATGTATACACCCAACAGTTCATGGAATTAGAGAAATATTAAAACTAAACATACTCATAGAATCTCTGGCAGATTCTCGTTTCATAGTGGTTTGTACAGACTCAGACTCACCGCGTTGCAGAAATTACCCATCAATTCTGGCCAATCATTAGCCAAATACGTGCTTTCATAAAGTGGTACCCCCAAATCATCCAAGTTATACAATAATATTGAATTAATATTGAAACAACCATGAGTAAATTATCGAATATTATCGATATGCTCATGTTGGAAAATACATGAACATACCCTAATTGGTTCATTCTTTTGGTAACCAAACACAATTTCTGATAGCTTAAATCCAATAACTTATTGGTAAACTCACAATTTTTGTTGATAACATGACTCTTTACTCAGGTACGTCCGCCCTCCCGGTGTCACCCGTCGGATGTCAGGATGTCAAGACATCTGGGCAGCTGACGCCGTCTTTTCGGCGGGCACGCCGACAAAATTGGCTGACGGTACTGGAGCCCAAATCACAGCAGGTCGTGAAACCTACCAATAAGCGGCTGACGCTTATTATCTTCATGAGGTTTTAAAAGTGACTGATCCCATATGCGAACCATGGTGCTGGTATATTTACCATTATTTACCTACATTTGGGTCATTGATGGGGTAAATGTTGGTAAATATTCCAGCACCATGGAGCATATGGGGATGATAGATTTCTGTTGGTAAAGACCCATTCACGTGGTGTGTAGATGTTTCTGGCCCCCTAACGATAGCGTTCAGTTGGTGCAACTGCAATAACGTGGCTCAGGGTCACCATCACCAAACTCATAAGTGGCGGACCCCACCTACCAGCATGGCTGACACCTCATAAAGTCTTTGGTCGGTTCCTAAAGGGTTGTAAACTACTGATCATGGTATTGCCTACTTAGCCTATATCTGAGATATTTCGCAACATCTACCTCAAGAATGGCACAATGTAGTGGTATGCAAATGTACCCACTGCCAGGAAGTATATCTTAGAGGCCCCTCCTTTAACCAAAGTGTGTGTTAAACAAGATGTTTGTTCAAGCATTTTCAAAGGGTGATTTGAAGGTCCACCTTGATATGTTGGTAAACTAACTATTAGTCCCAATTGCACTATATAGATTACTGTATACTAGAGGCACATGTTGGATTATTGTTTGTTTACTGTGTTGTTGTTGTGGTTGTGGTTGTGGTTGTGGTTGTGGTTGTGGTTCTGGTTGTGGTTGTGTTTGTTGTTGTGGATGTTGTTGTTGCTGTTGTTGTTGTTGCTGCTGTTGTTGTTGTTGGTGTTGGTGTTGTTGTTGTTGTTGCTGTTGCTGTTGCTGTTGCTGCTGTTGTTGTTGTTGTTGGTTGTTGTTGTTGGTTGTTGTTGTTGTTGGTGTTGTTGTTGTTGTTGTTGTTGTTGTTGTTTTTGTTGTTGTTGTTGGTTGTTGGTTGTTGTTGTTGTTGTCGTTGTGGTTGTTGTGGTTGTTGTTGTTGTTGTTGTTGTTGTTGTTGTTGTTGTTGTTGTTGTTGTTGTTGTTGTTGTTGTTGTTGTTGTTGTTGTTGTTTTTAAGGCTGCAGTACCATTTCTATAGGTAGTTGCCGTACATCCCAACTGCTGGTTGAGGGAACCATCGCAGTATACAAGTCAAGTGCTCTTGTTCTGCCAAGTAGTATGGAAAACTACAAAAATACCTTCAGCTAACCTATACCGCAAGAATAGGTACACCTAATGATATTAGTTACGAAAATCATGAAGAGTAAACGGAGTAAATACCATTTATACCCATCTAATCCCATTTATATGGATGCTTCCAATCCATGGGGCTACCCCTAAATCATCCATTTTAGATTTGGATTTTCCATAAACCAACGGGCGAGGGATCCCCCATAGGGAACCCCCCATGGGGAAAGGCTTCGGGGCGACCCTGTGGCTGGTACCGGTCGCCATTGGTGATCTTCAGGACAAAATATCCTCAGCTCAAGCGGCTTACCACAATGTGGGGCCCCCAAACGTTATAAATTGGTTTATAACCACCATTAAGTATGGATATATCTACAATAAATCACAGTTATTGAAGTTATTGGCACCAACTTAGCTAACGAACTGGGGCACCACATTGCAGGTGGTTTGCTTTTCAGTCCTGCGAAAATGGATGGGGCCCCCCGGAAACGAGCGATAAACGCTCGCGTTTCTCGCGTTCAGTTGAGATATGGCTGTGGCTGAATGAGATATGGTTTATGGTAGATATAACGAACTAGATAACTATACTTTGGATATTTAACATAGCCATGGAAAATCATCATTTTTAATAGGTAAACCATCTATTTCTATGGGCCATTTTCCATGGCTATGTTAAATAACGAGAGGGTCTACTTAATGGGGGTTATAAACCAACTTATAACTGGGGATCCCCTCATGTAGATCAATGGCCAACGGGAACCGATTTATTGGAGGTACCTACCATATATTTCAGGCTTATATATAAGGCCTATGTTTCAGGGAATACCCCACAATATATGGTCTTATATGGTACAGTACCTCCATTTTAGGATCCTGGAAACTAGAAGTCCCAATTCTTCAGCAAGAAATGATAAATCATCTACTTGGTCACCAAGGCTTGTGGTAAACCTAAGAATAAACTACTTCAAAAGTCATTACTTTGTATATAGAAAAAAACGATTCCCTAATGGTAGGCCTACTGTTGGTTTCCTGCATGAATCCAAACACATGGCTATATAATGGCTATAAATCTATCCATAAACAAAGTTTTGGAGTGTAGCCTCTGACAAAATACTTCATCTGCATACAGTTTGGATCCGAAATAGTGGTATATTCTCCAAAATCCCATAAATCCGATCATGATCATGGTTTATCAGTATGTTGTGCATTAAGATTGCCACACATGGGGGTGACTTACCAAAATGGGCAGAATGGGGATCGATGATTGATGACAAATAAGTTGTTTTACATCTCTATATATAACTGTCTTCACACTCAATCAGCAAACAGAACGTGGGGGTGGTAAGATTATGCACACTCCTTTTCATGTCAACAAAAAATACACATTTGCTGTAGTATATTATATCTAATATATATATATATTAAAAAAGGATACTGTATGTACTGTAAGCACTTTAGATTCCCCAAATTTTTGGGAAGTGCTTGGGGAAAGGGCAAATAAGAGGAACATGTTCGACACCATCTTCAAACAACAGTACAGTCATGTTTCATAATCACAATCTTTAAATATCATGCTAATGACGGCCAAATATAACATTATCAATCCAAGATATCGTGATTATATTCAGGATGGCAAAAGAGACGACAACATAGGAACAATTGTAGTCATGATCATTGTATATCAATATTCATCAGTACCTCTCATATAATAATCTATAATGATCCCTTCCCCCCTTGTCAAATAGCACCCAGCCGCGAATTTCCTATGGTGACATGCATTGGATCGCATGACTGTCAAGTGGCTACTCGAGTCAACCACTCTTTCCACCTGCCACGGATGCAAGTGGTCGGGATCGCGACAGCGACTAGACGGCAGAGTCGCAAAGACTCGGGTTGTTCAAAAATGGGGCACCACTCGGTTGTACACAGCGTCTTTTCCTAGTTGACAAATACGCACGTTTCGGGTATATTGTATATAATATATTATATATATGTATATATGTTCAGACACACACACAATGCACCCACATCCAATTGATTTGCCATTGTGTCCCCACAGTTCATGAACTACTCAACTACAATAGTCATGTCTGTGTATGTGCCTGACAAACCCACACGAAACACCGTCAAAAACCTGTGAGATAAGTCAGATAAGCTGAACAACAACAGTTCAAACATTTTGCACTTGAGATTTTGACTCTCGCCCTGAGGTGATATTGCAGGAAAATTTCAGATAATCAGTATTGCTTGTTGACATGATCATGACTATCTTGTTGCCCCCAAATTGCTCAACACGGTCAGTTTTGGGAGTGTAAGGAGCTGCAATGGTCACCCTTTTGGTTAGTAAAAGTCTCAACTGTCGTAGGTTGAAATAGTTTTCTCAGCCTCAACCATCAAACCCTGCTCCCAAGTTCCCCGGTCCAAAACATGCCACAGCTGGGCGTAACTGTTGTAGTCCCCACCAGGTATGGCGCATTGAGCGAACAGGTTCCTTGCAGGGCCAATAAAACAGCCCTGGAACAAACAAGTTCTGTTTCTTCAGGCTCTTTGGGTGCTGGAGTTAAGTCACCACCATTTGCAAAAAATCACAACCACCCCATGTGTGTGTTTACATGCGATTAGCTTACAAGGGTCACCCCCATTGTAAAATAAGTCACCCTGAAAACATGACATCTGCTTGGGGACCATGTAGTGAATCCCACGGGATTTGCCTCAGGGAACTTAAAAAAAACACTATCCCTATTCCAAGTGCAACGGTAAAAACAACATCTTCAGCAAGTCGTAAAGTTGCTGCACAAACAAGGACAGTGGGGATAGGGCTAACCCAGAATCAAGGCTTTGCTTGGTTGGTTGGTGGTGGTCAAGCCATCCCAAAAACCGCCAGTGCAGCTACCTGGCTGTCTGAGGCAGGCTGTCTGAGGCTGGCCTATGCTGTTATGTCTTGTGTGCACCTGCCAAACACATATCTGGATTTGCCCCAGTCGTCGCGGTCAACGTGGTAGAAATGTGTTATGAAAAATCATTGCTGCATGGCTTCCAGCACCAGAAACAAATTTTAGAAACAGGTTGTACCTTGAGATGGCCGGGTCACCGAGCTTAAGACAGGCGTTCATAGCTCTAGTTGTGCTTGTATCGTATACATATATATATATATTATATGAACAAATTGGATGGATCACATACCAGCTGACACAACTTCATGTTTACTGGACAATACGATGCGATTTATGGCTGAGGATTTCTTACTTATTAGTCATGTGCACGGCAACCCCTGTTAATACACGAACTCTCAATTGATTTCTTTGACTCATCTGATTTCCATCCGAAACAACATCAATTCAAGTCTATCACAAGAAAATCAAAAACATATGTGTTATATAAATACTCTTGCATAATGTACAATGACACTCAATATATATATATAACATATTCATAAATCTTACATTATATTATATTCATCATTATTTATATGTACACAATTCTACACAATTCTACACAAACACACACTAGAACTATAAGCCCTTCGTTTCAAGCCAGCTCCCTCCGGGGGCCCAGACCCGCCGCCCTCAAGGAGTTTAATGGAGAGATCTTTGCCCTTCCCAGCGATCCTGGTGGAAATGGATCTGTGTTACCCTCTGGTAATGACTAACGTAGCTATGGAAAATCAATGAAATCACCATGTTTTAATGGGAAAATCAACGAACTTTTTATGGCCATGTTCAAAGTCGCAAAGTGTTTGTTTACCAGAGGGTAACATAAGATGGTGAATCAATGGTGAATGAATGGTGATTTATAGGGATATAAATGGGATTGACCAATAGTAATGTCATAATGTAACAGTTCGCTATTGAAGCCATGGCCCATTTGGTTAGTTGATTTACCGAACTACAAAATGGTGATTTTTCATAGCGAACTGTTAGTTTACCAGAGGGTAATTCATGTTAAGTCCATCAGTTGATTTTTGAGATGTTTGGGAGAATAGTTTTTGTATTTTGACCATATCCATGCATTTACCACAAGAAATAGGGTTTGATTTGGTGTAGCATTCTTTTTTTGGGAGCTATATGTTTCATGGATTTTCATGGAATATCCACGGTGCCAGAAATAAACATAGAAGATACACAAGAATAAAGGATACGAGTACCTTGTCCTATTCTGAAAATGTGTGGAGAATAAGCTGGAAGGATTGATCAAGGGCAGAATCCCTATGAAAACCGTGTTGAAGAAACAGTTTGTCAAGTCCAATGGGGATATGTTTTTCTGTATCCACGAATATTGGTTTGGATAGAAAGTTAGTAGGTGGAGACAGGTGGTGTGCAACCTATGTTTCTTGACAGCTGAAAGATGCAGTTAGAATATGTCCAAGTAAACATGTCTCATTGACACGACTCAAGAATCCCATTCAAAAAGTCTCATCATTTTCCAACTCAATTCAATCTACCTTGATCCTCAGGACGATGAGCTACTCGTCAACATGAAATAAAGCCAGTGCAATTCATTAAACATCAATGCCTACTGCTTGGTGCATCTCCCGGTATATGATAAGTCATAAACCCAGTCATATCAGGACCAACCCTGCGTGTCCGACAAGGGATGAACTGGGGAGAACTAGCCAACTTATTTACCGCAGTGCAATTCGATCTGTGAATGAACAATCAGCCACTTAGTTCGATGATTATTCTATAATGTCCCACAGAAAGGCCCCCCCCAATGGGTAATTAAGTTAGATTCGAAGAAGGCTAACTGGGATTTATGGTGGATATATTAACAATGGTCTTGGGCTATAAACCAACTTACAACTAGATGGCCCCTTCCTGATGTCAAATTTTCAGCGTCAATCCCGGAGTTGCCATTTTTTGTGTCCCAAAATTTATCCCCATCAAGTCCCAGCCGCTGATCATATCACCATGTTCCTAGTGAATACCCTCTGGTAAACTAACATAACTATGGAAAATCACCATTTTTCATGGGAAAATCCACTATAAATGGTGATTTACCATAGTTATGTTAGTTTTCCAGAGGGTAATCCCTATGAATATGAATCACAATTGTCCAAATACTTCGCGCAAATAATTGATTGTCTATGATTGTCTCGTTTATTAAGTGATTTTTTGGACAATCACGAGACCACGGAGATAAAATCATCCATAAAAAAAATGACTATCATGTTATTTATACCAATGATATCACCGAAGACTCTCCCGGCTATCCGACTCCACCTGAGCCGCCCTCGCCAAATGCATTTCCTCGGTCGAAGACGGGGCATGGCGCATGGCATTGGCGTTATCTGGCTGAATAACCTGGAGTACCTTCAGACAAGCATTATCACGTTATTGAAATTGTTGTTTATTTCTCAACAAAATCGCAATTTAACACTATTTTACAGTTATATAATACTGCAGTAGTAATGATGATCATTGATCATAGTAGAAACGGGTATTTCCTGACAAACAGAGGTGCCCACAGAAGATGACAAACTTAGCATGTCTTAGTATTGCAACAACCATAGGGGTTAGCATAGATCCCCCAATTTAAGAAAGAGTTTCTGTTCGGATAGTCCTGCGCACACACTCTACTCTGGGAAGTTAGCCCTACAAAACCATTTGCTAACTTAAAGATGGGTGTTTCACTACAAAACCATGGGTTGAGCTGCTAAAATATTCCCATAATTGTGCAGTTCAATCTTCCATAATCTCCCAAATTGATGGTTCAACATACTGTAGATATTATTCCAAAGATCTTAATCTTAAACAAGTCCGTGAGTCCGTGAGTCACGCGCTGCATGCATCTGCAAATAGCCGTTGTTCACAAAACAAAACATCTTGCAATGATGTGCCAATCGTTAGCACTGTCATTTTCGGACGCAAGCAGTTGAAAACATGTTTTAATGAATGCTCGCCGATGTCATCAAAAATGACTGGCTGGGAAATCCACTAAAAAAAATATCAGGAAAGTCGGGAAATCATCATGGAGCACAATGTTTTTTTTCAGCAATCCATGTTTTATTACCAGAAGGTAATTTAATGATTGCAGCATGATATTCCTTGCAACAACTCAGAAACAATTGAGGGAAACTGCGGTTGGATCTGAATCATGGGTGACCAAATCCAATGTTTTTGTGAGACACAATCACAATTGATGACCGCAGTTGAACAAACTTGCCTATCATTGTTTCGTTGAATCATGTTGAATCCACATGTTTGTTGAGGCGTTTGATCCCATTTGTGGTTAGTCATATGGATTTGTCTGCAAATAGGGTTTCCCAAAAATCCACTTGTTTATCAATATTTCTCATAATTTCCTCTGTGAACGTGTAATTTTTGGGGTGCCCTCTGGTAATTTAACATAGCTATTGAAAATCACCATGTTTAAAAGGTAAATAGTTAAATTACCAGAGGGTATACCCCATGTTCAGACACACCATAGGCTCATAGGTATTAAGCTGGTTAGTTGCATCCCATGAAATATCCCACTAGTTATCACATGGACGGTCCCCCAGTTACCACATTTGTTTCTGATGTTTTTCACATACCTAAATGTCTTGCTACTTAAATCCAACATCAAATCCCCATCAAATTACCATAGAAATTCTAGCTCTATCCCCATGATTTCCAGTGATATTCCCTTTATTTCTACGGGAACTTGTATTTCAAAAACGACCTCCTGGGCCGGTCTGGCCCGCCCAAAAATATTTAAATGTCACCGTTTTCTTTACTCAGGATATACTAATGGGTTATTAATACCCCCTATATAACCCAAATTCCAATGGGAAAGCTTCAGCTTCACTATCTGGTTGGTGGTTTTAACCATCTTTAAAAATGATGGAGTTCGTCAATGGGTTTCGGATGACATCCCATATATGAAATGGAACATCATCCAGTCATGTTTGAAACCACCAACCAGATATAAATATTTGTTCCAATTATTAACCATTATTAACCATAAATTAACCATTATTAACCATATGAAATGGAAAATAAAAGTCATGTTAAAACCACCAACCAGCTATGGTATATAGGGGATATCTCTCCCCAGGATTCCCATCGGAGTCGAGCGGCTTCCAGTCGTCCGCCTTGTGTCCCGTGGAGGACGAGGCCGGTGGGATCTGATAAACCTCGGTGGATCCAGGACTGGGGCAGATCGTTTCTAAGTAATATGTATATATATATATAACACATATAACATATATAACATATGTATATATATATGTAAATATATTTTAATATATATATATAGTTTTACGTGTATATATATATACACCGTATGGAGTATATGAATCAAATAGATACATGTTGTTTGTACAATATGTTTCTAAATAAGATACCCAAGATAGCGTTCAGTTGAGATATGGCTGTGGCTGAATTCTATGGTTTATGGTTTATGATAGATATAAGGAACTAGTTCATGGGGATTATATATAAATATATTATATAAAGCAACAAACATCACTGGGGGGCACCATCCTGTATCTATTTGGTGGCTCATTCCACTTAGATTATATCCCACATATAACTAGGTTTATAACCTACAAAGTGGGATGAGCCATCAAGTGTGTAATATATCTATTTATATGTCTATCCTTTTAGGATCTGATTATAATATGTATATCTTTATTTGTAGATATGATATCCTCATATATAGGTAGATATATCTATTTGATTTTATTTGTTTCTTAAACTCGTATCTATCTACTCTATCCACCCATATCCATCAAAAATCATCAAAACTGTTTTATCCTATCCAAGCCCCATCCATTCAGCATTCAAGATATTCAAGTAAAGATGCACCAACATGGCACCAACATCACCGTCTCCTCTCCGTCTCCGACTCTTTTCTGAGTCATCCGACCAGCACCTCGCGCTTGTTCAAAAGCGTGTACTCGAGGTCATCGTCTCAGCATGGGATGCCGAGAAAGACGAGGATTGAAAAAGGACTATGTTAGCTATGTTTGTTTATAACTATGGCTAGGGCCCGGCTAGGGATCATAGTTAATTTTCAACTAGCTAAGGGGGGTATAATATGTTTTAAACATGTGTAAACCATAAACCAACAAAAACATAAATGGGGGCAAACCATCTTGTCGAAAAAAACAGAGGAGATCCACAATAAACATCAATAAACTAAATACGATGGAAAACCATCATGGACCATAGAACCAACATGTTACAACTAGCCATGGGGATAAATAGTGACATAATGTGGGATCGACAGTGCCATCATCGCAAAAAGGGATAGGATCAATGTGGATCCAACAGTGATATCGAACCCATTGACCAAAATGATCAAGGTGGTGATTCATATAGTTAGCTAAGTTGGTTTATAACTTTATAAATAGGTTATATAATTAAGTAACACAACTGTGGTTGGGTTCTTTAAGCAGCAAAACATTTCACTGGAGGGGGCAGGAACTTGGTGGCTGGGAAAACCATCGAACTAAATGGCATTAAATGGCTATACATCTGGATAAATTGTAATAATTCACTCACCTGAATAGTTCGGCCATATTGGGATGATTCCTGTTATTAACCATGATTTAAATGGCTATACATCTATGAATTCAAGTTGCTTTAAGACCCCTTGTGGAAGTGTTCGACCTCTTGCGCAACGTCCTTTTGGGGGGAACCTCAAGAGGGTTGTGTCAAATGTGGCGATAGCTTAAAATGTGTGATTGTGATGCCGAATTGCAGGGAAATGAACATAAACTTCTTCCTTAGTGTCATGTCTGTAGCCACAGGGTCTGATCGGGTTTTTACCACCAGTCAGTACGTGAGCAAATGAAATATACCTCTTAAGTATGGAGGGGTGCTGGGTGTGGCCTATGACTTCAACATAGCGCCCGATGAGCAATTTCAGTACCAGGTTTCAAGCGATTTTGTAAAAACACAATATGGGACAGGGATTACTAGCTACCCTCTGGTAATCAAACCTCACTTACTCGCACATCCCGCATTGATTGATTGTTTTTGCGGCTTAAAACCCCATTAAAACATCGGATGTTCAATTGCCACCTCTGATGTACTAGAGCGTATCTTCTGGTACACTAACAGTTTGCGATTGCAAATGGCCCATTTAGTTCGATGATTTACCCATTACAAATGATGATTTTCCATTGTTTTTTTGTATGTTTACCAGAGTGTTTTTTGGGGACCACCCCAGCAGCAGAACCAATGGACACTCAGGTGCGGACCATCCATCCTCTCTCAGCGTCCTTTTTTTGGACCGGGGACGGTGACCTTTTTTGGGAGCTGAAGATTTCGACATACCCTCTGGTAAACTAACATATCCATGGAAAATCACAATTTTGTATGGGTAAATCAACTATAAATGGCCATGTTCAATAGCTATGTTAAATTACCAGAGGGTACTTGCTGGGTCTCAGCAAATGAGCAAAGTGAAAGAAACCTTCTGTCATCCTAAAGGCTACTGGTTGATTCGCATTGAATTTGTTGGTTCCCATCTTGGATCATGATCATCAAATAATGTTTCAATCCCCTGGAAAAAACAAAAACAAACTACGAGGGTTTTGTGCTCCATTGTTAACTAAGTTGCTGTGTAACCAGCTTGTATAACTAGGGTTGATGATGATTACAACCGTGCTTGGATGGTAGTCACTGAAAACTATGTCTCATGACTCATATCCCCTGACCTATAAACAAGGACTTTTCGGCCGACCTGAGGTCCGGCATCTATAGTATGATTACCTATAAACATCTAGATAATTTGCCACACATGGGAAAAAACACACGGGAAAAGGATATACTAGATTCATCTAGATTCTGTATATATTATATATATATGGCATATCTAATTCCCGAACAAACGAGTTGATCTGTGTGGTTTGATATCTGGACAAATATCCAAACCTGATTGTTTGGTCCATTTTCGGATAGTTCTCCCAAGGTTGACGAGCATTTATAGTCATGAGGTCGCCTTCAAATCATGCCAATCAAAGTGGGTAGGAATACCAAAAATTAAGCTGTACTATAAGCATCTATAGGCATCTATAGGTTGCAGTATATTATGTATTTAAAAGGTCTACACTGATCTACAACAATGGGTCTCGATCCCACAAAAAAAACAAACAAAGAAGCAACGGGCCATGAAAAAGTCACAACTTGTTCCTGGCATGAAAGGACAAATAGTGAGGATTCACCAACCAAAAAGGATAATAACTCCTATATAACTAAGGTTAAATATCATTATACTCCCAGTTATAACTGTTAAGGGCTATAACTGTAAGGCAATTCCATGGTGCTTCCCCCGTCCATTCTGCCTTCCCAATCCTGCCAAGAAACGACTGCGCAACCAACCGTTCGGCTTGGGCCGGAAACTTGAGCCAAGATAAGCACCACAGCTGGAGATTCACCAGAGATACAAGTTGAGGCCCCCGTTTACGAAATCGATAAGTTGCTGACCAAGAACTCAAAAGACTATATATGGGAAATATTTCCTGATAGTTATATCCATACTTAATGGGGTTCATATACCAACTTGTGTATATATCTATATATATACCAACTTAAAAAGGGGGGCATCACCTTCGAATAGTTGGCTTATAACCACATTGAATTGGACAGTACAGTAAAATCGGTAAGTAGAGTTCGTCCACTCATAATTAATTGCGGTTATAGTTTATGACCCATGCACTTACTGGGGTGAACCACCAAGTATGTAGGTTCTTCAAATTACCATAAAGGTTTGTATCAAAATGGGAAAGCTCATTTCCACTGGTGAATCATCATTGTCCCTATGAATAAAGCCATGGTATTTAATACGGGTGCACCACATTTTCAGACACCCATATGTTACCTCCAAATCGATGGAAAGTAGCATTTGGACTCTCAAGTTGGTATGTTACGGTTGCCTTACTTACGGCAAATTATATATACTGTACCTATCTCTGAAATAAGCTCTTATGTCTGAAATTAATCGAAAGACACCAACACTTAAAGCTTTGTTGGTCATAATTTTTTGTTTCTCATGAAAAATGCAGTGTTCATCGATTCATCTATATTTTGGGATAATTATACACTATCATATACTCTGGGTAAATTATACTTTTTAATATTTTTTCACTAACCTAAATCTTGCGGCCTTGGGGATGATTTCCCTCAACATCCCTTAACCATTCCTGAACCCAGATATACTCCATGTTCAGATCCGGCACTATCGGTCCCTGCGCCACCTTGACGCAAAGCCCAGCAAGTGAAGCCCAGGATCAAAAGAAGAAGCGCGGAGGGCGTGAACTCGGCAGTCTGGAAGAATCTTTGGATTCCAATGATACCGTTATGGCCCAAAAAACAGTGGGAGTATGTCATGACATATAACCAACTAGTTATAGGAGTTATAATCCTAGTTATATTTTTTTGGGGGGGCATAACTGTAGTATTCTAATTATGAAAACAATAATGATATTGATCATAAATATAAAAACTCTGAGAATAAAGGCAAAAAGAGTCCCCCAAATGATAGGTAAGTTGGCTTCCGACTGGGGCAACGATTGGTTTTATGGGGCATATAAAAAATAGGAACAATAAAGATCCTAATATTCTGTAGTTATATGTATACAGATATATATATATATACTATATATATATATGGATATATCGACAGAAAAATGGATGGAAAGATTGATATATGGAGAGATAGATAGCTCGATAGCATTCGATAGACTCATGGTTTTTGGGGGCATCTTGTGGGAGTACAACAGGAAACGATGCCTGCCGTGTCGCCAAAAAAAACAGAAAGGGGTGTCCTGTAGATCTTCCCGGCCAAGTCTGGAACTTGTAACTGGATCTAACTAGTTGGTGGTTGAGCCTACCCCTCTGAAAAATGATGGACGAATCGTCAGTTGGGATCATGACATTCCCAAGTGAATGGAAAGTCATAAAATTCCATGGTTCCAAAACACCAACCAGTTTTTGAACTTGTAAACATGATGAAACATAGAAATTGTAGGGCATGATTCCACCTGTAATCTTTCAGTATCATTCTCAAGGCCCGAAAAAAGACCTGGACTAGTCGTTGAGCTACCCATCCCGTGCCTGAAACAAAGTAGAACAATGGGGAGATCATGGGGCATCAATCAGAGTTTCACCCACTGATAACTCAACCTGCGTGCCAAAGAATCATAAAGAATTCTCATGGAACAATGCTCGTCCGATATATATATGTTCCCGTAAGAGGTGATGTTTGTAGCCGGGCGAAGAAATAATCAGATGGGAAGCGCATACAGGGGGTCGAGCGAGTCCTGCCGAAGTTGAGATTGTTCACTGACGCCAACGCGTTTCCCTTCGGAGATGCTATAGTCTTTCGTGTCATCTGCAATGAAGTCACCATGGCACAATTGCGCTTGTTTGGGCGACGATGTCAGTAGTGAGTTGCTTTTGGCATTTTAAGGTTTCTGCTATAAGATACTACATCGTAATGCTTCGGTGAAACGCTATGTCTTGCTGCACTCGCCATAAGATTTGGGTAGGAACTGTTTTGTGTTTCTCGGTTCTCGCCGCGAATGTTTCATCGATGAGGTCTTGCAAGTTGAAGCAGCTATCCGAGGCAATGGCTCTGGCAAAAAGTATTGATTGGCCTCTATATAGACTGGTTGGTGGTTTCAATCCCTCTGAAAAATATGAGTTCGTCAGTTGGGATGATTATTCCCAATGGAAAGTCATAAAATTCATGTTCCAAACCACCAACCAGTAGAGAGAATTGCGCCGTGCTGTGTCCACCCTGTCCGGCTGATCGGCATTTCATCCACCCGCAGTGGCACCATATCATGGCCGACTCCGTTCCGGTGTCGAAGTAGACACATGGAAACCCCAAATCCAATGGTGCATCATGATTTTCCCAATTCAATGGCCATTTGCAGTATATACAGTATGTACCGTTATCTACCCAGTTTTCAGACACATGTTTTGACTATTTTGTTGAAATCACTGGAAAAATCTACCAGGCTTCTCTCTCGGTGGGCTCCCGACACTTTGATTTCAATATTGTCAATGGAATATTGTCAATGGAATATCGTGCAAATTCAACTAAGTAATGCTAGTGTCCCATTAAAGACTCTAGCAATCTAGGAAAAAACAACAAACATATGAATGTTCCATTATTGTTCCTCTTAAACAAATTATGTCAGCAAAGTCATGACTCTTTACCAGTTAGAAGTCAGTTCTGATCCCATGTATGGTTCAGGATGAGCCCATAACCATTTATAAAGTCAGAAAGTCACCCCATAAAAATGGATTGATACTTATGGTTCATGATAAACCTATTCATAACCATACAAATAATAGAAAAACATGGTTTTCTAGGGCTTTAACTGCCATGGCAGGTTGGAATGCCACCGATACTCATAGATTTTCACTTCCCACGAGGGAACTGGGCCAAAGTGCCGTAGAGACAGCCGTCTTGGGCAATGCACCGCCAAGCTGCACCGCCTGCGTCAAGTGGGAATTCGATAGGGAGGCATATATGGCAACCCCCAAAACAAAGGAGAGAAAGGTCATTTAGCACCATTTTAGTAAGATTTTAAATACTTTTATAATGTTATGCATTTTTTTGGCGGTTACCGGAACTATAATGACTATAACGGGCATTAAGGTGGAGGGGTTAATAGCTGGATGTATCCCTGGCAAATGCAGTTGGCTATGTATCCATTCAAGGAATATACTATAGGCACCAACTTAAGTGTAGATTGTACATAGCTATGACTACAGGGCTGTGAGTCAAATCTTGGTATCCTACTGTACATATCAAAATCGTTGGTAAACGAATGTTCATCCCCTCTTTTCATCTG